TATGACGGCTGCATGGTCCCATGGTGTTTATACTTGCGTACTATTGTTTGTACAGATGAACGTGGTCCCTTCAGGTGTTTGGAAATTGCTCCCATGGATGAACCAGACTTGTGGAGGTCTACAATTTTTTTTCTGAGGTCTTGGCTGATTTCTTTTGATTTTCCCATGATGTCAAGCAAAGAGGCACTGAGTTTGAAGGTAGGCCTTGAAATACATCCACAGGTACACCTCCAATTGACTCAAATGATGTCAATTAGCCTATCAGAAGCTTCTAAAGCCATGACATCATTTTCTGGAATTTTCCAAACTGTTTAAAGGCACAGTCAACTTAGTGTATGTAAACTGCTGACCCACTGGAATTGATGATACAGTGAATTATAAGTGAAATAATATATCTGTAAACAATTGTTGGAAAAATTAGATGTCTTAACAGATTTGCCAAAACTATAGTTTGTTAACAAGACATTTGTGGAGTGGTTGAAAAACGAGTTTTAATGACTCCAACCTAAGTGTATGTCAACTTCCGACTTCAACTGTATATATTATCACTTGTGAATGATGCCCAGCTTAAGGCAAGAAACAAAGCTTTTTTTTTTTTGCGACTTTTTCGAATCATAGTCACACACCTAATGAAGCCTAGCCCATAGGCCTATTTGTTTTGATAAGGTTTGTATCACAACTAATGTGTCCAAATAACTTCTTAAAATTAAGCACATTAATCCGCTTTACAAGGGGTGTGGAGCGTAACTAGCATACATAAGCAGCGCGAGTTTCAAGTTTGGGGAAGATCATTTTCACCATAAAAATGCACCTTTATAATAAAAGCATTACATGCATAATCGCGTTTGCGGTCACTTTTGATAATGGTGTTTTCCCGCTAATGGAACATTCACGCTTATAGCCTACTGCTGTGTGTGCATTGCTAGGCTTATAATGTGATGAAATAGCCTAATAGTTTATCAAAGTTTTTAAGCTAAACGTTCTGATCTGTTGTGTCAGCCACATTGCGTAAAAAAGTGGTGTTGATGCTAGTGGTTGTATTAATTTGGGATCTATTGCATCCAACAACTGTCCCAGACTATGTTTGGAATATTTATTTCTCGCACAGAATAGAATAGGTCGACTTTTGTACTATGGGGTATAGTAGATTGACACAGGCTAGTGCTTTTGCTGTTCGTTAGGCTTACTCATCTTGTTGGCTGACGACAAAATAAATGTGGATATCTTCAATATGCACCTCGGAATTGGATAAGGACGCGCGCAGTTGCGTCCCCGATGTGCCTGTCTTCACTTGTAGCCTGTGAGAAAGACCCGATCACGTGATGGAGAGCCATGTGAGTGAGAGGCGCTTCGGAGCGCACAGCACTCAGGGAGAAGGGCACAATGTAGCACTCTAGGCCAAAAGGCATTTTTTTAGGCTGCATTACGGCCACACAATGGGGAGGCCGCTGTGAAATTAGAGGCATTATCAAGTGCTTGTCAAATTGTGACTGATGAAGTGTGTACAGCCTGCGCAAAAAACAAAGCAGAGCTCATGCCTTTCAAGCGATTTTTTCATAATCATCATTAGTGTTAGATTAATTTGTATTTAAGAATAATGACTAAAGGATTTCACCCCAAATACAGTATAAATGTGTGAACGGTGTTAAGAGTTATAATGTAGTGGCAACCCACTAACAGAGGGGGGCGGGACTAAACATTCCAGGGTGAAGGGGACTGAGAAAACGGGTTAAAAAAAGCCTCCTAAAGGTGGGCGGAGCAAAGTGCCTTTGTGTGTCAAGGGGTATAAAACAGGAGTGTATGGGTTTTTGGCGCCAGAGCTCTCCATGAATAAAAATACAGATCATTCTTGCTGGTTGTGGACCTTGAATCATTTATGATTAAAACCAGAGCCTTACAACCCCTGGTAATGATTCAAGCTTAGGTTGAATTAGAGATAGAAATTCTCGTGACACCTGCACAGAGCCCTGACCTCAACCCCATCGAACACCTTTGGGATGAATTGGAACGCCGGGCCTAATCGCCCAACCTCAGTGCCCGACCTCACTAATGCTCTTGTGGCTGAATGGAAGCAAGTCCCCGCAGCAATGTTCCAACATCTAGTGGAAAGCCTTCCCAGAAGAGTGGAGGCTGTTATAGCAGCAAAGGGGGGACCAACTCCATATTAATGCCCATGATTTTGGAATGAGATGTTCAACGAGCAGGTGTCCACATACACTGTACACTACGTTACCAAAAGTATCACTGGTGTTATATGTATGGCATATCATATTCACTGACAGCATTATCCATGAAAATATAGGCTAGCCTTTATCCAGAAGTCATCCTTATGATAGCTTTTAATAATCACACAAAGCTTGAAAATGAACATTTTATAGAATCATTACAGAATTTGTGTGGATATTTATTAGCACATAAATGTATCACAATAGTTTTTCATATTGCATTCATTTGAAAGAGGTAATCTTGACCAGGACCCATAGTGCACTGCTTTTGACCAGGGCAGATAGTGCACTACTTTTGACCAGGGCAGATAGTGCACTACTTTTGACCAGGGCAGATAGTGCACTACTTTTGACCAGGGCCCATAGTGCACTACTTTTGACCAGGGCCCATAGTGCACTACTTTTGACCAGGGCCCAAAATATAAGCTTGTTTTACTCCATTGCTTCTAAACAATATCAAATCAGTCACACCACTCCCTACAATATCAGTCACACCACTCCCTACAATATCAGTCACACCACTCCCTACAATATCAGTCACACCACTCCCTACAATATCAGTCACACCACTCCCTACAATATCAGTCACACCACTCCCTACAATATCAGTCACACCACTCCCTACAATATCAGTCACACCACTCCCTACAATATCAGTCACACCACTCCCTACAATATCAGTCACACCACTCCCTACAATATCAGTCACACCACCCCCTACAATATCAGTCACACCACCCCCTACAATATCAGTCACACCACCCCCTACAATATCAGTCACACCACTCCCTACAATATCAGTCACACCACTCCCTACAATATCAGTCACACCACTCCCTACAATATCAGTCACACCACTCCCTACAATATCAGTCACACCACTCCCTACAATATCAGTCACACCACTCCCTACAATATCAGTCACACCACTCCCTACAATAGTATTGTAAACAAACACTATAGTTTCAAAACATGGTTAAAACTATCATTTTGTTCCCATGGATGGTCTGTCCTTGCATTCATAGCTCTGTCTATGAATTTGATAGTAGTTCGGCCTACATTTCTCCATCCCCTCCGTTGTTTATCTAAACAAGAGGCGGGTCAACGGCTTTGTGTTTGTTTTTATCTCGGATTGCCCCTTTAAACTGACATGGTCTGTAGGTTTGATGTTGTTGAACTAGGCTATGTGATACTACATATAACTAAAGTGGTCACTACTTCTTAATGTAACTCCTTGAGATGAGTCTTAGCAGTGTGTGTGTGTGTGTGTGTGTGTGTTATACAATAGTAAATCAATGTAGGCTAATTTATGAGACATTTTATAAAACATTACAAAGCTTCCACACCACAGCTGTTGGTACTTACCGGTATATACACACACACCTTCTCTTGACATATCTCATTGTGATGGATCAGACACGGGTACTTTCCTTTTCATTGCTGCTGTTGGAAAGAGGAGAGAAAGGAAGAGCATGCCACATTTTGTTGACGTGTGTGTGTGTGCGCGTGTGTGTGTGTGTGTGCGCCTGCGTGTGTGTGTGCGCTCGTGTGTGTGTGTGTGTGTGTGTGTGTGTGTGTGTGTGTGTGTGCGCCTGCGTGTGTGTGTGTGTGTGTCTCAAGATTCTTGAATAAGCTAAAGCAGGTAGTAGTAACCACTGTCTCGTTGATGAGCCAAGTACTGTACTTTCACTGTAGGGAGTGGTGTGACTGAGATATTAGACTGTGAAAGACATTCACTGTAGGGAGTGGTGTGACTGAGATATTAGACTGTGAAAGACATTCACTGTAGGGAGTGGTGTGACTGAGATATTAGACTGTGAAAGACATTCACTGTAGGGAGTGGTGTGACTGAGATATTAGACTGTGAAAGACATTCACTGTAGGGAGTGGTGTGACTGTGAAAGACATTCACTGTAGGGAGTGGTGTGACTGTGAAAGACATTCACTGTAGGGAGTGGTGTGACTGTGAAAGACATTCACTGTAGGGAGTGGTGTGACTGAGATATTAGATTGTGAAAGACATTCACTGTAGGGAGTGGTGTGACTGACATATTAGACTGTGAAAGACATTCACTGTAGGGAGTGGTGTGACTGAAAGACATTCACTGTAGGGAGTGGTGTGACTGTGAAAGACATTCACTGTAGGGAGTGGTGTGACTGAGATATTAGACTGTGAAAGACATTCACTGTAGGGAGTGGTGTGACTGAAAGACATTCACTGTAGGGAGTGGTGTGAGTGTGAAAGACATTCACTGTAGGGAGTGGTGTGACTGAGATATTAGATTGTGAAAGACATTCACTGTAGGGAGTGGTGTGACTGAGATATTAGACTGTGAAGGGAGTGGTGTGACTGAGATATTAGACTGAAAGACATTCACTGTAAGGAGTGGTGTGACAGATATTAGACTGTGAAAGACATTCACTGTAGGGAGTGGTGTGACTGAGATGTTAGACTGTGAAAGACATTCACTGTGGTTATGTCTTCAGAAGGGAATGGCATGTGGTGCTTACTAACCAAGAGTGGCAATGGTCCCAATGACCTCATTTCATCAATATTAATATCTTACTTTTGTTCTCTCCATCCCTCTCCCTATATCCTCCCCCTCCCCTCTCCTCCCCTCTCCTCCCCCTCTTCTCTCCTTTCCATCTCTCTCTCCTAATTTTCTCCCCCACCACTCCTCTCTTCTCCTCCTTGCCCTCCTCTGTATCCCTTTCCCCATCTCCTCCTCCTCCCCCTCTTCTCTCCTCTCCTCCCCATCTCCTCTCCTCCTGTAGAGTCAGTCAGTGGAAGAAGTACTCCTCTGTAGAGTTATGGCCTCTGCTTCAATACCAGCCTACAACTCCTCTAATAACCCCCTGGAAAACAGCTCCAGTCACAATGTAAGTGTGTTCAGTGTGTGTTCAGTGTGTGTTCACTATGTGTAACTGTTTCTCTCTCTCTCTCTCTCTGTGTGTGTTCTGTGTCTGTTCTGTGTGTTGTTTGTGGTTTGCAGCATGTATTATTAACTGTTCTGTTACCGTACTACCTGTAATAAACTCTCTCAGTGGTTAGGTTCAGCAGTAAATATGTTACCGTACTACCTGTAATAAACTCTCTCAGCGGTTAGGTTCAGCAGTAAAGATGATGGCGCCTACACCATAGACATTAAAACCAGTAGATAGTAAGCGCTGACATCATCCACGTGTTCCTTTGGAAAACTCTCGATGGCGCATGAAGTATTTGAATTTGAAGCGCGCCATATTGCTAAAGGTTGTGGTGAAGTGGCCGTAACTAGAAAAGGATCATGGTCGACGTAGTCATTTTCATCCTGCATGAGAGAGCCAACCAGGAGCCTCCTCGTAGCCTGCCTTGCCCGTGATTGGTCCGTGTCAGCACGTGGTCCTGTGTGACGACAAATGTAGTAGTCAGATTGGATCACTATTTAATTAAATGTCTCGATTCGTAGCGAACCTTCAAATCATTTACTGTGGGGATCGAATTTTCGAGGCCAAAGCGGGCATAATTTTTTTTGGGTTTGGTTGTTCTGCCGATCGTAATTTAAATAGGCTTTCTAGGGCAGACCAGGGCTTTTGGCACCACTAGGTTGCGACGCAGTAGCCGACCAGCGGAGCTCGTGACTTGACCTGACACTGGGGGCCTGATCCACACACACACCATCCCTCCAACCCACCCCCACGTTTGCTGCCAAGAGCATGAATCACAAATCCATATTCAGAGTTCTGTTCAGTGTATGTCCTTTAAGACCTAATAACAACACACACACACACACACACACACACACACACACACACACACACACACACACTCTTCTACCCCTGGATAGCCCTTGCTTAAATGGACTACACTCTGTATAAGCTGTGTTTAACCAGGCTAGTCCCACTATGGATAGGTGACTGTGAAATGGCTAGCTAGGTTAGTCTCCTTATTCATTAATAAAACATGTACCTGTTAATAAACCGTGCAGCTGTTAATAAACCGTCTACCTGTTACTAGCTCCTAGCTGCGCCTGGTTAGCCTCTGTCATTCATCCGTTTATTTATTTTTTTAAACCTCTAACCTCCATAGTCGGTAGCGCTGTCCTACCCCCGGCAGCGCTGTCCTACCCCCGGTAGCGCTGTCCTACCCCCGGTAGCGCTGTCCTACCCCCCGGTAGCGCTGTCCTACCCCCGGCAGCGCTGTCCTACCCCCGGTAGCGCTGTCCTACCCCCCGGCAGCGCTGTCCTACCCCCGGTAGCGCTGTCCTACCCCCGGTAGCGCTGTCCTACCCCCGGTAGCGCTGTCCTACCCCCGGTAGCGCTGTCCTACCCCCGGCAGCGCTGTCCTACCCCCGGCAGCGCTGTCCTACCCCCGGTAGCGCTGTCCTACCCCCGGCAGCGCTGAATGATCCCATGTAGGAGCTCTGTCTGTCTGTGTTGCCCTGACAACCAGCATCATCAAGGCAACCGTCTGCTGCTGGAGCTCTAGCATCATGTATGTCAGTTGGAAAATGGAACCATGGCCAGTGGTTTTCAAACCTCTCCTCGTTGTAGCCCTGAACTATCTCACCTGATTCACCTATTCAGGAGAGGTTTGAAAACCCCTGACCTAGGCCATCCAGGTTACAGATTGACTTGTACATCAGATTCTCAGTACAGAGATCCTCTTTCACACTCATGGGTTACTCATTCTTATTGGCTTTCCAATCAGGAAGTCCCAGAGTGGTAGCCAATAAAAACAGTGCTCTCGTAGCGCTGACTGTTGAGAGTTTTCCATGCAAAACAAATGACTGCTAGGTACAGTAATACGGACACAAGTGTGGCTTTGTTCGAGACCTGGGGAGGCCAGAATCCAAAGGAAAAGCTCTCTCACTCTCGCACAATTATACTTAGCCAGTTCTCTCAGTAGGGTAACAGAGAGGTGTTGTGTGGTCTGACACAGACAGACTGAGGGATTGGCAGCAGGCTGGGATTTCTGCATGTACACACACACGCCCTGTGACTCTTTGTGGCACAGCACAGTATTACTCCTGGACGCTAAGGTCAGTTTGTAGTTACCCCCCTAATGGTTAGGTTTAGGGTTGGGGGGAGGGTTAGTTACTCCCCCCTAATGGTTAGGTTTAGGGTTGGGGGGAGGGTTAGTTACTCCCCCCTAATGGTTAGGTTTAGGGTTGGGGGGAGGGTTAGTTACTCCCCCCTAATGGTTAGGTTTAGGGTTGGGGGGAGGGTTAGTTACTCCCCCCTAATGGTTAGGTTTAGGGTTGGGGGGGAGGGTTAGTTACTCCCCCCTAATGGTTAGGTTTAGGGTTGGGGGAGGGTTAGTTACACCCCCTAATGGTTAGGTTTAGGGTTGGGGGGGGGGTTAGTTACTCCCCCCTAATGGTTAGGTTAGGGTTGGGGGGAGGGTTAGTTACTCCCCCCTAATGGTTAGGTTTAGGGTTGGGGGGAGGGTTAGTTACTCCCCCTAATGGTTAGGTTTAGGGTTGGGGGGAGGGTTTAGTTACTCCCCCCCTAATGGTTAGGTTTAGGGTTGGGGGGAGGGTTAGTTACTCCCCCCTAATGGTTAGGTTTAGGGTTGGGGGGAGGGTTAGTTACTCCCCCCTAATGGTTAGGTTTAGGGTTGGGGGGGAGGTTAGTTACTCCCCCCTAATGGTTAGGTTTAGGGTTGGGGGAGGGTTAGTTACTCCCCCCTAATGGTTAGGTTTAGGGGTTGGGGGAGGGTTAGTTACACCCCCCTAATGGTTAGGTTTAGGGTTGGGGGAGGGTTAGTTACACCCCCCTAATGGTTAGGTTTAGGGTTGGGGGGGGGGGTTAGTTACTCCCCCCTAATGGTTAGGTTTAGGGTTGGGGGAGGGTTAGTTACTCCCCCCTAATGGTTAGGTTTAGGGTTGGGGGGAGGGTTAGTTACTCCCCCCTAATGGTTAGGTTTAGGGTTGGGGGGGGGGGGGGGGGGGGGGGGGGTTAGTTACTCCCCCCTAATGGTTAGGTTTAGGGTTGGGGGAGGGTTTAGTTACACCCCCCTAATGGTTAGGTTTAGGGTTGGGGGGGGGGGTTAGTTACTCCCCCCTAATGGTTAGGTTTAGGGTTGGGGGAGGGTTAGTTACTCCCCCCTAATGGTTAGGTTTAGGGTTGGGGGGAGGGTTAGTTACTCCCCCCTAATGGTTAGGTTTAGGGTTGGGGGGGGGGGGGGGGGGGGGGGGGGTTAGTTACTCCCCCCTAATGGTTAGGTTTAGGGTTGGGGGAGGGTTAGTTACTCCCCCCTAATGGTTAGGTTTAGGGTTGGGGGGAGGGTTAGTTACTCCCCCCTAATGGTTAGGTTTAGGGTTGGGGGAGTAACTGGTTAAGTTAGGTGCTGCTGTTGTGAGTCAGTGGTGGACCGTGGCTACAGGACCTAGGCCTTCAGAGAAACCAAACATCTATCAAACTCAAAAATCAAGAAAATAACAGAAAACATAGCGTCACTTAATGCGCCCGACATTATACCTTCTGTAGTCGGAACATTCCAGTGAAGGAGGAGCAATGATTGTTGACGACGTTATGAATGAATGAATCAAACAGGCCTGGCCGTGCTTCGGGCTGCCGCACACACAGAAATGGAACCTGCACGGACACGTGACACACAGCATAAAATAATGCGATCAGGAAAAACAAAAAACACACTGTTTACATAACCTATGGTAGCCCAACACCACTATCACACTGTCGCCAATAGCAACACCAACAGTATCACATCAAAGGTGATAGGCTGGTGGTGCTGAAAGGACAGCGACCCTAATACTTGTGCACTCCATGGCACTGAAGGAGAGCCAGTTTTGGTCAAACACATAGACAAGGCAGGGAGACAGGAGACAGCAGTCACACAGCATCCTGGTAAAGGATAAGCGGCCCGTTCACTCAAATGATAAGCCGGTTGACCCCAATCCTAACGATATAAGAACACAACCATTTACATTTCCAAAATGAAATTTAACAAACCAGCTATTACTTCCCATTGCAAATATATTTGATCATGTTCCTCACACTAACCGGCGGTCTAAAGTTGAAATGCAACGATGTTTCACAGTCATTATTTTCAAAGAGATCGCTAACAGCAAGCGAGCTGCAACAAAAAACAGTGCCACTCACCAGATGATGAACATTTGTGACCGACCGCCTTGATTCGGTTTTATGTAGCAAAATTTGAAATTGTGTTTTTTACATTGGATTAAAGATCAGACACAGAGTTAGAAAATGGTATATCATACACTGCATTTGAGGAACAATGGGAAAGTAATTCTGCTTTGAAAGTTGATAAACTTGTAACCCCACTTTTGAGAAAATGGCCCTTGAATGTTTTGGTACACCTACTGGAGAGCTCTTCTTTGTCTAAACCCATTCATCATTGTTAACACGCTCTTAAGCCAGCCCCACCCATCTCTTTAAGGATTCACTTGAGGTCATGTGCTAAACAGTGAGTAGTGTAGTAAAGGTTAAGACTAAAAGTGGTAAAAGTAGTAGCCTACAATAAGGAACAATTCCAGGTAAACAGAAAGTGTCCAGATAAAAATATTTTATAAATATTAGATGACGCTTACCCAGACACACTTGTCTAAAATTGATAAGTGCATGTGTCTCTACAGAAGGTGTAAACGGTTCAGTGAAATGGTTACTTGCATAGTAGCAATATCAAAAATAGATGGTGTCAATATAAAGACAAAAAGAACAAGTGTCAATGCCAGTAGAGAAAGAACAAAATAATATACAGTATGTACAAGAACAATATCAATAACGATATCAGTGATAGATGAGGTAGTTATATGCATACAATCAGGGGTAAAGTGGCTGAGCAGCAGGATAAAAAAATAAATAGTATCAGCAATGCCCAGAAACAAATAACTTTCTTCTGAAACTCGTCAGTCTATTCTTGTTCTGAGAAATGAAGGCTATTCCATGTGAGAAATTGCCAAGAAACTGAAGATCTCGTACAACACTGTGTACTACTCCCTTCACAGAACAGCGCAAACTGTCTCTAACCAGAATAGAAAGAGGAGTGGGAGGCCCCGGTGCACAACTGAGCAAGAGGACAAATACATTAGTGTCTAGTTTGAGAAACGGATGCCTCACAGGTCCTCAACTGGCAGCTTCATTAAATAGTACCCGCAAAACACCAGTCTCAACGTCAACAGTGAAGAGGCGACTCCGGGATGCTGACCTTCTAGGCAGAGTTGCAGTGCAAACTGGCTCTAACCAGAATAGAAAGAGGAGTGGGAGGCCCCGGCGCCTGTTTCTCAAACTAGACACTCTAATGTATTTGTCCTCTTGCTCAGTTGTGCACCAGGGCCTCCCACTCCTCTTTCCATTCTGGTTAGAGACAGTTTGCGCTGTTCTGTGAAGGGAGTAGTACACAGCGTTGTACGAGATCTTCAGTTTCTTGGCAATTTCTCGTGTTGATCTCCTTAGGCCACACCCTCCCTCATTACACAAATACACATCACCTGATATGCTTAAATCCAATAAGCATTCCAGTTTATACAGCTTGGAGTTGGGAAATATGCATAATAATGATGATATGGTCAAAATACTGACTTGCCTAATAATTGTGCACTGTGTGTGTGTGTGTATGTATGTATATGTATGTATGTATGTGCTATGAAAAAGTATTTGCCCCCTTTCTAATTTTCTCTACTTTTGCATATTTGTGATACTGAATTTGATCAGATCTTCAACCAAAACCTAATATTAGATAAAGGGAACATAAGTGAACAAATAACACAACAATTACATATTTATTTCATAAACAAAGTTATGCAACACCCAATTCCTCTGTGTGAAAAAGTAATTGCCCCCTTACACTCAAGAACTGGTTGTGCCACCTTTAGCTGCAATGACTCTAACCAAATGCTTCCTGTAGTTGTTGATCAGTCTCTCACGTTGCTGTGGAGGAATTTTGGCCCACTCTTCCATGCAGAACTGCTTTAACTCAGTGACGTGTGGGTTTTCAAGCATGAACTGCTCGTTTCAAGTCCTGCCACAACATCTCAATTGGGATTTTGGCCATTCCAAAACTTCCAATTTGTTGCTTTTTAGCAATTTCCATGTAGACTTGATTGTGTGTTTTGCATCATTGTCTTGCTGCATGAACCAGCTGCGCTTCAGCTCACATACGGATGGTCTGACATTCTCCTGTAGAATTATCTGATACAGAGCAGAATTCATGGTTCCTACAGTGGGGGAAAAAAGTATTTGACCCCCTGCTGATTTTGTACGTTTGCCCACTGACAAAGAAATGATCAGTCTATCATTTTAATGGTAGGTTTATTTGAACAGTGAGAGACAGAATAACAACAAAAAAATCCAGAAAAACGCATGTCAAAAATGTTATAAATTGATTTGCATTTTAATGAGGGAAACAAGTATTTGACCCCTCTGCAAAACATGACTTAGTACTTGGTGGCAAAACCCTTGTTGGCAATCACAGAGGTCAGACATTTCTTGTAGTTGGCGACCAGGTTTGCACACATTTCAGGAGGGATTTTGTCCCACTCCTCTTTGCAGATCTTCTCCATGTCATTAAGGTTTCGAGGCTGACGTTTGGCAACTCGAACCTTCAGCTCCCTCCACAGTTTTTCTATGGGATTAAGGGCTGGAGACTGGCTAGGCCACTCCAGGACCATAATGTGCTTCTTCTTGAGCCACTCCTTTGTTGCCTTGGCCGTGTGTTTTGGGTCATTGTCATGCTGGAATACCCATCCACGACCCAGAAATCTTTCTGATTGAGAGGGGGTCAAATACTTATTTCCCTCATTAAAATGCAAATCAATTTATAACATTTTGACATGCATTTTTCTGGATTTTTTTGTTGCTATTCTGTCTCTCACTGTAGAAATAAACCTACCATTAAAATTATAGACTGATCATATCTTTGTCAGTGGGCAAACGTACCAAATCAGCAGGTGATCAAATACTTTTTTCCCTCACTGTATATATTTATATGTGTGTGTGTGTGTGTGTGTGTGTGTGTGTATGTTATATACATACATACATACATACATACAGTGGGGAGAACAAGTATTTGATACACTGCCGATTTTGCAGGTTTTCCTACTTACAAAGCATGTAGAGGTCTGTAATTTTTATCATAGGTACACTTCAACGGTGAGAGACAGAGTCTAAAACTAAAATCCAGAAAATCACATTGTATGATTTTTAAGTAATTCATTTGCATTTTATTGCATGACATAAGTATTTGATACATCAGAAAAGCAGAACTTAATATTTGGTACAGAAACCTTTGTTTGCAATTACAGAGATCATACGTTTCCTGTAGGTCTTGACCAGGTTTGCACACACTGCAGCAGGGATTTTGGCCCACTCCTCCATACAGACCTTCTCCAGATCCTTCAGGTTTCGGGGCTGTCGCTTGTCAATACGGACTTTCAGCTCCCTCCAAAGATTTTCTATTGGGTTCAGGTCTGGAGACTGGCTAGGCCACTCCAGGACCTTGAGATGCTTCTTACGGAGCCACTCCTTAGTTGCCCTGGCTGTGTGTTTCGGGTCGTTGTCATGCTGGAAGACCCAGCCACGACCCATCTTCAATGCTCTTACTGAGGGAAGGAGGTTGTTGGCCAAGATCTCGCGATACATGGCCCCATCCATCCTCCCCTCAATACGGTGCAGTCATCCTGTCCCCTTTGCAGAAAAGCATCCCCAAAGAATGATGTTTCAACCTCCATGCTTCACGGTTGGGATGGTGTTCTTGGGGTTGTACTCCTTCTTCCTCCAAACACGGCGAGTGGAGTTTAGACCAAAAAGCTCTATTTTTGTCTCATCAGACCACCTGACCTTCTCCCATTCCTCCTCTGGATCATCCAGATGGTCATTGGCAAACTTCAGATGGGCCTGTACATGCGCTGGCTTGAGCAGGGGGACCTTGTGTGCGCTGCAGGATTTTAATCCAAGACGGTGTAGTGTGTTACTAATGGTTTTCTTTGAGACTGTGGTCCCAGCTCTCTTCAGGTCATTGACCAGGTCCTGCCGTGTAGTTCTGGGCTGATCCCACACCTTCCTCATGATCATTGATGCCCCACGAGGTGAGATCTTGCATGGAGCCCCAGACCGAGGGTGATTGACCTTCATCTTGAACTTCTTCCATTTTCTAATAATTGCGCCAACAGTTGTTGTCTTCTCACCAAGCTGCTTGCCTATTGTCCTATAGCCCATCCCAGCCTTGTGCAGGTCTACAATTTTATCCATGATGTCCTTACACAGCTCTCTGGTCTTGGCCATTGTGGAGAGGTTGGAGTCTGTTTGAGTGTGTGGACAGGTGTCTTTTATACAGGTAACGAGTTCAAACAGGTGCAGTTAATACAGGTAATGAGTGGAGAACAGGAGGGCTTCTTAAAGAAAAATTAACAGGTCTGTGAGAGCCGGAATTCTTACTGGTTGGTAGGTGATCAAATACTTATGTCATGCAATAACATGCAAATGAATTACTTAAAAATCATACAATGTGATTTTCTGGATTTTAGTTTTAGACTCTGTCTCTCACCGTTGAAGTGTACCTATGATAAAAATTACAGACCTCTACATGCTTTGTAAGTAGGAAAACCTGCTGTGTGTGTGTGTGTGTGTGTGTGTGTATATATATATATATATACAGTGGGGAAAAAAAGTATTTAGTCAGCCACCAATTGTGCAAGTTCTCCCACTGAAAAAGATGAGAGAGGCCTGTAATTTTCATCATAGGTACACGTCAACTATGACAGACAAATTGAGAAAAAAAATCCAGAAAATCACATTGTAGGAATTTTTATGAATTTATTTGCAAATTATGGTGGAAAATAAGTATTTGGTCACCTACAAACAAGCAAGATTTCTGGCTCTCACAGACCTGTAACTTCTTCTTTAAGAGGCTCCTCTGTCCTCCACTCGTTACCTGTATTAATGGCACCTGTTTGAACTTGTTATCAGTATAAAAGACACCTGTCCACAACCTCAAACAGTCACACTCCAAACTCCACTATGGCCAAGACCAACGAGCTGTCAAAGGACACCAGAAACTAAATTGTAGACCTGCACCAGGCTAGGAAGACTGAATCTGCAATAGGTAAGCAGCTTGGTTTGAAGAAATCAACTGTGGGAGCAATTATTAGGAAATGGAAGACATGCAAGACCACTGATAATCTCCCTCGATCTGGGGCTCCACGCAAGATCTCACCCCATGGGGTCAAAATGATCACAATAACGGTGAGCAAAAATCCCAGAACCACACGGGGGGACCTAGTGAATGACCTGCAGAGAGCTGGGACCAAAGTAACAAAGCCTACCATCAGTAACACACTACGCCGCCAGGGACTCAAATCCTGCAGTGCCAGACGTGTCCCCCTGCTTAACCCAGTACATGTCCATGCCCGTCTGAAGTTTGCTAGAGTGCATTTGGATGATCCAGAAGAGGATTGGGAGAATGTCATATGGTCAGATGAAACCAAAATAGAACTTTTTGGTAAAAACTCAACTCGTCGTGTTTGGAGGACAAAGAATGCTGAGTTGCATCCAAAGAACACCATACCTACTGTGAAGCATGGGGGTGGAAACATCATGCTTTGGGGCTGTTTTTCTGCAAAGGGACCAGGACGACTGATCCGTGTAAAGGAAAGAATGAATGGGTCATGTATCGTGAGATTTTGAGTGAAAACCTCCTTCCATCAGCAAGGGCATTGAAGATGAAACGTGGCTAGGTCTTTCAGCATGACAATGATCCCAAACACACCGCCCGGGCAACGAAGGAGTGGCTTCGTAAGAAGCATTTCAAGGTCCTGGACTGGCCTAGCCAGTCTCCAGATCTCAACCCCATAGAAAATCTTTGGAGGGAGTTGAAAGTCCGTGTTGCCCAGCGACAGCCCCAAAACATCACTGCTCTAGAGGAGATCTGCATGGAGGAATGGGCCAAAATACCAGCAACAGTGTGTGAAAACCTTGTGAAGACTTACAGAAAACGTTTGACCTGTGTCATTGCCAACAAAGGGTATATAACAAAGTATTGAGAAACTTTTGTTATTGACCAAATACTTATTTTCCACGATAATTTGCAAATAAATTCATTAAAAATCCTACAATGTGATTTTCTGGATTTTTTTTCTCATTTTGTCTGTCATAGTTGACGTGTACCTATGATGAAAATTACAGGCCTCTCTCATCTTTTTAAGTGGGAGAACTTGCACAATTGGTGGCTGACTAAATACTTTTTTTCCCCACTGTGTATATAACCCCCCCCCCCCCCCCCCCCCCCCCCAAATTGTAAAGTGGTTATCCCACTGGCTATAGGGTGAACGCACCAATTTGTGAGTCGCTCTGGCTAAGAGCGTCTGCTAAATGACGTTAATGTGCCCTTGAGCAAGGCACTTAACCCTAATTGCTCCTGTAAGTCGCTCTGGTTAAGAGCGTCTGCTAAATGACTAAAATGTAAAATGTATATATATATGTGTGTGTGTGTGTCCTAATCAGTATAAAGGAGGAAATGTTGCTTACTTGTTGAGCAAAATCAAGGTTGTAATGCATCTTGATGTCTTTGGTTGCTGGTTCAGTAGGGCCCCCCAGAGACAACTGCAGGTCTTGACAGGTGGTCTTGCAGTCAGCAACCATCTTCTGGTAGACAGACCGCTCACTCTGAACAAGCAGGAGATGCTGCTCTTAACAGCTTCTGGCAGATTGACAGATCTGAAGACATGGTAGTTGTTCCCCTGGCACTGCCAGCACAGGTCTATCCTGGGCTTAGTGCTTGAGATGTGGGGAAGCCTTTTTCTCCACAGGTCTATCCTGGGCTTAGTGCTTGAGATGTGGGGAAGCCTTTTTCTCCACAGGTCTATCCTGGGCTTAGTGCTTGAGATGTGGGGAAGCCATTTTCTCCACAGGTCTATCCTGGGCTTAGTGCTTGAGATGTGGGGAAGCAATTTTCTCCACAGATTCCTGAAGGAAGACAGCCCGACTACATGTACCTCTGGAAAATTATGTGATATCAATAAAAGTAGTGCCAATCATGTTGGAGGTCAATTAAATAATCAAACGGTGTTGTTTATGCTTTACATACCAAGTGTTGTCATCGATTCCGTGTAGAGATGCCACACCGCTGCTTTCCACCAAAGAGTTTGTGTCCTGGCTGGCATCCTGGTAATACTATTGCATTATCCTCTGCGTAGTTGTTGATGAAGTTCACAACTCGCTGCAAGTCCTCGTGCTTCAGGTGTAACCTGTGCTTGCTTGGGCCGGCTCTCCATTTGATGGGAGGCATTAGATCTCCTTGTATGACTGGTGGAGGAGAGTCGGGCGTGTTCTACTGATGCTGAAAGACAAATTCCAGATACAAATATTTTAGCATTATTATACAATAGATGGCCGTAATCACCGTCAGACACACCTGGCTAACTTGATGGGCGAAGTGGAGTCTTTTGTTTAGACATGTAGCTAGCTAGCTAAACAATTAACCATAATCCCAATCCATAGAGTACTAGCAATACAAACCGATTGTCATAGCTAGCTGAAGTTAACCAAATAGGTTAAATGTTAGCTAGCTAACATTAGGCTATAACTAGCAATGCAAATGGTTTCTGAGATAATATTACTACACAGATCATACACGTAATGTTAGGTAGCGAGCCAGCCATCTAAAGTCATCTAGCTAGCTAACAGTAAGCTTTAACTTGCAATGAAAACAACTTTCTGACAAAATTAGAAATGTATAATATCTGAAACTGTAGCTAGACTTTTACCCGTATACATGGATGAACGCTTCATGGCAGACTGCAACCCATTTCATTTAATAAGACGTCCTGTGTCGTTTCCGTTTTGTTTGTACAGCTTGCTTGTACAACTTCTTCGGTGACAACAACACTGTTGATCGCCGTTTCTTCCCCATCACTATCATCAGAAGACTCTACAATGTCTTCTTCGATGAAAATGTTTTTACCTAAATCATGGATTTCCTCATCGTCTGATTCATTTTCAGAGTCAGCATGGTACGATCGTCCTCCTGAAAGTAGTCCATCACAACTTTTTCCCACTGAGCTTTGTCGATAGCGCTTGATAAATTCAGGGTATCAATGTTATTGAGAGCAGTAGCAACACATTTGCAGTTCTCCATGGCTAACGTTATATATTTCGGAAAAACTGCAGTAGAAAGGATTATCTACACATAACGAGCAGCTCATTTTATAGACAGAAGATGCTACATGGCAGACCAATCCGATGCTCAACTCTCGGCATGTCCAGCCCATTCATTATCTCAGCCAATCATGGCTAGCCGGAAGGTCCCTGTCTTTTTTCTGTGGCTAAACCAACTAGGCTCATAGTTTAACAACTTTATTTGTATTTACAGATGGCATACACGTTTGTTATTAAGGCACATGAAAGTTCAAATGTTCCAGAAGGCATTTCTGCCCAAAAAAAATGCATTTAGATAAAAAATTTAAATAACCGTTGAAATGCCTCTCCTGTGAAGTCATGACTTGCGACATACGCCTAGTTTCCTGAAACTAGTCACATTTGTAAACCAAAGTTAGTATTTTTTTTTTTATAGTGTGATGCTATAAAAACAAACAAAGAGAGACACACACTATTTATAAACTCCCAGTAATTTGTTGGGTAAAAAAACAACAACGTTTTGGCATCACTGTGCCTTCTTCAGGGTAATGTCATGAATGCTTAAACCTGGTTATGTAGACAAACAGTGCAATTATAGGATGATGCAAACATATTAGCAACAACATCCACCTTGAAGTTAATCAAACTACTACAACACAAGCTAGGTAACATTACTACCGTTAGCATGGGAAAACTACTGCTCGCACCACTTATTACTTGCTCTTGCGCTTCGTGAAGGCCTAGACACGTCACTTTTTTGAATGGCAGAGGCCTTCTGTCCAGCTTCTGAAGGCCTAGTCAATGGATGGCTAGATTATTCTACCCAGAGACCACCATAAAAAAATCCTGATTGGATCTTCTCTTTCCAAAACAAACAGAAGAGATTAAATCAGAAAATCATTAAAATAATCGTAAAGATATATTTTTAAAAATATGAATCCTTAGGCCTTCTCTGAAAGCCCTCACGGTTCCCCATTTGAAGGTAGTAGCTTTGTCTACACATTCCAGAACATAGCCCAGGGACAGCTAGTCAATCTGGAGACATACTGTTCTCTGTCTGAGAGGCTGTGTCCCAAATGGCTACATATACCCATAGAGCTCTGGTCATAAGTAGTGCACTATATAGGGAATAGGGTGCTGGAGAGGAGTAAGAAAATAAATATTTCCTGTTCCTTTTACCTCTCTCTCTGGCTCTGTCTCTCAATTCAATTTCAATTCAATTTAAGGGCTTTATTGGCATGGGAAACGTGTGTTAACATTGCCAAAGCAAGTGAAGTAGATAGTAAACAAAAGTGAAATAAACAATAAATATTAACAGTAAACATTACACTCAGAAGTTTCAAAAGAATAAAGACATTTCAAATGTCATATTATGTGTATATATACAGTGTTGTAACAATGTGCAAATAGTTAAAGTAAAAATAAATAAACATAAATATGGGTTGTATTTACAATGGTGTTTGTTCTTCACTGGTTGCCCTTTTCTTGTGGCAACAGGTCACAAATCTTGCAGCTGTGATGGCACACTGTGGTTTTTCACCCAGTAGATAAGGGAGTTTATCAAAATGGGGTTTGTTTTCTAATTCTTTGTGGATCGCTGTAATCTGAGGGAAATATGTGTCTCTAATATGGTCATACATTTGGCAGGAGGTTAGGAAGTGCAGCTCAGTTTCCACCTCATTTTGTGGGCAGTGTGCACATAGCCTGTCTTCTCTTGAGAGCCAGGTCTGCCTACGGCGGCCTTTCTCAATAGCAAGGCTATGCTCACTGAATCTGTACATAGTCAAAGCTTTCCTTAAGTTTGGGTCAGTCACAGTGGTCAGGTATTCTGCCACTGTGTACTCTCTGTTTAGGGCCAAATAGCATTCTAGTTTGCTCTGTTTTTTTTGTTTGTTCTTTCCAATGTGTCAAGTAATTCTCTTTTTGTTTTCTCATGATTTGGTTGGGTCTAGTTGTGTTGTTGTCCTGGGGCTGTGTGGGGTCTGTTTGTGTTTGTGAACAGAGCCCCAGGACAAGCTTACTTAGGGGACTCTTCTCCAAGTTCATCTCTCTGTATGTGATGGCTTTGTTATGGAAGATTTGGGAATCGCTTCCTTTTAAGTGGTTATAGAATTTAACGGCTCTTTTCTGGATTTTGATAATTAGCGGGTATTGGCCTAATTCTGCTCTGCATGCATTATTTGGTGTTTTACGTTGTACACAGAGGATGTTTTTGCAGAATTCTGCATGCAGAGTCTCAATTTGGTGTTTGTCCCATTTTGTGAATTCTTGGTTGGTGAGCGGACCCCAGACCTCAGAACCATAAAGGGCAATGGGTTCTATAACTGATTCAAGTATTTTTAGCCAGATCCTAATTGGTATGTCAAATTTTATGTTCCTTTTGATGGCATAGAAGGCCCTTCTTGCCTTGTCTCTCAGATCGTTCACAGCTTTGTGGAAGTTACCTGTGGCGCTGATGTTTAGGCCGAGGTATGTATCGTTTTTTGTGTGCTCTAGGGCAACGGTGTCTAGATGGAATTTGTATTTGTGGTCCTGGCAACTGGACCTTTTTTTGGAACACCATTATTTTTGTCTTACTGAGATTTACTGTCAGGGCCCAGGTCTGACAGAATCTGTGCATAAGATCTAGGTGCTGCTGTAGGCCCTCCTTGGTTGGTGACAGAAGCACCAGATCATCAGCAAACAGAAGACATTTGACTTCAGATTCTAGTAGGGTGAGGCCGGGTGCTGCAGACTGTTCTAGTGCCCTCGCCAATTCGTTGATATATATGTTGAAGAGGGTGGGGCTTAAACTGCATCCCTGTCTCACCCCACGGCCCTGTGGAAAGAAATGTGTGTGTTTTTTGCCAATTTTAACCGCACACTTGTGGTTTGTGTACATGGATTTTATAATGTCGTATGTTTTTCCCCCAACCCCACTTTCCATCAATTTGTATAGCAGACCCTCATGCCAAATTGAGTCAAAAGCGTTTTTTTAAATCAACAAAGCATGAGAAGACTTTGCCTTTGTTATGGTTTGTTTGTTTGTCAATTAGGGTGTGCAGGGTGAATACGTGGTCTGTCGTACGGTAATTTGGTAAAAAGCCAATTTGACATTTGCTCAGTACATTGTTTTCACTGAGGAAATGAACTAGTCTGCTGTTAATGATAATGCAGAGGATTTTCCCAAGGTTGCTGTTGACGCATATCCCACGGTAGTTATTGGGGTCAAATTTGTCTCCACTTTTGTGGATTGGGGTGATCAGTCCTTGGTTCCAAATATTGGGGAAGATGCCAGAGCTAAGGACGATGTTAAAGAGTTTAAGTATAGCTAATTGAAATTTGTGGTCTGTATATTTTATCATTTCATTGAGGATACCATCAACACCACAGGACTTTTTGGGTTGGAGGGTTTGTATTTTGTCCTGTAGTTCATTCAATGTAATTGGAGAATCCAGTGGGTTCTGGTAGTCTTTAATAGTTGATTCTAAGATTTGCATTTGATCATGTATATTTTTTTGCTGTTTGTTCTCTGTTATAGGGCCAAAAAGATTGGAGAAGTGGTTTACCCATACATCTCCGTTCTGGATAGATAGCTCTTCGTGTTGTTGTTTGTTTAGTGTTTTCCAATTTTCCCAGAAGTGGTTAGAGTCTATGGATTCTTCAATTACATTGAGTTGATTTCTGACATGCTGTTCCTTCTTTTTCTGTAGTGTATTTCTGTATTGTTTTAGTGATTCACCATAGTGAAGGCGTAGGCTCAGGTTTTCTGGGTCTCTATGTTTTTGGTTGGATAGGTTTCTCAATTTCTTTCTTAGGTTTTTGCATTCTCTCTCTCTCTCTCTCTCTCCCCCCTCTCTCTCTTCTCTGGCTCTGTCTCTCTCTCTCTCCCCCCCTCTCTCTCTCTCTCTCTCCCCCCCCTCTCTCTCTTCTCTCTCTCTGGCTCGCTCCACTTTCTCTGGCTCGCTCTCCCCCCCCCTCTCTCTCTCCCCCCCCTCTCTCTCTCCCCCCTCACTCTCTTCTCTCTCTCTCTGGCTCCATCTCTCTCTCTCCCCTCTCTCTCTCCTCTCTCTCTGTCTCTCTCTGGCTCTCTCCCCGGCTCTCTCGCATGTGCACATTTGTTGATATTCTTAGCTAGTTAGCGAGTTATTAGCCCAGTTATAGATAAGTATAGGTCAGCAATGGGGAGTTACTGCTTCCTACAAGAGCACAAAACATGGAGGCTACATTTCAAGCTGTCTTTGAAAAACCAGTCAGGCAAAAAGCGTATGCCTTAATTAAAGGCCAGTGTTGTATTTTGAGACAGGCTTGAATATGCAAATAAGCCAATAGGCAGAGGGGGTAGCCTACATTGTCTAATTCTCTGAATGGTAATGATAATTTCTTTTATTTTGTAAAGTGGTTTCTTGTATCATACAACGGAATTTACAGTCACCTATTTGAGCCATGGTGTTACAGACCAAGTAAAAAAGTAATTCATGTCAAGCCCTTCATAATTTAAAAATGTTTTTAAAAGTCTCTTGCGTTGTAGGCCTGCATTGAACACCACATATAGGCTACTGTAGGCTATATCATATACATCAAAAGCTATTTCCATGTGAAAATGTTATGGGATTTACTCCATTGGTTTAGTTGGTAGGCCTACAGTACATTATGCTCAAATAGCCACAATAGCCTATTGGCTACTGTCTAAACCTGTAAGGGTACAGCCTCAGTGTTAACTGTAAACGCGCCCCCGGAAGTTGCAACAAATTCTCACAATGTTCAAGTTTCCACTCACAATACAAAAAAATTGCTCAGTTCCCCAATTTTTTTGGGGGGGAACATTGATTACAAGTGCTTGTAATATTTAGTGTTTTATATGAGTGAAAGTGCTATGGAATAGCAGTAATAGTGTACACACTGCAGTCATGTCGTACCTGGCTCCGTCTGTCTGTGTTTTTTTTGCCATATTAATGTCCCTCTTTTGCTCTGCAGGCATCCAGAGAGAGTCTGAAGATGGAACCACTGGCAGATGTCACCTTACTGCCCGGAGAGGAGAGAATCATAGGTGTGTTCTTCTTGTAAGCCAGTGGTTTTGTGGTTTTCAACTTGGGTCACTAGTACCCATGCGGGCACATGGCCTATCCACAACGGGTACTTATTCTAAGACTGTTGAACATCGACAGACATTTGGAGACTGTTCTCGGCTTCCTATTCTATTAGTAAAGTACAGAGAAATATTTGAATACCTTCGGTCTGGTAGCCTTCCTCTAGACTACGCTGTTGTAGAGGTCTCACTTCTGTTGCAATTCAGTTTTTAAAATTTGAATCTGATCTGTATTCTGGCATGTCAGTATGTTTACAGTAAATATAACGAGAGAGGATATCCCTGTTGGTTTTGTCACAGGAGAGGCTAAACATAGAACCTAGCCTCTCCAACCAAGTCGGCTTGAATTGTTACAGTAGTCTCTCTCTCTGTCTCTGTCTCTGTCTCTGTCTCTGTCTCTGTCTCTCTCGTCATTTCTGCTAGCTACAGCATGTACAATTAAGAAGAAAGAGGGGAGGGAAATAGAGAGTAGGAGAATGAAAGGAAGATTTGTGGAAAGTACAGAAAGGTTGAGTGCAGCTTTTTGAAAAGCTTTTGTCTTGCTGTTAGTGTTGTATTGTGGTTATTGTTTGGTTACAATATGGTTAATTGTCAACATGGCTTGTTCAGTGGGGGTGGATGGTGGAAATGGGTGTGTGTATCTAGTCAGTCATTTATACATTTCCCCTCCCTCTCCCTCTTCCTCATCTCTCTTTCTCTCTGTCGCTCTCTCTCTCTGTCTCTCTCTCTCTCTCTCTCTCTCTCTCTCTCTAGACAAAGACATCATCTATATCTGTCCATTCAGTGGAGCTCTCAAAGGCAAAGTCTTCATCACTAACTACAGACTCTACTTCAAGAGTGCAGACGCAGTGAGTGACACACACACACACTCTAGAGGAGGGGTGATATACTCCTAGACATCTGTGGCGGACAGATTGAAGGCAGCAGAATTCCCAGTCAGTCTAAATGACATGTCTGCTGCAGAAGTGGTAGACCCATGCTTACTACTTGGTGTCAAAGACCTGTTTGATCTAGGCTAGCCCTAGCCGGATGCGCCATTAAAACACAGTCTATATTATAGTATATATGGTGGTCTGTTATTATTGAGGGAGTCCTAATGAAGTAGGCCAAGATCTATGACAGACGGGTCAACACCCACACATCACTGATATGCATTGAGCTTGTTATAGAGCCCTACTAAATGTGTACAGAATGGGAGTTGGAATAGGGGAAGAAAGGAAGAGGGATATGGATGTGAGGATGAATGGAAGCAGTCTCTCTTACCCTCCTTTACCTGCGAGGTGAGGGAGAGAGAAACACCATCCACCTCAAACTTGCTTAATCAAGTGTTACAATACTGTGTTACTCTGCCTGTGTGTAGTTGTGTGTGTTCTGTCTTGGTGGGTATAATGGTTACAGTCTTAAATAAAGCAATGTGGCTGTCGCCGAGCCCCCCCCCCAAAAAAAATAATCTTAGTCAGTTAAGAGTCGTCTGTTCTTTCCACCAATCAATTGGTTGAAAATGGTAAACGTGTATTGTTCCATATAGACACACCCTATGTGTTTTAATAAAATCAACTATATGCACTGAGCTTGTCTGATGCTTTAAGTGCACTGTTTGTGCACATTTATACAACTGCGTACAGGCCAGGCAGACTAGGCCTACTTCAACGCTTACTCAACATTGACAGGAGCGCTCCAAACAAAATAAAATAAATCGACAACTCATAAATGGAATGAAATTAACAAAACCTTGTTTCTCACAAGTGTAGCATAGGTTGTGAGCTCTGCAACAATGCGACCACTCAGACGATGAGAACGTTAATCGACTGTTGTAATAATATATTGAATGCGTTAACATAAATTACCACAACCAAACAAACATTGTAGATTAGATATTATGTGAATTAACGGTAACTGTACTTCTGGTGATAGACACTAACAATCAAAGGACAAACAATTCACACAATTAAGTTATGAAACAATGAATTGGCAGGAGAGAACGCATTCTGGAGAAAGACCTGCCTTGTGCATCTAAGCCACACCCCCCTTCTTAACTCAACATTTAAAATTATACCCAAGACACATTATCTTCACACATACTTTAGGCCTAAGGAATACTCGCACAAATGGTGTCTGGTCCAAAGCAGTAGCCATTTATGGAATACTATTAAATAGTTTATGAAAATGCAATTCCGAATTGCTTGGCATGCCAAGGCAAATACCCTTGCGGCACGTATGATTTAAGTTGCCGATGCCCGTCTTAGACTGATGGACTGTGCCATTCCTGCGGCCTCCGCAATGGATTAGTCCACTGAGACAGGCACGAATCAGACGGGTGTCTCGTGTGCCTGCCCCAAAATAAAAAATATCAATTTGCGACTGCTTGACAAAAAAAAATCTGTCGACCAATAGCCAATCGACCAGTCGACTAAACGGGGTCAGCCCTAGCCTCTAGGTCAGCATTTCCCAAACTTGGTGCACGTTTTGGTTTTTACCCTAGCACTACACCGCTGATTCAAATAATCAAAGCTTGATGATGAGTCCGTTATTTGAATCAGCTGTGTAGTGCTGGGCAAAACCCAAAACGTGCACCCAGGGGTGCCCCCGGACCGAGTTTGGGAAACACTGCTCTAGGTGTAATCCACTTGTAGATTCACTTTCACTCTTCAGACAACAGAAGTTAATCTCCAACACAACAAAAAGAGGGGAAACCCATATCCCTTTCTCTCTTTTCTCTCACTCATCTCTCTTTCTTTAATCCCTCTCTTTCTCTCCTGGCACCACTAGTGTTTTGCACAGTCCATTCAATTGGAGAGGTGCGAGGGCATTGTTGATGGTAAGATGGAGAAAAAGAGTGAAGACGGGTAGTTATGGAGAAGAATAGGGTAGAGAGGGGTAGTTATGGAGAAGAATATAGTAGAGGGGTAGTTATGGAGAATAATAGGGTAGAGAGGGGTAGTTATGGAGAATAAAAGGGTAGAGGGGGTAGTTATGGGAGAAAATATAGTAGAGGAGAAAGGTTTGTTTTGGAGAAGAATATAGTAGAGAGAGGTAGTTATGGAGAAGAATAGGGTAGAGGGGTAGTTATGGAGAATAATAGGGTAGAGAGGGGTAGTTATGGAGATGAATAGGGTAGATAGGGGTAGTTATGGGGAAGAATAGGGTAGAGAGGGGTAGTTATGGAGAAGAATAGATAGGGTAGAGAGGGGTAGTTATGGAGAAGAATATAGTAGAGGGGTAGTTATGGAGAATAATAGGGTTAAAGAGGGGGTAGTTATGGAGAATAAAAGGGTAGAGGGGTAGTTATGGAGAAGAATAGGGTAGAGAGGGGTAGTTATGGAGAAGAATATAGTAGAGAGAGGTAGTTATGGAGAAGAATAGGGTGAGAGAGGGGTAGTTATGGAGAAGAATATGGTAGAGGGGGTTTGTTGGGGGTAGTAGGTGGGTAGTTATGGAGAAGAATAGGGTTTGAGAGGGGTGTTATGGAGAAAAATAGGGTGAGTTAAAAAATTAGGAGGGGTTTTAGTTTTAGGAGAAGAAAATAGGGAGAGGGGTAGTTGGGTAGTTATGGAGAAGAATAGGGTGAGAGGGGTAGTTAGGGAGGAATATAGTAAGAGGGGTAGTTTGGAGAGAAGGTTTAATAGGGGGGAGGTAGGTGTTATGGAGAAGAATAGGGAGAGAGGGAGGTAGTTATGGAGAAAAAATATAGTGAGGAGGTAGTTAGGAGAAGAAGGGTAGAGAGGGGGTGTAGTTATGGAGAAGAATAGGGGTTTGAGGGGTAGGGGTTTGTTATGGAGAAGGGAAAAGGTAGAGGGGAGTTATGGAGAGAAGAAAAAGGTAAGAAGGGTAGTTATGGAGAAGAATAGGGAGAGGGGTAGTAGGAGAAGAATAGGGTAGAGGGGGTGGTAGTTATGGAGAAGGGAAAAGGGTAGAGGGGGTTAGTTATGGAGAAGAATAGGTATGAAGAGGGGTAGGGTTATGGAGAAGAATAGGGGGAGGGGGGTTATGGAGAAGATAGGGTTGAGAGGTAGTTATGGAGAGGATAGGTAGAGAGGGGGTTTTGTTATGGAGAAGAATAGGGGTAGAGAGGGGGGGTAGTTATGGAGAAGAATAGGGTTTGAGGGGGGTTTAGTTATGGAGAGGGATAGGTTGGAAAAGGGGGTTTGTTATGGGAGTATAGTTAGAGGGGTAGTATGGAGAAGAAGGGTAGAGAGGGGGGTTTGTTATGGAGAAGATATAGGGTTGGGGGTAATTATGGAGAAGACATGGGTAGAGGAGGGGGTAGTAGTTATGGAGAAGGAATAGGGATAGGGGGTTAGGAGGGGGGTAGTTATGGAGAAAAAGAAAGGGTAGAGAGGGGGTTTGTTATGGAGAAGAATAGGGTAGAGTTAGAGAGAGGGGGGTGTTATGGAGAAGAATAGGGGGTATTAGAGGGGGGGGTAGTTTGGAGAACAAACTAGGTAAGGGGGTAGTTATAAGAGGGGTTTGGGGTAGTTATGGAGAAGAATAGGGTAGGGGAGGGGTGGTTTTTAGTTTTGGGAGTTAGGAGAGAAGTAGGGTTAGAGAGGGGTAGTTTTGGAGAGTAGAGAGGGGGGTAGTTATGGAGAAGGGAATAGGGTAGAGGGGGGGGTTTTTATGGAGAAGAATGGTTTGAGGGGTTTTGTTTAGTTAGGGAAGAATAGGGAAGGGTAGTTATGGAGAAGAATAGGGTAGGAGTGGGGGTGTAGTTATGGAGAAGAATAGGGTTTGGGGGAGGGGGGTAGTTGGAAGAAATCGGGTAGAGGGGGGTAGTTTAGGGAGGAAGAATAGGGTAGAGAGGGGTTAGTTAAATTATGGAGAAGAATAGGGTAGAGGGGTGGTAGTTATGGAGAAGAATAGGGTAGAGGGGGGTAGTATGGAGAAGAAAAAGGGGTTTGTTTAGGGTTGGGAGGGGGGGTTTGTTATGGAGAAGAATAGGGTTTGAGGGGTTGGTAGTTATGGAGAAGAATAGGGTAGAGGGTAGAGGTGGTAGTATGGAGAAGAATGGGTAGAGGGGGAATGGAGAAAAATAGGGTATGAGGGGTAGTTATGGAGGAAAGGGAATAGGGTAGAGGGGTTAGGGGAGGGGGGGGTAGTTATGGAGAAGAATAGTAGGTAGGGGGTAGTAGGTTATTAGGGAAGAATAGGGAGAGGGGTAGTTTGGAGAGAGATAGGGTAGAGAGGGGGGTAGTTATGGAGAAGAATAGGGGGTAGGGGGAGGGGGGGTTGGTTATTGGGAAAAAATAGGGTAGGGGGTTTTTGTTATGGAGAAGAATAGGGGTAGAGGGGTTTGTTTGGAGAAGAATAGGGTAGTTAGAGGGGTTAGTTTTGGAGAAGAATAGGGTAGGAGAGGGGTAGTTATGGGAAGAAAAGAAGAATAGGTAGGGAGAGGGGTAGTTATGGAGAAGAATAGGGTAGAGGGGTAGTTATGGAGAAGAATAGGGTAGAGGGGGGGGAGTTATGGAGAAGAATAGGGTAGAGGGGTAGTTATGGGGAAGAATAGGGTAGAGGGGGGTAGTATGGGAAAAATAGGGTAGAGGGGGAGGGTTTTGGAGAAGAATAGGGTAGAGAGGGGGTTTGTTATGGAGGGAAAAATAGGGTAGAGAGGGGTAGTTATGGAGAAGAATAGGGTAGAGGGGTAGTTATGGAGAAGAATAGGGTAGAAGGGGGGGTAGTTATGGGAAGAAATAGGGGTTTGGAGGGGTTAGTTTTGAGGGAAAGAAAAGGGTAGAGGGGTGGGTAGAGGTTTTGTTTGGGAAGAAAAAGATAGGGGGGAGAGTGGGGTAGTTATGGAGAAGAATAGGGTAGAGAGGGGTAGTTATGGAGAAGAATAGGGTTTGAGGGGGTGGGGTTTTTGGAGAAGAATAGGGGTAGACAGGGGTAGTTATGGGGAAAAAAATAGGGTAGAGAGGGGTAGTTTTGGAAAGAATAGGGGTTTGAGGGGTAGTTATGGAGAGAATAGGGTTTGGAGGGGGGTTTGGTAGTTATGGAGAAGAATAAGGGGAGAGAGGGTAGTTATGGAGAAGAGGGGGGTAGAAGGAGAGAGGGGGGTAGTTTTGGAGAAAATAGGGTTTGATTAGTTAGAGAGGGTAGTTTATGTATGAGAAGATAGGGTAGAGGGGGTAGTTAGTTGATGGAAGAAGGGTAGTTTTAGTTATGGAGAAGAATAGGGTAGAGAGGGGTAGTTATGGAGAAGAATAGGGTAGAGAGGGGTAGTTATGGAGAAGAATAGGGTAGAGGGGTAGTTATGGAGAATAATAGAGTAGAGGGGTAGTTATGGCGAAAGAGCGAGAGAAGAGGGGGGTAGTTAAATAATCTTAGATGTAGCAGAGGGTAGCTTTATCAGATCATCAGTCAGGCTGAGAGGTGTGTGTGTGTTATTGACTGTGTGTGTCAGTGATGGAGTAGGTTATTACAGTCTACAGGGATACTGCAGCAGCAGCAAGGCTCTTTACTCCAGTCTCTGTCCCAAATGGCTCCCAATTCCCTCTATAGTGCACTACTTTTGACCTGGGCCCATAGGGTAGTGTACTATATAGTGAATAGGGAGCCATTTGGGATGCAGAATCCACTCTCTGTAATACAACACGTTAACAATATGCTGACCTCATACTGCTTCTAACACACACACACACACCATTTACTCTGGTGGCTCTGAACTGATGTAAGTACCTCCTACTATGCCCGTGTCTACCATTTAAGCCTATGCTTTGCTAATTAAGTCTCTGTCTTGCAGATTAAACATTAGCTACATAAAGCGTATTCAAGAGTATACTTCACATTACACAGTATACCGTTTGTGCCCTCACAATACCAATGTCTTTATATTTCAGTTCTACCACTGCAGGACCAATCATCCACCTATGGTGTATTCTGTTGTGATATCACTGGAATCCCAGCAGGACCAATCACATGTCTGTATTTTGTGTGACATCACAGGACCCGGCGGTGACCCTGGATGTTCCGCTGGGGGCCATTGGCCGGGTGGAGAAGATGGGCGGAGCCTCCAGTCGGGGGGAGAACTCATACGGGCTGGACATCACCTGCAAGGTCAGATACTGCATCATGGTACTGACACCCCTATGTTATACATAGTGGTTCAGTCCGATTACATCTGACAACCAGACTAGGACTGAACCACTATGTATGAAAATAGGGGTGTTTCTTTTTTTTTTTATATAGAACATTTAGATAGAACATTGTGTTCAGAAACGTTCATTCCAGTCTTGGATCAGGAAGTTTCAATATAAAAAAATATTACAACTATTTATTTTGTACTAACAGCATTTTGTGTGTCTGTGTTAACGCGTGTGCGTGCGTCCATCCGTGTTAAAGTGTGTCTGTGTGTCTCCCAACAGGACATGAGGAACCTGAGGTTTGCATTGAAGCAGGAGGGCCACAGCAGAAGAGACATCTTTGATATCCTGTTTAGATATGCCTTCCCCCTATCCCACGGCCTTGTACGTACCTTTTCATTTAGTCTCACCTGATATCATTACCCCCTTTTTAATAACTGTATAATAACTATATATGATTGTACAAGACAAGTGCTTTGTTAGAGTTAATCAGTTTGAGGTATCCTGTTATTTGTCTTTGCTAGGGCTGACCCCATTTAGTTGACTGGTCGATTGTTTGGTCGAAAGGCTATTGTTGGACTGAGATTTTTTTTGTTGTTGAGCAATTGCAAATATATTTTTACAAATTATGGCACACGAGACACCTGTCTGACTCACGCCTGTCTCAGTGGACTAATCCATTGTGGAGGCACACCAGTGTCCCCAGTAGTACATTTACCTTAATTACCATCATTTATCATCTACAATGTTTGTTTTGTTACGGTAATTTCTGTTAATGCGTTCAATATATTATTATTATTATTACAGTCTTACCGTTGTCATTGTAGGAGTGGACACGTTGTTTGCGGAGCCCACAACCTACGCTACACTTGTGATAAAAAAAGTTTTGGTTTATTTCATTCCATTTACAAGTTGTCAATGTATTCATTGTGTTTTGTTTGTAGCGCTCCTGTCAATGTTGAGTAAGGACACGCACCTGATTACGCATATAGAAGTAGGACTAGTCTACCTGGCCTGCGCGCAAATGTAGGCTTAGAAATTTGCCCATTTGGGGATCTGATAGTATTTCTGATTGGCTTAACTCACCATCACTGTGGAGCTTCTCAAAGTATTTCTTTCTTCGCCTCAAACAGCAAGTAAACAAAGTCTGTTTTTATATCCATTGAGAATGAAGAGTTCCTCAATGTAGCCTATTTGAAGAATCTGTCCAGCTCTCTCCCTTTCGATTACCACTCAGCACGAAAGGGGGAAAAAATGTTATTGCTTTGATCCGATGGAAACGTCATAAAATAGGCCTTCCTGATTACTTCTTATCCCTTGTGCAAATAGCCTACAGCTGTGTCTCTGTCCAGAGCTCACTGGCCCGGGAAACTGTGAGGGCCCAGAATATTCTATACAATAATAATAATATGCCATTTAGCAGACGCTTTTATCCAAAGCGACTTACAGTCATGTTGCAAGTTTGCTAGAAGGAGCTTCAGGCAGGACCAAGTTAATAGTTGAAACAATGTTTCAAGTTCCTTGCAGACAGGCCATGCGTAGCCAATGTGATTTATAGGATTAATTTTTATCCTGATATTTTCTACCTGCAAGCTTTTTTTTTGTTGGCTTTATGCAGGCTATTTTTTACATATTGGCAATAGAAGTTACTTTTAGATTTGTATCATTTTCATTTAGATTGAATTTTGATTAACCTCATGATGTTGATTTTGAGATATGAAGACTTTATTATGAATTAAATGAAACTGTTCCATGAAAATGCATATGCATATGAAAATCATAACTGGAACGCAGATCAGTAGAAATGGTACGATAACTTGGCACTCCAAATGGAAAAGGTTGCAGATCGTTGGCGTAGCGGAATGGCAGTCTGAAGGCCAGCTGCAGCGGGAGGAGGAGGGTCGGGAACTGTTTTTTTTTGTTTTTTTTTGTTCTTCTGGTTAGGCTGTATTGTTTTCTGGCTCCCTCTTTAGTAATTTGTGTCCATTTTTAATCGCAGTGCTTAAAGCATCAGACAAGCTCAGTAGCCTACATATAGTTCATTTTATTCAAACATATGGTGTGTCTATGTATGGAAAAATACACATTTTAAAATGTAGACTAATCGTTTGGTCGAAATAACATATTTTTTTTTAGTCGGGGACAGCCCTTGCAAATCATTAGAGAAGAGTCACCAAACAATCACTCATAAAGAGCAGTTGACTTAGCGTTCTCTCTCGCTCTCTGTAGCTTCTGTTTGCGTACCTGAGTCAGGAGAAATTTGAAGAGAACGGCTGGAGTATCTACAAACCTGTGGAAGAGTTCAGGCGGCAGGTATGACTCATCATTGTCTTATTAAATGTGTCATTACATTGTTATTGCCGGTTTTCTAGGTTGTTGTCTGTGTTGGGATAGATCCAATGCCACACTTACTTAGTCTGCTTAAATACTGTTGCTTGAAGATACCCAGGGAAAGACAACCTAATCATTCCGTGACAAAGCTTTTGAAAATAAACCGATTCATGCGACCAGTGCCGTTAAACTAGCATAGCTGGTCCCATTGTTTAGGATTATTCCTCATTTATGCAAAGAGTTGTGGGATATTAGAATCCTCTTGTCTTAAACTTCAACCTCGTCATCAGTGATGTAGTACTGTACCTCGCCAATAATGCATCCGATTGAGTCACAGCCTGCAATCTCTTCGCTGATTGGCTATTTGTCTCCCCCCGTCACCAGGGCTTACCCAATGACAAGTGGCGTATCACGTTCATCAATGCCAACTATGAGCTGTGCGACACCTACCCCACCATACTGGTGGTTCCATTCAAAGCTACAGAGGAAGACCTGAGGAAAGTGTCTACCTTCAGGTCTAGAGGACGCATACCTGTGAGTCCTTGTTTCTCATCTCACCCTCTTCCTGCCGTTCTTTCCCCCTTTCATTCCCTCTACCCATATCTCCTTTCTCTCCTTCCATCTCTCTGTTATCCCCTACACCTGATCCCTCTGTGTCTTTCCTTTGACTGTCTCCACCCAACCCACAACCCGATCCCTCTCTCCGCTCGTCTCTATCTCTCCCTGCCCTCCTCTCCTGCTGCTCTCTCTCTCATTCGATTCATCTCTCCATCTTCTTCATTCTTCATGCATTCATTATTCATTCATCTCATTCTTCATCATTCATTCATTCATTCATTCATTCATTCATTCATTCTTCATTCATTCATTCATTCATCTTATATATATATATATTCATCCTCTAGGTGCTATCGTGGATCCACCGTGAGAACCAGGCTGTTATCTGCCGCTGCTCCCAGCCCCTGGTGGGGATGTCTGGGAAGAGGAACAAGGACGATGAGCGCTACCTGGACCTGATCCGGGAGGCTAACGGCACCGCCAAGCTCACCATCTACGACGCACGGCCCAGCGTCAACGCCGTCGCCAACAAGGTCAGGAGTCAAAGGTTAAAAGTCGCATAAAGGTCATGTCGGCGTAAAAGGGGGTCATAAGTCTCATGAGGTGCGTTGGTTGGGTTCTGTTGGGATGGTGTGTATAGGTTTAGGCCTCATAGATCATCCAGACAGAGATGATATCATAGATATATGGGAGTTTTCTAGTTTCTACGTTTCTGGATTCCTTGTAAGAGTACTTCCCAGAGAATCTTCTAAGCGATTCATGACATTCTTTCCCTTTTTTCTGCTGTGATTTAGATGGTCTTTTGCTTTAGGTCTGGTGTTGTCTTCCGTAGAGAGATGGACTGTGTTCTCTTGTTGTCCACTGTAGGGTCTTGCTAGTTGTCTCCTACATTGTGTGCTGGTGTCAGAAGTAAGAACTGAGGAGGTAGAGTTTAGAAGCTAAGAGGACACAGCAACTACACCGTGTGTGTGTGTGTGTGTGTGTGCACCCCGCTTGGAGTGAAATTGAATGTTTGATCTCAAATTACTAATATGGAATCTATATAATAATCCCCAAATATCTGCCAGTGAGGGGCTTTTAACAACAAGCTGCCTCCGACCTGCAGTGTGTGATCTCTGCCAGTGAGAGGCTTTTAACAACAAGCTGCCTCCGACCTGCAGTGTGTGATCTCTGCCAGTGAGAGGCTTTTAACAACAAGCTGCCTCTGACCTGCAGTGTGTGATCTCTGCCAGTGAGGGGCTTTTAACAACAAGCTGCCTCCGACCTGCAGTGTGTGATCTCTGCCAGTGAGGGGCTTTTAACAACAAGCTGCCTCCGACCTGCAGTGTGTGATCTCTGACCTGCAGTGTGTGATCTCTGACCTGCAGTGTGTGTGTTCCAACAACTGATCACAACCCCAAAGCATTTACGATGACCCTGTTTGAATCCTTCCCTCCTTGAAGTAATCGCTGATCTGACCATGTTGGATTGGTCAAAGCCGTATAGGGTGAAAACCATAGAATACAACGCCGTAGTAAAATACTGTATTTCCATGGGGGAAACTTCACTTTCATTTATCCAACCACAAATAGGCCAGTGATACCCTCGAGAGAGGGGGGGAAAGAATGATACTTTTTTTTTTGCATTTTCAAACGCCATGGCCAGTGATTTTTTTCCATTTTTGTCCATGAATGATGACTCTTCAACCTCTGACCTCTATCCCCTCTCTCTAGGCCACGGGTGGGGGTTACGAGGGTGAGGATGCATATCAGAACGCTGAGCTGGTGTTTCTAGACATACACAACATCCACGTGATGAGAGAGTCCCTGAAGAAGCTAAAGGACATCGTCTATCCCAACGTAGAGGAGTCGCACTGGCTGTCCAGTCTGGAGTCTACACACTGGCTAGAACACATCAAGGTAGGGCGGCGCACTGGCTGTCCAGTCTGGAGTCTACACACTGGCTAGAACACATCAAGGTAGGGCGGCGCACACACTTCAAACACCCCTCTCCTCTTCTCTAGCTGCTCATATCGGGAGCCATCCAGGTAGCAGATAAGATCAGTGAGGGTAACAGTGTGGTGGTCCACTGTAGTGACTGTCTCTGTGTCTCTCTATCAGGAGCCATCCAGGTAGCAGATAAGATCAGTGAGGGTAACAGTGTGGTGGTCCACTGTAGTGACTGGCTCTGTGTCTCTCTATCAGGAGCCATCCAAGTAGCAGATAAGATCAGTGAGGGTAACAGTGTGGTGGTCCACTGTAGTGACTGTCTCTGTGTCTCTCTAGCTGCTCATATCGGGAGCCATCCAGGTAGCAGATAAGATCAGTGAGGGTAACAGTGTGGTGGTCCACTGTAGTGACTGGCTCTGTGTCTCTCTAGCTGGTCATATCGGGAGCCATCCAAGTAGCGGACAAGATATCGGGTGGTAACTCTGTGATGGTCCACTGTAGTGATGGGTGGGACCGGACGGCTCAGCTCACCTCTCTGGCCATGCTGATGCTGGACAGCCACTACCGCACCCTGAGGGGATTCCAGGTAAAGCACTTTGTGACAACGGCTAATGTAAAAAAAATAGCTTTATAAAGTACATTTGATTGACTTGATTTTTGATTGATTGATTTCAGGTGCTGCTGGAGAAGGAGTGGATCAGCTTCGGACACAAGTTTGCCAACGTAAGTCCACCCTGTTCCAAGGCATTCACTCTCAGCTTATGATGAGAATGGAAAAAGTGCTTGTTGTGTTGAGGAATTTGAACTCTGGTAATGACGTTTTCAGTCATAGATTGTTTTTGTATGCTTATTTGTGCTGTCAACTGGGGACCAAATGATCTCTGGGAAGCAGTGGAGGCTGCTGAGGGGAGAACGGCTCTTAATAATGGCTGGAACGGAGCAAATGGAATGCACACCTGGAAACCATGTGTTTGATGCCATAACGCTCCCGCCATTACCAACGAGCCGTCCTCCCCAATTAAGGTGCCACCAACCTCCTGTGATGGGAAGCAACTAAACGGACCAATATTATGTACAGAGAAATATCAAGGACCAGGAAGAACAAACTAGAGATAATAAGAAGCTGTTTACACTGTGCTCTCTCCCCCCCTGTGTGTCTATATAGAGGATAGGACACGGGGATAAGAACCATGCGGATCAGGACAGGTCTCCTATCTTCGTACAGTTCATAGACTGTGTCTGGCAGATGACCAAACAGGTAGGAACAGTAGACACCTGTGTAGAGCTTTATTTCAATTTGTCTTTTCCACGACGATCTTCTGACTTCCTCCTCGACTGTATTGGAGGAGAAGGCCCAAGGTCCCGCCCTTCGAACCTTCTTCTCCCAATGCATTTTGAGAAGGAAGTGAGGAGAGAGGATGCAAGGAATCGAGGAAGAATTTACTGAGAAAAAGCCTACGGGTTTAAAACCTCTATCTCTCCCCTTCTCCTCCAGTTCCCGACAGCGTTTGAGTTTAACGAGCGTCTCCTAGTGACCATCCTGGACCACCTGTTCAGCTGTCGCTTTGGAACCTTCCTCTACAACTGCGAGAGCGCCAGGGACACCAACGTAAGTTACCTGTTAGGTCTGGGAATTGCCAGGGACCTAACGGTACGATATTATCACGATACCGAGGTGCCGTTTTTTGTGATATGTATTGCGATTCTCACGATTCTATATTGTATTGCGATTCGATAATGGGATTTTATTGCGATTCGATGTTCCAAGCATATTTCTCACCCTATGTCTGCTGCAGAGGGACAAGCCATGAGAAAAGCTATGAAGGAAAAATAGAGTTTTGGTGCAGGTACAGCCGACTAGCGCAAAAATGTATATTGCGATATTGTTAAAATTATACGATATATCGTCAAAAATAATATCCCGATATTTTACTGTATTAAAAAAAATGTCTATCTGGCTAGCTGTGTGTCTTTCTGTCTTTGGAACCTTCCTCTTCAACTGTAAGAGTGCCAGGGACACCAACGTAAGTTCCACCTCCAGTCTCTCTCTCTCTCTCTCTCTCCCACTTTCTGTTTCTCTCTCCCCCTACAAGTGCAATTGTCTGAGACAACAATATGAGTCAGAGCCCAGCTTCTCTCCTCTCACTCTCTCTTTTTGTCATTTCCTCTTTTCCCTCTCTGTTAACTCTTTCTCTGTGACCTTCTCTCTTCTTTTCTACATTAGTCTTCTTGTATCGCACACTCCAATTCCCAGCTAGCACATAACGTTCTGAGGACCATATATATTTCTTAGAGCTTGGTGAGAGCGTGGTTGTCCTATGGTTATTTTGCATACAACTTTCCCACAACATTCTGGGAATGGTGCAGGATACCCAGCTAGCACATAACGTTCTGAGAACTATGTTTCTTAGGTGGGAATTTGATTACTTCAGCATAATGTTTTCAGCAGGTTTCCTCATGGTTCTATTTAAAGTCATGTTCTCAGAACATTAAGAAAACATTAACGTTCATAGAACGTTCTAAGAATGTTGTTTAAAAACATATACGTTCCGTTCTCAGCGTCAACAAAACACTATCCTCTATCTTGTTAAGTATGTTCAGGTGTGTTGGCTGCGCCCACTAATTGGCCACACCTGATCTTAATGAGTGCTTGTTTCCTTTGAAATGGGGTCTGTTTGAATAGAAAAATTAACAGCTTTGTATGAGTTAAAAAACTGTGGACTAATTCCATGAATAGAGACCAGAAGATCATAGGTTCGAATTTCACTAAAAGAGACATGTTTGTATGATTAATGCCTAAGCAAATGAATTTCCATATGTCCTATCTGTGCTTGGAGTTAAAAACAGTTAACCCAAACTAGTGTTATTAAAAGTCTTATTGAAACATGTTCTCAGAACGTTATTTAATTACCTTGTAACAACCTATAATTTCTGTTCTCAGAACGTTAATAAAACCTCCCAGGAAAATGTTCAGGGAACCATAGTAAAACATTCTCAGAACCTCCCTGCAACCTAAAAATGAATGTTCCCAGAACTTCCAAGGAACCAAATGTGCTAGCTGGGTCTTTCCCGTCTCTCTACAATATGTTCCTCTGCCAACCCTCACTCTCACTATTTACCTTTCCTTCTCCCTCCTTCTATCTTACGTGTCATCCGGCCTGCGAGCCCATTCAATCCGTCTCGTGGGTGGATCTCAATCGACATTTTAAAGACTAAAGCCAAATCCAAACTGTGTGAAAAATGATAATGGACCTACATTTACAGTCTCTTCACTCTACCCAGCTTGCTAACGGTCATCGAAACGAAAGCGAGACAGAGAGCATAGTAAAGATAATCCATTTTAATTGCGTCCCTTCGGACCTAGGTGAAGACCGACTGCGGCCTGCGGAGGAAATGAGTTCGACACCCTCTACCTCGATCTCTCTCAAAAACCCACTCTCTTTCTCATCTTCTTTTTCCTGGTATCCAATTGGTAGTTAGTCTTGTCCCATCGCTGCAACCCTCGTACGGACTCGGGAGAGGCGGAGGTCGAGAGCCGTGCGTCCTCCGAAAACACAACCCAACCGAGCCGCACTGCTTCTTGACACAATGCCTGCTTAACCCGGAAGAAAGCCGCACCAGTGTGTCGCAGGAAACGCTGTACACTTGGCGACCGTGTCAGCGTGCACTGCGCCCGGCCCGCCACAGGAGTAGCTAGTGCGCGATGGGACAAGAACATCCCTGCCGGCCAAACCCTCCCCTAACCTGGACGACGCTGGGCCAATTGTGCGCCGCCCCATGGGTCTCCCGGTCGCGGCCAGCTGCGACAGAGCCTGGACTCAAACCAGGATCTCTAGTGGCACAGCTAGCACTGCGATGCAGTGCCTTAGACCACTGCGCCACTCGGGAGGCCGCCCTCTTTGTCTTTCATTTTCCCTCCCCCCTCCCCCTCCTCCCTCCACCTCCCCTCCCCTCCTCCCTCCACCTCCCCTCCCCTCCTCCCTCCACCTCCCCGCCACCTCCCCTCCCTCCTCCCTCCACCTCCCTCCCCTCCTCCACCTCCCCTCCCCTCCTCCACCTCCCCTCCCCTCCTCCACCTCCCCTCCCCTCCTCCACCTCCCCTCCCCTCCTCCCTCCCCTCCACCTCCCCCCCCTCCACCTCTCCTCCTCACCCCCCTCCCCCTCCTCCCTCCCCCCTCCCCTCCTCCCTCCCCCCTCCCCCCTCCTCCCTCCCTCCCTCCCCCTCCTCTCCCCTCCCTCCCCCCTCTCCCCCTCTCCCCTCTCTCCCCTCCCCCCCCCTCCCCCCTCCCCCCCCTCCCCCCCTCCCTCCCCTCCCTGCCCTCCCTCCTCCCCCCTCCTCCTCCCCTCCTCCCTCCTCCTCCCTCCCTCCCCACCCCCCTCCCCTCCCCCTCCCCTCCTCCCCTCACCCCTCCCTCCCTCCCTCCCTCCCACCCCTCCCTCCCTCCCCCCCTCCCCCCCACCCTCCCCATCCCCCCTCCCATCCTCCCTCCTCCCTCCCTCCCCCCCCTCCCCTCCTCCCTCCTCTTGATCATGTGAAGTAGAGCAGAAGAGAGAGCGAGAGAGCGATGGGACGCATGACTGGTTCTGAGTGGCAGTAATAATGCACTACTCTCTATGATACAAAGACTAGTCTACACAAGACATAAGACTTGAATTATTGTTCCAGAATCTCTCCTTGATGTTCCCTCTGTCTCTTTCTGTGATTCCGATGGCTAAGATAGGTTGTGGGTTTCATTCAAATATGGGTCATACTGAATATATTTATGTTTACTGTAGGTTGCTGTGCATATAAGTGTCTGCTAAAAGACCATATTTCATTATCTCTCTTCCCCCCTCCCCTCTCCCTCTCTCTCTCCAGGAGTTGCGGTCTAAGACGGTGTCTCTGTGGTCCTGGTTAACTTCTCTCTTTCGCTCTCCAACCCTCCTAAATTATTATTCTCTACCCCCCCTCTTCCCCTCTCCCCCCTCTCCAGGAGTTGCGGTCTAAGACGGTGTCTCTGTGGTCGTTGGTGAACAGTGATGCGTCCTCCTACCAGAACCCCTTCTACACCCCAGAGTCCAATAGAGTCCTCTACCCCGTAGCCAGCATGAGACACCTAGAACTCTGGGTGACTTACTACATCCGCTGGAACCCGCGCATTCGACAACAGGTACATTTTGCTACAGTACGTCCCAATTATCAGTCCTTCCTACCAAAGTGTGCACCTATTCACTTTCCTTCACTGATTTTAAAAAGGCCCATGCCTCCACCAATACAATGCTTTTAGATTTGTGGAAAGTAGTGAATCAATGATGGATGAATAATATGGGCAACAAATCTCAACAACAAACGTAACACTTTTAGGATTGAGCTACAACACACGATACACAGCACTGAACAAACTGTACAGTCAAACAGACTGGCCAATCAGAGTTGGGGGTAATCTTGTGATCAATCTTCCCTGTAAAATAACATTTCAGCACTGAGCAAATTTCAGGTCTGCTGAGCGCACACTTGAACGTTGTGAGAATTCTTTGCAACTTCTGGAACGTGTTTATTGTGAACACTGAGGCTGTACCCGCTTTAAGTTACAGTTTTAACAGTGGCCATGTAGGCTACTGTGGCTATGTGATCATAATGAAGGCCTACCAGAGTGGCCTACCATCAAAAACAATGGAGAAAATGCATCCCATAACATTTTAATATGGAAATAGCTGTTATATCACTCAGCCTACAGGAGCAGCGAATGTGTGGTGTTCAATGTAGGCCTACATTCCATGAGACTTTTAGAAAAAAACATGCAGGGCTTGACATTAACCTGTTTATCCACTTGTCCTTCAGACATGGAGGTGACTGAAAATGTTGTTGTTTGATGCAAGAAACCACTGTACAAAATAAAGTTAATTATTATTCCCATACCATTATTACAAAGAATTAGACAAATGACGCTGCCCTCTGCCTATTGGCTACTTAGCTTTTTTTATTTGTTTCATTTAATTCACCTTAATTTAACCAGGTAAGCCGGTTGAACAAGTTCTCATTTAAAACTGCGACCTGGCCAAGATAAAGCAAAGTAGTGTGATTTAAAAACAACAACAACACAGAGTTACATATGGGATAAACAAAATGTACAGTCAATAACACAATAGAAAATCTATATACAGTGTGTGCAAATGTAGTAAGTTATGGAGGTAAGGCAATAAATAGGCCATAGTGCAAAATAATTACAATTTAGTATTAACACTAGAGTGATAGATGTGCAGAAGATGATGTGCAAATAGAGATACTGGGGTGCAAATGAGCAAAATAAATAACAATGTAAATAACAATATGGGGATGAGGTAGCTGGGTGGGCTAATTACAGATGGGCTGTGTACAGGTGCAGCTTATTCAAGCCTGTCTCAAAATACAACACTGCAGTGTTTAAGACAGAGAAAATGCTCTTTACCTGACTCGCTTTTCAAAGATGTCTAGAAATGCACACGTTTTGTGCCCTTGTAGGAAGCAACCACTCCCCCATTGGTGACTAGAAATGAGCTATAACTGGGCTAATAATTAACTTACTAGCAAATAATATGAACAAATGTGCACACGTGGCTACATGCAGCTCTCGTTTGATCTCAAAACAAGCGCATCTACTCGCGACCACTCATGCTGTAAACACAGTCCAGTTCAAAGGAATGGCACAGATTCATATATGGCAATTGCATATTTGCATATAGGGATACTACAGCTCTGATTGGTTATGCCGCACCGGTCTGTAGTGTACAGGCTGAGTCGTGCCTACAAGAAAATCTTGCATAGTTCGTTTTGTTCGAGTATGTTGCATTGAAAGTGGCTAATATTGGCAATACCCACGGTAGAGGGGAAACGTTGATAGTGTTAACCAGTGCTTGACTTGGGATGGAAGAAGTGCAGGAGCTATGTTCACCGAAATTCACAAATGACATTGTGCTATAGAGACCTCTGATTATTCACTGTTAACGATTTAAACACATTTTCCATTACTTCTCCATGACTTTTAACCAAATTGTCATGACTATTTTATGAGAAAGTATGAATTATTGACACTGGAAAGCTGCAGTGTTTGATCCCATGTAGACCTACCACCTCCTAGCCCCCGACATAGAACTGCACTGTTAGTAACATGTTGTCAACATGTATGTCAACTCTCCATCTGGAGAGCTCCTGGGTGTGCAGGCTTGGCTTTTTCAACATTACAACCAAATACCTTTGTCTTTATGAAATGATTCCCCCATTCAATAAATCAGGGATTAAATGGATAAGGTAGGCGACTTCAAAGCAAGGTATCTAACTAGACATCTTTACACACTACCGGTCAAAAGTTTTAGAACACCAGAGGCGTCATGCACCCCAAAAATCTGAAGGGGCACAAAGTACACTACCGGTTTTAGAACACCTACTTATTCAAGGGTTTTTCTTTATTTTTTTTACTATTTTCTACATTGTAGAATAATAGTGAAGACATCAAAGCTATGAAATAACACATTTGGAATCATGTAGTAACCAAAAAAGTGTTAAACAAATGAAAATATATTTTATATTTGAGATTCTTCAAATAGCCTCCCTTTGTCATGACTCTCTCCTTGGTGAGGATCAAAGGTATCTGGCAAATGGCTAACAAATAGCCAGATCCCCCCCGCTCTCCCACAGGAGAGAAGAAGGGGGAGTTGGGACGGTTTTATGACTTAACAGCCGGTCATAAATAGTTTGCAGAAAAGGACTCCTTTTGGTCTCTAGTATGGGAAGACTGAGGTGTTCTTTGTTCCAGAGACTCTTTGCCGCCAAAACTTTCTATTGACCCCACCTTCCCCTAACCAAGCAGTCATGGTGTTGTTAGGCCACTATAGGCCTGTTTTCATTGTATTACTACATTAGTAATCAATAACCTATACTGTGTGTGTTTATGTATTCTGTGTTATTATTTAGTTAGTACAGTGAGGGAAAAAAGTATTTGATCCCCTGCTGATTTTGTACGTTTGCCCACTGACAAAGAAATGATCAGCCTATAATTTTAATGGTAGGTTTATTTGAACAGTGAGAAATAGAATAACAACAAAAATTCTCCAGAAAAACGCATGTCATGTACCGATTTTGTACGTTTGCCCACTGACAAAGAAATGATCAGTCTATAATTTTAATGGTAGGTTTATTTGAACAGTGAGAGACAGAATAACAACAAAATAATCCAGAAAAAAGCATGTCAAAAATGTTATAAATTGATTTGCATTTTAATTAGGGAAATAAGTATTTGACCCACTCTCAATCAGAAAGATTTCTGGCTCCCAGGTGCCTTTTATACAGGTAAGGAGCTGAGATTAGGAGCACACTCTTAAAGGGAGTGCTCCTAATCTCAATTTGTTACCTGTATAAAAGACACCTGTCCACAGAAGCAATCAATCAATCAGATTCCAAACTCTCCACCATGGCCAAGACCAAAGAGCTCTCCAAGGATGTCAGGGTCAAGATTGTAGACCTACACAAGGCTGGAATGGGCTACAAGACCATCACCAAGCAGCTTGGTGACTAGGTGACAACAGTTGGTGCGATTATTCGCAAATGGAAGAAACACAAAATAACTGTCAGTCTACCTCGGCCTGGGGCTCCATGCAAGATCTCACCTCGTGGAGTTGCAATGATCATGAGAACGGTGAGGAATCAGCCCAGAACTACACGGGAGGATCTTGTCAATGATCTCAAGACAGCTGGGACCATAGTCACCAAGAAAACAATTGGTAACACACTACGCCGTGAAGGACTGAAATCCTGCAGCGCCCGCAACGTCCCCCTGCTCAAGAAAGCACATCTGCCCGTCTGAAGTTTGCCAATGAACATCTGAATGATTCAGAGGAGAACTGGGTGAAAGTGTTGTGGTCAGATGAGACTAAAATGGAGCTCTTTGGCATCAACTCAACTCGCCGTGTTTGGAGGAGGAGGAATGCTGCCTATGACCCCAAGAACACCATCCCCACCATCAAACATGGAGGTGGAAACATTATGCTTTGGGGGTGTTTTTCTGCTAAGGGGACAGGACAACTTCACCGCATCAAAGGGATGATGGACGGGGCCATGTACCGTCAAATCTTGGGTGAGAACCTCCTTCCCTCAGCCAGGGCATTGAAAATGGGTCGTGGATGGGTATTCCAGCATGACAATGACCCAAAACACACAGCCAAGGCAACAAAGGAGTGGCTCAAGAAGAAGCACAGTAAGGTCCTGGAGTGGCCTAGCCAGTCTCCAGACCTTAATCCCATAGAAAATCTGTGGAGGGAGCTGAAGGTTCGAGTTGCCAAACATCAGCCTCGAAACATTACTGACTTGGAGAAGATCTGCAACAAAATCTGGAACAAAATCCCTCCTGAGATGTGTGCAAACCTGGTGGCCAACTACAAGAAACGTCTGACCTCTGTGATTGCCAACAAGGGTTTTGCCACCAAGTACTAAGTCATGTTTTGCAGAGGGGTCAAATACTTTTTTCCCTCATTAAAATGCAAATCAATTTATAACATTTTTGACATGCGTTTTTTCTGGATTTTTTTGTTGTTATTCTGTCTCTCACTGTTCAAATAAACCTACCATTAAAATTATAGACTGATCATTTCTTTGTCAGTGGGCAAACGTACAAAATCAGCAGGGGATCAAATACTTTTTTCCCTCACTGTATATATATATCTTCTATGGGTTTAATTCGGGAGACGGGAACTCGTTAAACAACTTATTCCGTGGTGCCCCAAAATCCTAATCAGTTAATTGTTACATTATTCATTTAATCAAGTGACAATTAAACAAAGTTAGTTGATTCGATAAATAACAGTCATCAGATTAATGTAAATCACGTCACGACACCTTGATGACAGCTTTGCACACTCTTGGCATTCTCTCAACCATCTTCACCTGGAATGCTTTTCCAACAGTCTTGAAGGACTTCATGATTTTCCTTTACTCTCCGGTTCGACTCATACCAAACCATCTCAATTTGGTTGAGGTCAGGGGATTGTGGAGGGCAGGTCATCTGATGCAGCACTCCATCACTCTCCTTCAGCCTGAAGGTGTGTTGGGTCATTGTCCTGTTGACAAACAAATGATAGTCCCACTAAGCCCAAACCAGATGGGATGGCGTATCGCTGCAGAATGCTGTGGTAGCCATGCTGGTTAAGTGTGCCTTGAATTCTAAATAAATCACAGATCGTGTCACCAGCAAAGCACCCCCACACCAGAACACCTACTCCTCCATGCTTTACGGTGGGAAATACACATGCAGAGATCATCCGTTCACCCACACCGCGTCTCACAAAGATATGGCGGTTGAAACCAGACCAAATGACAAATTTCCACCGGTCTAATGTCCATTGCTCGTGTTTCTTGGCCCAAAGTCTCTTCTTCTTATTGGTGGCCTTTAGTAGTGGTTTCTTTGCAGCAAAAATCGACCATGAAGGCCTGATTCACAGTCTCCTCTGAACAGTTGAGATGTGTCTGTGACTTGAACTGTGAAGCATTTATTTGGGTTGCAATTTCTAAGGCTGGTAACTCTAATGAACTTATCATCTGCAGCAGAGGTAACTCTGGGTCTTCCATTCCTGTGGCGGTCCTCATGAGAGCCAGTTTCATCATAGCGCTTGATGGTTTTTGCGATTGCACTTGAAGAAACCTTCAAAGTTCTTGAAATGTTCCGTATTGACTGACCTTCATGTCTTTAAAGTAATGATGGACTGTCGTTTCTCTTTGCTTATTTGAGCTGTTCTTGCCATAATATGGACTTGGTGTTTGACCAAATAGGGCTATCTTCTGTATAGCCCCTCCTACCTTGTCACAGCACAACTGATTGGCTCAAACGCATTAAGAAGGAAAGAAATTCCACAAATTAACTTTTAAGAAGGTAACCCTGTTAATTGAAATGCATTCCAGGTGACTACCTCATGAAGCTGGTTGAGAGAATGCCAAGAGTGTGCAAAGGTGTCATCAAGGCAAAGGGTGGCTAGTTTGAAGAATCTCAAATGTAAAATATATATAGATTTGTTTAACACTTTTTTTGGTTACTACATGATTCCATATGTGTTATTTCATAGTTTGGCTCTCTTCTGTATTCATGTTTCAGGGGAGATCTATGCACAGCCAGTTCTTTGTCAGTTATTCTTAGAATATTTTTTACGTTGTTGCAATTACATGGCTACTGTTTAATAGAGGGGAATCCCAGCTTTCCAGTGGTGCAGATTTATTTAGGCTCTACAGTGACAAGGTGGAAAGGTGACAACGAAAGTTGATGCTTAGTTATCTATCGTTAACTAGCGAGTTAACTTGTAGCCGTTATGTTTTGGAATTGGTGATCTAGTTAGTCTGGTTGTCATTATTTTATACCTGCTGCTGAAATGTCGCACTCTCTCTCCTCGGGCAACGGCCAACTGGCACTGGCACACATGCAGCACCACAGACATGCACTGAAGGGTCATTCCGATAATGGCTGATATGTTTTTTTATTTTTATTGGTTGATCATCATTTAAAAAAGTATGCTTTCATGAATTACATTAACAACAGCTATGAAACTAATTTCCATGACTTCTCATGAATTGCAAACCCTCATTTGACAACATGGAACAGCGTATCATGTCATTCAGGCTGGTACATTTTCAATCTGCGCGATCTGGAACAGCCTACTGTCACTCACAGATTCACAGACTAGCGGCAAATACATTTGAACAAAGCAGAATCAGGAAATGAATGCCCCCTCTCCATTGCTATTCAATGAAGATCCCGTCTTCATTCCGCTTTGATCAGCCTTTTTTTGCCTCGGTGTGTTAATCTGGGACAGCGATAGGTTACTTTGTTTTTATAGATGAGCCAATACGCAATTCCCCAAAAATCTGAAGTGCCGGACAGCTCCGGCCCAAGTCAACCACTGGTGTTAACTAAAAGGGGAAAACTAGAAAGTTGAGTGAAGTTCAATCTCGTGCTTCTCTGCGCGGGCTGATATTTCTTCTGCCTGCAGCTTAGAGGGAAATTGCTTGTGATCAGTCTGATTGTGAAGGATTGCCTCTGGGGATATTTTGGTTTGGCTGCAGTATTGCCGTGGCATCCTGAATGACTCGCAGTGTTGGGGTCTGAGTGTGTGTTGCGGAGTGTGTGTGTGTGTGTGTGTGTCTGCTGCCTGTTCTTACACACACACACACACACACCTCTTTCCCCTAGCTCTATTAACCCCCCCCGTACACACACACACACACACACCCCTGCAGCCCAAACAGTCAACAGGGTTTGAGTCACTGGAGCAGAAAATCCTATTTCCCTGTCATAATCACACAAACACAGAGAGAGACATTAACCAAAGCCTAAAGGAGTGAGTGAGTGAGTGTGTGTGTGTGTCCACATGCGTGGAAGGAAGCTAAAGTAATTCCACTGCCTAAACATAGTAAAGCGCCCTTTACTGGCTCTAACAGCCACCCAATCAGTTTACTGCCTGTTCTTAGGAAATTGATGGAGAGAAGTGTTTGATCAAATACAATGCTATTTTTCAGAGAACGAGTCAACTACTGACTTTCAGCATGCATATAGAGAACGGCACTCAACTTTTACTGCACTGACTCATAACTGATGATTGGTTAAAATAAATGGATAATAATAGTTTGAGCTGTATTGTTAGATTTCAGTGCAGCCTTTGATGTAATTGATCATACATTGCTGTTGTTGCTATGGCTTTAAATCACCTGCCATCACATGGTTGGAGAGTTATTTATCCAATAGAACTCTTTAGCTAATAGTGTTCTTCAATGGAAGCTTCTCTAGCATCAGATAGGTGAGATAATATCTAGATGCTTTTTATAGTGGAGATCAAGTTTATAAATTGCCTGGCTGGGCTGATGAGACAGTGGATTGCGCAGTCAGCTAGTCTCATAGCAAAGGGTCTGAATACTTATGTAAATATAGTATTTGTTTTTTATTTGTAATACATGTGCAAAAAAAAAATTACCTGTATTCGCTTTGTCATTACGGGGTCTTTTGTTTGGAGTGCTCAATGTGAGCAATGAGCATGTCTGGTTTCTCTGTCCTGATGATAGAGGGAACACGGGCACCTGAGCACACACAGAAGAGCATGTCTGGTTTCTCTGTCCTGATGATAGAGGGAACACGCGCACCTGAGCACACACAGAAGAGCATGTCTGGTTTCTCTGTCCTGATGATAGAGGGAACACGCGCACCTGAGCACACACAGAAGAGCATGTCTGGTTTCTCTGTCCTGATGATAGAGGGAACACGGGCACCTGAGCACACACAGAAGAGCATGTCTGGTTTCTCTGTCCTGATGATAGAGGGAACACGGGCACCTGAGCACACACAGAAGAGCATGTCTGGTTTCTCTGTCCTGATGATAGAGGGAACACGGGCACCTGAGCACACACAGAAGAGCATGTCTGGTTTCTCTGTCCTGATGATAGAGGGAACACGCGCACCTGAGCACACACAGAAGAGCATGTCTGGTTTCTCTGTCCTGATGATAGAGGGAACACGCGCACCTGAGCACACAGAAGTACCTGGCCTGCTGCGCGGAAATGAAGGAACGTTTTTTTTACATCCGTTGAGAATGATATTATATTAAAACTCTAGTTCCTCACAGTAAGCCATTTGAAAAATCTTTCCAACAATCTCCCCCTCTCGATAATCCCCAATCATCGTTGTGAAAGAGCTATGGAGGTTATAGGCCTACTGCTTGCTGCCTATAGGCTATGAGTTAGTTCCATGCGCTCCTTTCTTAAGCCGCCAATGGATCACGCTGTATCCATGTGTCCATATGGCAGATGCTGGTGATCTCGCATTAGTTGAGTTTTAACTTTTTTGGATTTTTATCATTTTAATTCCGATTTCTATGATTAACCACATGACAATGATTTTGAGAAATGGAAACGTTGCTATTGAAACTGTAGGATAAATTGTAAGTGATATTGAAATAATAGGATAAATTGTAAGCTTCCCCAAACTTGAAACTCACGCGCAGCCTATGGAGTCTTCATAAAATAATTGCCTCCACGTTTCCATGGTCGGATTTCGCCTATAGGCTACTTTAAATCAAGGCAAGACATGCCTCATAATATGAATATGAAATTTTCCGGTTTCAAACTATTTAAGTGTGTTTTCAAAATGCATACTGCCTCCTGCGCACATTGTTACGTGGTGGGTGACTCGCTGATAACCTGTTGCCTGCACTTGAGTGGTGAATGGGGGGCGCGTTCCAGTTGAGAAATAAAAATAGTAGCTCTTTAATCGTGCACTAAAACTGTTTTTAACACGTGATTGCATTTTTAGAATTGTTGCACAACGAATGAGCTTATAAAAGCACGTTTTACTCCAGCAGCTCAGGTTGAGAAGCAGCAGGAGAAATCACGCTCAAAATAGGCTCTGTATGCTGTGCGCGTGTGATAGTTGTGTTGGATAAATAAGATACATGATGACTAACAAAAATACACTCGGGCCAATTTAATTCCTCTAAATTATGCAAAATAACCTATAGACCAACAAGCATGACGGTAAAATGTATTTCAGTCGACTGGTATTTCCATCAATGAATAAAAAGTGTTTCTTTTTTTTTTACTCCCGGTCATTTTGGCCAGCAACAGTTTTTATCTGCTTTTCTTTTAATAATAATAATAATATGCCATTTAGCAGACGCTTTTATCCAAAGCGACTTACAGTCATGCGTGCATACATTTTTTTTTTTTGAAGGAAATGTTGCTGTTTGCTTGAGTAATTGGAGATGGAAGGGAGTTCCATGCGATCACGGCTCTGGATAATACTGTGCGTTGCCGTGAATTTGTTTTGGACTTGGGGATTGTGAAGAGATCCCTGGTGGCATGTCTTGTGGGGTATGGATGAATGTCTGAGCTGAATGTTATTTGATTATGCAGACAATCTGGAATTGTCATTATAGTAATGCTTCTCATAACTAGAAGAGAAGCAGTTAATCTCTCATAAACCCTCAACCAGGAAAGACTATCATGCATGTTGTTGATAGTTCTGTATGTGCAGTTAAGGCCAAGGCGTGCTGCTTTGTTTTGAGCCAGCTGCAGCTTTGCTAGGTCTTTCTTTGCTGCTTTGTTTTGAGCCAGCTGCAGCTTTGCTAGGTCTTTCTTTGCTGCTTTGTTTTGAGCCAGCTGCAGCTTTGCTAGGTCTGTCTTTGCTGCTTTGTTTTGAGCTACTTTTCTTTCTTTTTATTGGCTAAAAGCCGGTAATTGACGGCTAACGGAAATCCTGGTCAGCACCCAAAGCCAGTGAACTAAATAAGGAGTTAGTCAGTATCGGAATGGGTGATTTTAATAATAAACTGGTCTTAAATGCATCTAAAACTAAAATAAATGTTATTTGGTTCAAACCATTCTCTGGAGTTTAAAAGGGTGTGACGATTGAGAGAGTTGAGGAAGCTGAACTCCTAGGAGTAACATTGGATGGTCAGTTATCATGGTATGTCTGTTTTTAAAAGATGGTCTGTGTTTTTGACACAGCAACTGTACTACTTGTTCAGGCTCTGGTCTTGTCCCATCTTCATTACTGTCCGGTAATAGGGTCAAGTGCAGCAAAGAAAGACCTAGCAAAGCTGCAGCTGGCTCAAAACAAAGCAGCAAAGAAAGACCTAGCAAAGCTGCAGCTGGCTCAAAACAAAGCAGCAAAGACAGACCTAGCAAAGCTGCAGCTGGCTCAAAACAAAGCAGCAAAGAAAGACCTAGCAAAGCTGCAGCTGGCTCAAAACAAAGCAGCACGCCTTGGCCTTAACTGCACATACAGAACTATCAACAACATGCATGATAGTCTTTCCTGGTTGAGGGTTTATGAGAGATTAACTGCTTCTCTTCTAGTTATGAGAAGCATTACTATAATGACAATTCCAGATTGTCTGCATAATCAAATAACATTCAGCTCAGACATTCATCCATACCCCACAAGACATGCCACCAGGGATCTCTTCACAATCCCCAAGTCCAAAACAAATTCACGGCAACGCACAGTATTATCCAGAGCCGTGATCGCATGGAACTCCCTTCCATCTCCAATTACTCAAGCAAACAGCAACATTTCCTTCAAAAAAAAAAAAGATTAAACATCTCATGCAACATAATTTTATTGGTTGTATTATTTTTATATTTGTTGTATTGTTCGTATATTGTTCTATTTTTAATTTGTGTGACAGTCCTTGTCTATCAGTGTTTTGTTCCTTGTGTGTTTTTTGTGGACCCCAGGAAGAATAGCTGCTGCTTTGGAAAAAGCTACTGGGGATCCTAATAAACAAACAGTATTGTGTGTTGGCATCAGACCAGCTTGCTGCTCCCATTTAAAACACTCTAGACATCGATAATGAATATTCATGTTTTCATTGTGTGTCTCTTGTGCCTCTATACCTCTTTGTGATTGTTTATATGCTTATCTGTTTGCGTTGTTTGCATATAATTAACAGTATTTTTTCCCCCCCCCTCTCTCCCCTCCTTGTCCTGCTCCCCATCCTCTCACCCCTTCGCTGCCTCTCCCTTTCCCCCTTCCCTGGTCTCATCCCTCTCTCTGCCTCCCCCTGGTGGTGGTGGTTATTTATATTCTACACTATCTGACTCTATCCTACTCTACACTATCCTACTCTACCCTACAGCAGCAGAGTCCAGTGGAGCAGCGTTACATAGAGCTGTTAGCCCTGAGAGATGAATACCTGAAGAAACTAGAGGAACTGCAGCTCTCTGACTCCTCCCCTAACTCCTCCCACCTATCAAATAGCTCCACCCCCAACGCGGCCTCTCCCACGCAGCACATCACACACTTGCACACCCCCTTCTGAGTGGGGTCATCACACACACACACACACACAGTCTGACGTATACAACACACGTGTGTATGTGCATTCTCCAGGGTTGGGGTTGATTACATGTCAGTTAAGTTAGTGAATCATAGGAGATTAATTGAAGTTTCAAATTTGAGAGTTGAAAAGTGACATTTTTTCCCAATGAGGATTTTTCAGTTCTGCAGGATTTCAGAATTTCAATTCACTTCCTAAAAATTCACTTCCTGAAATTGAAATGGATTTGACCCTTACACAGATACAGGCAGTAGTTTTTTTGTACATAGCGTTAGTAAGTCATAATGTAGTCAATAAATAACATGGAATAGATGTAACCATGGTGATTATGCAACATGTCACAGTACAGCCTTTTCACAACTTTTATAGAATGTTAGTTTTTTCTCTCACAAAAACAGAGAAGCCTTAATACGAAATAAAACAAAAATGTTTGTAGATAAACAATACTAAAGGTTGAGTGTAAAGGGTTAAAACTCACCGGCTGCATTCCAATTCTCTACCCTTTACCAAGAAGTGTGCATTCAGTCACGCCCCATCGTGCTTATGCATTGTATTTGGTGCAAGCATGGCTGGATGGAGTTTCCACCATATTCCTCACACCAGTCCCTTCCTGTTAAATCCATGAGGGGGCGTGTATGAGCGCACACTTCGGCAGAAGGGTAGAGAATGGGATCGTAGCCCCTGATCCTCTTGGGGTGAATACACTGTGCTCCTCTCCATGACCAGAAAAAGGGCACTGTTATGACAAACAGACTGGAAAGAGGGAGAGAGGAATGAACATGTGACTAGGAAGTGTATGTGATGGTTTCCCTTCAGTCATTGTGTACCTATGTCCCAACATAGGCAATACCAGTCCAGTCATTCAGTTAAGTTTGGACAGGAAGCTTGAGTAACTACAGTCGACTCTTGATAAGTGCGCAGTTGGGTAAGTGCAAACCGAGTCCACTGCAGTTCCCCAGTCCCAACTCACATACATTATTTTATAAGTGCTCTGAATATCTGCATCTTCCAGTTTACTGCATGCATTCATAACCACAGAAATCCTATAAATCAGTTATTTTTAATTCTGTTCATAACAGCCCCAAATTGTAGCATTTATCAGGGGTTGATTGTACTCCAGTCTGATGTTCAGTAGACCAAGTATTACATTTACATTTTAGTCATTTAGCAGACGCTCTTATCCAGAGCGACTTACAGTTAGTGAGTGCATAAATTTTTCATACTGCCCCCCCCCCCCCCCCCCCGTGGGAATCGAACCCACAACCCTTGCGTTGCAAGCGCCATGCTCTACCAACTGAGCTACAGGAGGGCCCAAGTATCCCTCTATTGTACTGGAGAAGGTCTATGGAGAGACGGGACACACGGTCAGTTGTATTGGTTCCTATGAGAGGTTCTGTGAGGTATCTTATCGTGGTCAGTTGTATTGGTTCCTATGAGAGGTTCTGTGAGGTATCTTATCGTGGTCAGTTGTATTGGTTCCTATGAGAGGTTCTGTGAGGTATCTTATCGTGGTCTGTTGTATTGGTTCCTATGAGAGGTTCTGTGAGGTATCTTATCGTGGTCTGTTGTATTGGTTCCTATGAGAGGTTCTGTGAGGTATCTTATCTAACCCTGTCCCAGATCTGATTTGTACTGTCTTGCCGAATCAAATCACATTTTATTGGTCGTGTACACATGTTTAGCAGATGTTATTGCGGGTGTAGAGAAATGCTTGTGTTCCTAGCACCAACAGTGCAGTAGCATCTAACAATTCACAACAATACACACAAATCTAAAAGTAAAAAGAATGGAATTAAGAAATATTGAAATATTAGGATGAACAATGTTGGAGTGGTATTTACTAAAATACAGTAGAATAGAATACAGTATATACATATGAAATGAGTAAAGCAGTATGTGAACATTATTAAAGTGACTCATATGGTCTTTGTCATGCATTACAATGACCTTAGGAGTTGGTAAGACAGCACAAACCGTTTTGGCACCAGGCTAGGTCCACTCAGTCAGTCCAATAATAGTGACCAGTGATCCCAGTCCCCTGGTTCTGCCTCAACCCAACTCTCATTTTGCCAACTTCAAACTTCAGAACCTTTTAGAACCTGTCACCTTAAAAAACGGTCAAACTCCTCTTGGCATAAACGGAAACATTTGCCATCGACCCACTTGATCCCAGTCCACGTAGCAAAATGGTTTTGGACTCCCACAGAGTAGTCTCAGAAATAATCCATTGTACTGACACAAAGAAAAGCTGTGGACAGGAGAAGTTATTTTGACGAGCAATGACCAGAGGTGGGATCAGATCGGTGGAAGTCCAGAATTGTTAAGAACGTTTCAAGGGACCACGATAAGGTGTACAAAGTATTCTCAGAATAAGAGTTTCAGATCAGATTGGTGGGAAAAGTCCGGAATCGTTTAGTTAATCTTTACAGGGCAGATCCAATGTTCTGGAGAACGCTGGTCGGGTCCAGTTCTGTGCCTTTGACCATCTGAAGTTCAACCTCAGGTGGACGTTTTGTATGTACCCAAACTATAACTGTCTTTGTTCCTCTGTGGTCGGCATCTGTGGCGAGGGGTAAAGGGAAAGATAGCACCTGATTGGTTATGGTAGAAGAAAGGAAGCACCCAATTGGTTGTGGCAGGGGAATGATGGATTCCGATTGGTTGTGGAAGGGTAAAGAAGGCACCCGATTGGTTGTGTCAGAGGGAACAAAGGATCCTGTTGGTTGATACAGTATGTATGTATGTATGTATGGTCCTTCTGGGTAGGATAACGCTTGTTGAAAACAGTCACCACTGGATATGGAAAGACCATACAGAGAGAACTTAGAGGGCTTGTAGCTGAACAACATCTATTGAAAGATGGTGATGATGATGATGGGGTAAAACTGAGGGCTCTTGTTATTTAAACCTTTCAGGTACTCCCTTTTCGCTCCCTAATGCCACCCCAGAATGCGTCACTTCGGAAGACTTCGGCCTCAATGAGGTGAAAAGGTTTCAAACGAAGCTGAGAGAAAAATGATCAACAAAGCAAAATCATTTTTGGTTTGTTGGTTGTGTTTTTAGGCAAAAGATTGAAAGACAAATCTATTTTGTTTTCTTTATACAAGTACAGTAACTATGATGTAATTACCTCAAACAAAACTTATTTTACTGTTAAAGTTATTGTTGTAAAATATTATTTTATTTAGTGTCAAATTTGACACGTTTTATAAAAAGGAAAGTAGTAGGACAAATGTTATTTGTTTCTTTGAATGGTTGGTTAATAATTTGTGGATTTCTTGTTACATAAATGAGTTTAGAATTTAATGTAGTTTTTTTTTTGTTGCATTTTAGGATTTATTTTTTCTAACAGAGGACAGTGAATCATGAATTATGGGAGATTTGATTCAGTCGGGAATTGATTCAGTTCCTTTGAGTCCTGTGATTGTGTAAATAGGGTCGTGATTCAATCGATTGAGTGGCTGAGGATCCAACTTTTCTGGACCCCTCTTCTGGACAGCTAAAGGTCCCGAAGCTTCTGCTATTGTGTGGGATTCTCTACTTTACGCACAGTCTCTGCTCTACTCGTAGGGAACAGGCTACTCTGGCGAATGGTGCTCTTTTAATAAGGTTAGATCAAAGCTGAATCAGTGTCTGCAAAAACACAATGATAGCATTCTACATAACAGCACTGAATAATATAGTAGCATAGTGTAATGATGATGCTCTAAATGCCTATCCCCATGAAACTGAGATCAAATGGTTGGTATGCAGATGCTGCATGGACGTTTCATCCGTAAAACTTGGAAGAATTATAATTCACGATTGACACAAAAAATGTGAAGGGCGGTTCTCTACGTGTGTGTAGAGCAGAAACTGTGCGGAAAGTAGAGAATCCCGTACATGCGCAGAAGCATCGGGACCTTTTAGCTGTCGGGAAGAGGGGTCCAGAAAAGTCTGATCTGCAGCCTCTGCCTTCAATCAAACTCATTGCGGTATTTTATGCAGTAGCTCTTTTACCCCCTAAGGTCAAATATAATCCCTGAACAGCGGTAATAACTTACTACTACCACAAGGAAGTATCCCACACATCACAAATGGATGCTTCCATTTTCCACAATGAGAAGTCTATGCATAGAAATTAGTTTGTAAACAAAGACACTGCCATAAACATCAGCATGCCGAGTTTGACTGAATTCCAGCCCTAGAGGAATTGAGCACTGATAAAGGACTGTGTTCCAAATGTCACCCTATTACTGCCAATATAGTGCACTTATTTTGACTAGAGAATAGGGTGCCAACTGTCGCTAGTGATTTTGTTTATTTTCTTCATGTAGTCTACCTTAACGTAGGGATATCTAGTCTAAAGGGATTTCTGTCATATTATAGCCTACTTACTTCCCTAGCCTGGCGTCCCAGATCAGTTTGTGACTTCTTGCCAACTCCTCATGACCATAGGAGTTAGCCTGGGTGCCAGTCTGTTTCAGGGGGCGTACTGTTCAGGTGCTGTACTTGTACATCAAGCTGCCTCACGCTACAGAAACAGGAGACAGGCTATGGGCCTGTCTGGCATGGACAAGGCTTACTTACCAGTCTTTGTCTGCTCTGTTCATGTCAGGGCGAGCATAAACATACTGGCACCCAGGCTACATGGGAGTTTTGGCAAGACGACACATACATATGTGGGATCCAGGCTGTACTGCTCCTCTCATGTATGAGTGCACCACTGTTGGTTGTTGTGTAAATAATGCTGGTTAAATTAATTTAAAGATTTCTCACTTTTTAAAAACATGTTGATTTGGGTTGTTTCTTTCATTCATATTCTTGTGGTCGTAATGTGTCTTTATTGTCCTTTATTTATTCAGGTCATTTTGAAATGAGGAAAATCTCTTTATGTAATGTCTGCTCATGTGAAGATTGTGGATATTCAGACCTTGTCCCTTCATAGGATATCTCAGCCCTAAACTGACCTTGTCCCTTCATAGGATATCTCAGCCCTAAACTGACCTTGTCCCTTCATAGGATATCTCAGCCCTAAACTGACCTTGTCCCTTCATAGGATATCTCAGCCCTAAATATAAACAGAATAACTTTTGAAATTTTAGCACAATTAAAAATAAAAAACAGAACTTATTTACATAAGTATTCAGACTCTTTGCTAAGAGACTCAGGTGCATCTTGTTTCCATTGATATGTTTCTACAACTTCATTGGAGTCCACCTGTGGTAAATTCAATTGGAGTTTGCCAAAAGGCACCTAAAGGACTCTCAGACCATGAGAAACAAGATTCTCTGGTCTGATGAAACCAAGATTGAACTCTTTGGCCTGAATGCCAAACGTCACATCTGGAGGAAACCTGGCACTATCCCTACGGTGAAGCATTGTGGTGGCAGCATCATGCTGTGGGGATGTTTTTCAGCGGCAGGGACTGGGAGACTAGTCAGGATCGAGGGAAAGGTGAACGGTGCAAAGTACAGAGATCTTTGATGAAAACCTGCTCCAGAGCACTCAGGACCTCAGACTGGGGTGAAGGTTCACCTTCCAACAGGACAACGACCCTAAGCACACAGCCAAGACAACACCCAGCCAGAGCCCGGACTTGAACCCGATCAAACATCTCTGGAGAGACCTGAAAATAGCTGTGCAGTGACGCTGCCCATCCAACATGACCGAGCTTGAGAGGATCTGCAGAGAAGAATGGGAGAAACTCCCCAAATACAGGTGTGCCAAGCTTGTAGCGTCATACCCAAGAAGACTCGAGGCTGTAATCGCTGCCAAAGGTGCTTCAACAAAGTACTGGGTAAAAGGTCTGAATACTTATGTAAATGTGATATTTCCAGTTTTTTTTTTTATATACAATTGCAACCATTTCTAATAACTTGTTTTTTTTGTAATTATGGGGTATTGTGTAGATTGATGAGGGGAAAAAACAATGTAATCCATTTTAGAATAAGGCTGTAACATAACAAAATGTGGATATTCAGACCTTGTCCCTTCATAGGCTATCTCAGGGCTAAATTGACCTTGTCCCTTCATAGGATATCTCAGCCCTAAACTGACCTTGTCCCTTCATAGCATATCTCAGCCCTACATTTAACCAGCAGGCTATAGTTCACGTCTCCTTGGAATATACTCTACCAGTCAAAAGTTTGGACACACCTACTCATTCAAGGGTTTTTCTTTATTTGTACTATTTTCTACATTGTCGAATAATAGTGAAGACATCAAAACTATGAAATAACACATATGGAATCATGTAGTAATCAAAAAAAGTGTTAAACAAAACAAAATATTTGAGATTCTTCAAATAGCCACCCTTTGCCTTGACAGCTTTGCACACTCTTGGCATTTTTTTTATAGTTTTACTTTTGATACATAAGAATATTTAAAACCAAATACTTTTAGACTTTTACTCAAGAAGTATTTCACTGGGTGACTTTCACGTTTACTTGTCATTTTCTATTAAAGTATATTTTACTTTAACTCAAGTATGACAATTGGTTACTTTTTCCAGCACTGTGTAAAGTGTTGGTCCCATGTTTCATAAGCTGAAATAAAAGATCCCAGAAATGTTCCATATGTACAAAAAGCTTATTTTTCAACAACCAAAAAAAATCACATTTGTTTACACCCCTGCTAGTGAGTATTTCTCCTTTGCCAAGATCATCCATCCACCTGACAGGTGTGGCATATCAAGAAGCTGATTAAACAGCATGATCATTACACAGTTGCACCTTGTGCTGGGTGACAATAAAAGGCCACTAAAATGTGCAGTTGTGTCACACAACACAATGCCACAGATTTCTCAAGTTTATAAGCGAGTGTGCAATTGGCATGCTGACTGCAGGAATGTCCACCAGAGCTGTTGCCAGATAATTCAATGTTAATTTCTCTACCATAAGAGGAGATCCAGAGGCCCATTGTCATGCCATTCATCCGCCGCCATCACCTCATGTTTCAGCATGATAATGCACGGCCCCATGTCGCAAGGATATGTACACAATTCCTGGAAGCTGAAAATGTCCCAGTTTTTTTATGGCCTGCATACTCACCAGACATGTTTCCCATTGACCATGTTTGGGATTCTCTGGATCGACGTGTATGACAGCGTGTTCCAGTTCCCGCCAATATCCAGCAACTTTGCACAGCCATTGAATAGGAGTGGGACAACATTCTACAGGCCACAATCAACAGCCTGATCAACTCTATGCGAAGGAGATGTGTCGCGCTGCATGAGGCAAATGCTGGTCACACCATTTACTGACTGCTTTTCTAATCTCAATTGGGTTGAGATCTGGTGCCTGAGACCGACACACACTTTAAACCCCCTATGCTCCTTTGAGACCCCTCTTTCAAAGTCACTGAGATCTCTTCTTCTAGCCATGGTAGCCAAAACAATTGGCAACTGGGCATTTTTATGCACGACCCTAAGCATGATGGGATGTTAATTGCTTAATTAACTCAGGAACCACATCTGTGTGGAACCACCTGCTTTCAATATACGTTGTATCCCTCATTTACTCAAGTGTTTCCTTTATTTTGGCAGTTACATGTACCTCTTGTGACCTACATTTGCAGGCGCACTAACAATGTAATAACCATACCTATTTTATGGGAAGTAGGCCTACAACAGTTCATACATCCTCAATCTAATGGTTTTTGATGCTGAAACTGGTTGAGGATGTGAGCCTCTAGCTCAAATGCATTTTGGGTAATCTTAGTGGTTCGCGTGGGGAGGGTATGTTCAAGCGCTCGACTTCTGCGTCCTAGTAGTAAATAAACACACAAGCCTTCTTTATCAGTTAACACAATCAGACCTGGCAGCTAGCGAACAGCCGTATTCTGTCTCGTGCTGTGAGCTAATAGCTAAGGGAAGCTAACACATTCTTAAACACGTCGCCGGCGACCCAGATCTGTTGACAATCGGAAAGGAAGCAGATTTGATCCATCATCTAACGGGAAGGAAACGGGGTTGAGTGGAGAGGGAAAATGGACAAGCAGTTTTTTGGAGGAGTTGCCGGTGGAGATAGCACTGCGCAGCCGGGAGTAGCGAATCGAAACAACAAGCCTCGGACGCTTGCCACCTCTGGATCGAAACAGGATAGCTTGGAGACATTGGACAGGTGATATGTTATTTCGTTATCGGTACACAACTGTTACAATGTTACTAGCTACAGTGTTAGGATAATTTACACTGGGCAGTGTCGCGCATAGAAGAGCGAATATCTCTTTCGTAGGCTGCAGGCTAGACAATTGCTTGCCATATGTTGTTACAATGTTATGCTATTTGTGCATTTGCTGTTGGGCGGTGTCGTGGAAATCGTTGTAGAAAAGCGACTTGCTCTTTCCTGCCTGCATGCATTTCGGGACTTGTTTGACATATCTTGTTGTTAGTGTAATTTTCAACGAGAAAGCGACAGTTTAACGTTTTCATTTTCAAAGCGTTACATTGTTCTGCAACATGCATTCGATTATTGTCCCGTGAAACAAAGCATTACATTAATCTGTAGTAGCCTACTGTGTCTCATGTGTATTTCGGCATTCAGCAATGAGCGCGCCAGATGGGCGCGTAGGGATCTGTGCCAAGTGAACACGCCTCAGTGATAAAGCAGTGTCTTTGCCCAGCAGGAATCAGCCTAACCGCGACCTATTTTAGCCCAGAATGTTGCAGACAGGCTTATTTATTGTGACGCAACCTACTACTGTGTCTGACTGTCTAGCCTATGTCTATGGTAGCTCTCCAATAGCCTAATGATTTACAGCTGATAGTAAACCTCTGTCTCTCCCTTGAACCCTCTGGCCCCCTTCCTCTGTCTGTCTCGCTGTTTTCATATCTGTGTACCCTCTCCCTCTCTCCTTTGAACTCTGTCTATTCCCCTCCCCCTCATGGCTCTCTCTCTCTTCCTCCTCCTCACTTTCTGTATATCCCCCATGTCTCTGTCACTGTCCCCCACCCCCCCCCCCCTTCCATCCCTCCTCCAGTCCGACAGGTTCTCATGTAGAGTGGTGTAAGCAGCTGATCGCAGCCACCATCTCCAGCCAGATATCATCTGTACCCCCAGACACTGCATCCGGAGACTGCAAGGTGGGACACATATGCGTGCGCACACACACACAATAACAGGTTTAGACACACTCATCACACAGTTGTGTTTTCTGACTGACAGGTTTGGAGGAGGACAGATCTCCCAAGGGTAAGGTTAATTAACCATAGCAGCAGCAGTGTCTGTGTGTTTGCTTACACACATCATGTACCTGCGTAGAGGGATTTGGGTAGTCTTTTGCTCTCTTCTTCTACATCAACTGACTCAGTCATGCCAGTCATTCTTTTTCTTCTATATCAACTGACTCAGTCATGCCAGTCCTCCTTTCTCCTTCTACATCAACTGACTCAGTCATGCCAGTCCTCTTCTCCTTCTACATCAACTGACTCAGTCATGCCAGTCCTCTTTCTCCTTCTACATCAACTGACTCAGTCATGCCAGTCCTTCTTTCTCCTTCTACAGCAACTGACTCAGTCATGCCAGTCATTCCAGTCCATTCTAACCAGGGTTTCCCAAACTCAGTCCTGCCCCGCCGGGTGCACGTTTAGGTTTTTGCCCCAGCACTGCACAGCTGATTCAAATAATCAAAGGTTGATGATGAGTTGGTTATTTGAATCAGCTGTGTAGTGCTAGGGGGGGGGGAGGACCAAGTTTGGGAAACCCTGGTCTAAAGCATCGTATTACAGTCTGAGGTTTAGAGGTTTTGTATTCAGTGTGTCAATGCTTCTCTCGCCGCCTGTTGCAGCTTTACCTACTGGTGATGTTAGCGTCCACTAGGCTTATCTGTGTGTGTGTGTGTGTGTGTGTGGTTGTTGTCTGTAACCCACAGGTGTCCAAGAGGCCTGTTCTGAGGGTAAGATTTAAAGACTGTTGCTGCTTCCACCTGCCAAAAACCCATTTTAATATTAATCGACTCTCTTACTACTTGACAACCTGTCAAGGAGTGTGTGGAGTACAGAGCTATGTAGAAAAACGTTTTTTCTTCGTGATGACCTACTACTCTTTCTATGGATGTCTGAAGTTTTCAGCTAATTCTATATGGGCTGTGTAGTAGTTTGTAGGAGCCGCCATGCTGTTTTGACTTTGTCTGTGTATCTATTACTTTCAAGGCTACAGATACTGCGGTCTACAGACTTCAAGGTGTTACTGTGTCCTGTCTACAATGTTGTGTAGCTTTGCTCCCTTCACTTCCTGTTAGAACTCTACTGATTCTAACTTTGAATTTCCCTACAAAGCTCAGCCACCCACACACGCCTCATCTCCTGTCTCTGGAGAGGAGACATTACCTTTTAATTAAACTCTTCTGCCTCTCCTGCATTCTCGCTCTCTTTCTCTCTAGTTCTCTCTCACGTTCTCTCTCTCTAATTCTCTCTAGTTCTCTCTCTAATTCTCTCTAGTTCTCTCTCCTCCTTCACACTCAAGATAACTTGCAACTGTAACAGAATTAACTCTTCCTATTGTCCTCTCTGCTTCCATGGTTACCATGCCTCTCCCTGGTTAAGGACTCTATGGAAGGGGGACATATTTACCAGGGCAACAGTGACTCTGAGCTTCCCCCCAATGCTTTGGCAAGTCTCTCTCTTCCATCCCGCTCTCCTGCCCCTTATAATATATGCCATTTAGTATAAGATTTTATCCAAAGCGACTTACATGACTGTGCAGACATTTTACGTGTGGGTGGCCCAAGCGGGAATCAAACCCACGATTCACGCTTGAGCCACATAGGGCCTTATGTCTGTTCCTTCTTTCATGCTGCCCCTTCTCCCTTGTCTATACCTCTGTCAATCTCCCCCTTTCTTTTCCCTATCTCTCTGATCCCTCTTTCACTTTTTTTCACTCTCCCAGTGCCTCCCCCTCGCTTCGGCTTGCAGCTCTGTGTAGTGACAGTGAGAAATGGTTCTGCTTAGGACCAGAGGTTCTGTTTAAAGAGTTCTAGATCTCTGAGATGGTTCTGACTGTTCCTTATTGTGGTTCTATTGTTCTATGTTCTAGGCTCCAAGAGACGGAAGCAAGCAGGTCCAGATGGATGAGGTTCCGCTGGTACCGGGAGAGACCATCAAGGCTGTGGGTTAGTAGTACTACTGTCTCGGTCTCGCTCTCGAATCCATCCCCCCCTCTCTCTGTCCAGATCTTTGTCTCCATTTGACTTATTTTCCAGTTTTCTCTCCTTTTCTGTTTTCCTCTCTCTCTTTTCTTTAGCCTAGTACGACAGCAGCTGTAGTTGTTGACATGTTTTAGACTTGCATTCCTAATTTGTTTCACTTGAAGAGCAACATCACACTGTTTCCTGTTCTCCCACTAAACACTGTTTCAACACTGTTGTTTCTTTATTGGTTTGTTTGTCCCCTCAGCCAAGGATGTGATGTACATCTGTCCCTTCACGGGCTTGGTGACCGGAACCCTCACCAGCACCAACTATAAACTATACTTTATCAGTCTGGAGAGGGTAAGAGCACAGACACACACAGACACACACACACACACAGACACACACACAGACACACACACAGACACACACACAGACAGACACACACACAGACACACACACAGACACACACACAGACACACACACAGACACACACACACAGACACACACAGAGACACACAGAGACACACACACAGACACACACAGAGACACACACACAGAGACACACACACAGAGACACACACACAGAGACACACACACAGAGACACACACACAGAGACACACACACAGAGACACACACACAGAGACACACACACAGAGACACACACACAGAGACACACACAGAGACACACACACACACACACACATTTCAAGCTTGACCCTTGTTTGTTTACCCAACTTTTTATTTATTTTTATATGTAAAGTTCCCCATCCTATTCCCGTCTGATTCTCGTACCATTCCTGTCCCATTTCCGTCTAATCCCCATCCCATTTCCGTCTAATCCCCATCCCATTCCCCTCCCATTTCTGTCTGATTCCCAGGATACTCCGTTCATCATGGATGTGAACCTGGGAGCCATCAGCCGTCTAGAGACCATCAGTGTTCAGAGTCATGGAGAGAACACACGGGGCATGGAGATAGTCTGTAAGGTAGGTCAACACACGCACCCTAACCCTAGAGACCATCAGTGTTCAGAGTCATGGAGAGAACACTAGGAGTATGGAGATAGGGTGAAAGAGTTACATTGCACTTGCTACTCAAATACATAATGTATAGCATCAGTATACATAACGTTTTATGTAAGGATATTATGGATTGTGCAAATTGTCCTGTCAGTTATCAATTTGTAATAAAACCTCTCTCCCTCTCTCTCTCCATCAGGACATGCGTAGTCCCAGGTTTGCCTATAAGGAGGATGCCAGCCAACCAGAGATAGTGGAGGTTCTAGCCAAACACACCTTCCCCCTATCAAATGACCTGGTGAGACATGTCAATCACTCTCCTAGCAGCCTAATAGGTGCAGGGATGTGTCACTCAAAATGGGGCAGGCTCTTAATTAGAATGTATATAGAATCCTTGCATGTTGGTTTGTTCGGAAAACTATCACTCAAGAGGGAGGATCATAACATGGAGTGGGGTCTTAGAATCCTTGCTTGTTGATTGGTTGAGAGACCTGTCACTCACTCTCCCTGGCCTATCCCATTGCAGCCCCTGTTTGCCTTCCTGTATAAGGAGGAGTTTCCTGTGGATGGGTGGAAGGTGTATGACCCCATTGCTGAGTACAAGAGACAGGTAACCACGGAAATGAGAACTTTGGATTATAAATACAGTTGAAGTCGGAAGTTTACATACACTTAGGTTGGAGTCATTAAACTCGTTTTCAACCACTCCACAAATGTATTGTTAACAAACTATAGTTTTGGCAAGTCGGTTAGGACATCTACTTTGTGCATGACACAAGTAATTTTTCCAACAATTGTTTACAGACAGATAATTTAACTTATAATTCACTGTATCACAATTCCAGTGGGTCAGAAGTTTACATACACTAAGTTAACTGTGCCTTTAAACAGCTTGGAAAATTCCAGAAAATTATGTCATGGCTTTAGAAGCTTCTGATAGGCTAATTGACATCATTTGAGTCAATTGGAGGTGTACCTGTGGATGTATTTCAAGGATTACCTTCAAACTCAGTGCCTCTTTGCTTGACATCATGGGAAAATCAAAAGAAATCAGCCAAGACCTCAGAAAAATAAATGGTCTGGTTCATCCTTGGGAGCAATTTCCAAACGCCTGAAGGTACCACGTTCATCTGTACAAACAATAGTATGCAAGTGTAAACACCATGGGACCACGCATCCGTCATACCGCTCGGGAAGGAGACTTGTTCTGTCTCTTAGAGATGAGCGTACTTTGGTGCGAAAAGTGCAAATCAATCCCAGAACAACAGCAAAGGACCTTGTGAAGATGCTGGAGGAAACGGGTACAAAAGTACAGTGGGGAGAACAAGTATTTGATACACTGCCGATATTTGCAGGTTTTCCTACTTACAAAGCATGTAGAGGTCTGTAATTTTTATCATAGGTACACTTCAACTGTGAGAGATGGAATCTAAAACAAAAATCCAGAAAATCACATTGTATGATTTTTAAGTAATTAATTTGCATTTTATTGCATGACATAAGTATTTGATCACCTACCAGCCAGTAAGAATTCCGGCTCTCACAGACCTGTTAGTTTTTCTTTAAGAAGCCCTCCTGTTCTCCACTCATTACCTGTATTAACTGCACCTGTTTGAACTCGGTACCTGTATAAAAGACACCTGTCCACACACTCAATCAAACAGACTCCAACCTCTCCACAATGGCCAAGACCAGAGAGCTGTGTAAGGACATCAGGGATAAAATTGTAGACCTGCACAAGGCTGGGATAGGCTACAGGACAATAGGCAAGCAGCTTGGTGAGAAGGCAACAACTGTTGGCGCAATTATTAGAAAATTGAAGAAGTTCAAGATGACGGTCAATCACCCTCGGTCTGGGGCTCCATGCAAGATCTCACCTCGTGGGGCATCAATGATCATGAGGAAGGTGAGGGATCAGCCCAGAACTACACGGCAGGACCAGGTCAATGACCTGTAGAGAGCTGGGACCACAGTCTCAAAGAAAACCATTAGTAACACACTACACCGTCATGGATTAAAATCCTGCAGCGCACACAAGGTCCCCCTGCTCAAGCCAGCGCATGTACAGGGCCTTCTGAAGTTTGCCAATGACCATCTGGATGATCCAGAGGAGGAATGGGAGAAGGTCATGTGGTCTGATGAGACAAAAATAGAGCTTTTTGGTCTAAACTCCACTCGCCGTGTTTGGAGGAAGAAGAAGGATGAGTACAACCCCATGAACACCATCCCAACCGTGAAGCATGGAGGTGGAAACATCATTCTTTGGGGATGCTTTTCTGCAAAGGGGACAGGACGACTGCACCGTATTGAGGGGAAGATGGATGGAGCCATGTATCGTGAGATCTTGGCCAACAACCTCCTTCCCTCAGTAAGAGCATTGAAGATGGGTCGTGGCTGGGTCTTCCAGCATGACAACGACCCGAAACACACAGCCAGGGCAACTAAGGAGTGGCTCCGTAAGAAGCATCTCAAGGTCCTGGAGTGGCCTAGCCAGTCTCCAGACCTGAACCCAATAGAAAATCTTTGGAGGGAGCTGAAAGTCCGTATTGCCCAGCGACAGCCCCTAAACCTGAAGGATCTGGAGAAGGTCTGTATGGAGGAGTGGGCCAAAATCCCTGCTGCAGTGTGTGCAAACCTGGTCAAGACCTACAGGAAACGTATGATCTCTGTAATTGCAAACAAAGGTCTCTGTACCAAATATTAAGTTCTGCTTTTCTGATGTATCAAATACTTATGTCATGCAATAGAATGCAAATGAATTACTTAAAAGTCATACAATGTGATTTTCTGGATTTTTGTTTTAGATTCTGTCTCTCACAGTTGAAGTGTACCTATGATAAAAATGACAGACCTCTACATGCTTTGTAAGTAGGAAAACCTGCAAAAAAAAAAAAAGTTCTCCCCACTGTATCTATATCCACAGTAAAACAAGTCCTATATCGACATAACCTGAAAGGCCGCTCAGCAAGGAAGAAGCCACTGCTCCAAATCCGCCATAAAAAAGCCAGACTACGGTTTGCAACTGCACATGGGGACAAAGATCGTACTTTTTTGAGAAATATCCTCTGGTCTGATGAAACAAAAATAGAACTGTTTGGCCATAATGACCATCGTTATGTTTGGAGGAAAAAGGGGGAAACTTGCAAGCCAAAGAACACCATCCCAACCGTGAAGCACGGGGGTGGCAGCATCATGCTGTGGGGGTGCTTTTCTGCAGGAAGGACTTGTGCATGTCACAAAATAGATGGCATCATGAGGAAGGGAAATTGTGTGGTTATATTGAAGCAACATCTCAAGACATCAGTCAGGAAGTTAAAGCTTGGTCGTAAATGGGTCTTAAAATGGACAATGACCCCAAGCATACTTCCAAAGTTGTGGCAAAAATGGCTTAAGGACAACAAAGTCAAGGTATTGGAGTGGCCATCACAAAGCCCTGACCTCAATCCTATAGAACATTTTGTGGGCAGAACTGAAAAAGGCGTGTGCGAGCTAGGAGGCCTACAAACCTGACTCAGTTACACCAGCTCTGTCAGGAGGAATGGGCCAAAATTCACCCAACTTATTGTGGGAAACTACCCAAAACGTTTGACCCAAGTTAAACAATTTAAAGGCAATGCTACCAAATACTAATTGAGTGTATGTGAACTTCTGACCCACTGGGAATGTGATGACAGAAATAAAAGCTGAAATAAATCATTCTCTCTACTATTATTCAGACATTTCACATTCTTAAAATAAAGTGGTGATCCTAACTGACCTAAAACAGGGAATTTTTACTAGGATTAAATGTCAGGAATTGTGAAAAACTGAGTTTAAATGTATTTGGCTAAGGTGTATGTAAACTTCTGACTTCAACTGTATGTACTGAATGTTAGATAATAGACATGTTCACTTAGATAAGGCAAAGTTGTAGTTTCACTCAAGACCAAAAGGTTTATATCCGTGAAATGTGCAAGATTTGCAAGTGTCTAGATAGTTTATCACTCCTACTCCCTCATCTCCCTCTAGTTCTGTATACTGGGGGTGTGTAGAAAGCCTTACTCTGATTCATCCTCTCTCCCACAATCCTTTTGAGGTTAATGTGCATTGATTCTTGAAGTCTTTGAAGTGTTTCATGTAAGACTAACTTATATGAACTGAAAAAATGAACTGTTCTTCACTACATTTAGCAGTGCTTGTATTCCTCCTCTCTCCAGGGTCTCCCCAACGAGAGTTGGACCATCAGTAAGATGAACAGTAGTTATGAGGTGTGTGACACCTACCCTGCCCTGGTCGTCATCCCCAGCAGCATCAAGGACGACGACCTCAAACGGGTGGTGTCCTTTAGGGCTAGGCACCGTATACCGGTACGTATCTCTCTCTCTCTCTCTGGGAAAATTACAGGGGAAGTTACCTCCAAAGTTACCAGGCTAAATCAGTGAGGATGGTACTTAAACCCCCGCTAGATGTTATCATGGATCCACCTGGAGAGCCAGGCCACTATAGTCCGTAGTAGTAAGCTAGCTAACTAACCTCGCTCGCTCTATTCAATTCAATGGGCTTTATTGGCATGGGAAACATATGTTTACATTGCCAAAGCAAGTGAACTAGATAATAAACAAAAAATGAATAGTGAACATTAGACTTACAAGTTTCAAAGGAATAGACACCTGGAGAGAGCCAGACCACTATAGTCTGTAGTGGTAAGCTAACTCACCCCACCCTCTCTCTGCCTCTCTCTCTCTCTCTCTCTCTCTGTTCTAGGTGTTATCATGGATCCACCCGGAGAGCCAGACCACTATAGTCTGTAGTGGTAAGCTAACTCACCCCACCCTCTCTCTCTCTCTGCCTCTCTCTCTCTCTGCTCTAGGTGTTATCATGGATCCACCCGGAGAGCCAGGCCACTATAGTCCGTAGCAGTCAGCCTTTAGTCGGCCCCTCTGACCGGCGCTGTAAGGAGGACGAGCGATACCTCCAGACCATCATGGATGCCAACGCTCAGTCTCACAAACTCACCATCTTCGACGCCCGGCAGAGCAGCGTGGCAGACAACAATAAGGTATAGTTGTCACATCAAGTAGCTACATCGCTGTGTTTTAAGGTGACCGCAAATTGATGGTAAACTGCTTTCACCGTCTCCTTTTTCACGCTCTACTTATTTCCCTTCCACCCCTCCCTCCTTGCGGCCATCCCTCACCCTCTCCCTCCCTCTCTCCCAGGCTAAGGATGGTGGTTATGAGAGTGAGAGTTTCTATCCAAATGTAGAACTCAACTTCCTTGAGATCCCCAACATCCACGTGATGAGAGAGTCACTGAGAAAACTAAAGGAAGTGGTGTACCCTACTATAGATGAGGCTCACTGGCACTCTGCAGTCGACCAGACACACTGGCTAGAGTATATACGGGTAAGGAGGACTCTATCTCTGTGTCTCTCTGTCTCTGTGTTTGTCTCTCTATTTTGCGCACACACACACAACCACACACACACGTATACACAAGGAGGTGGTCTACCCTACCATAGATCTGTCTCACTGTCACTAAATCTCCCCCTAGCTGCTCCTGGCGGGTGCGGTGCGCATAGCTGACAGGCTGGAGTCTGGGAAGACCTCTGTGATGGTCCACTGTAGTGATGGGTGGGACCGGACGGCCCAGCTCACCTCTCTGGCCATGCTGATGCTGGACAGCCACTACCGCACCCTGAGGGGATTCCAGGTGGGTAGGATGGATGGATGGAGGGAAGGAGGAAGAGAAGGGGTAAAGGCTGTCTGTGGACAGCCACTACCGCACCCTGAGGGGATTCCAGGTGGGTAGGATGGATGGATGGATGGATGGATGGAGGGAAGGAGGAAGAGAAGGGGTAAAGGCTGTCTGTGGACAGTTGTCGCAGTGACAGCTTGAACATTCTATTGTCGTCCGACATTAAAATTGTCCTTGTCATTATGAAAAGTATAAACACACAAACGTCATCAACAGCCTGGTGGTCCAAATAGCATACCTGCTGTATTTTAACACTAATAAACTGTTTTACTAACTAAATTCAATTTTAATCTAGCAAGCCAGGCAACCAAAAGCAACTTTCTAAACAATGTTTTGGTTAGTTTCTTAGCTAGCTAATAATGACCAGAGCCTAGCTGACAACGTCTTAACTTGAGCTACTTTTTATTCATTATTACAGGAAGAAAAATCACAAGATCATTATAACTTGCCTTGCAATGCTTTGTTGCTGGTAACCATGACAACTGATGCTGCGACAGAGTTAAAGTTGAACTTTTTTTATATGTATATGCGACAGTCGCAGCAACGATCTACAGACATTCCACCAGAGTATAAATTACATGTTGTTTTGACCAGCGACACTTGTCGCATCCTAATTGTCTACAGACATGTCGTTAGACAAAGTATAAACCGGCCTTGGGGGGGGAAGGGAGGAAGGGAGGTTTGGTCTCTGTCATCAGTTCTGTAGAGACCGAGAGCTGTGTCTCCTCAGGTGCTGCTGGAGAAGGAGTGGATCAGCTTCGGACACAAGTTTGCCGCGGTGAGGATTGTGTGTTTATATGGTTTCCTGTGTTGTTGTTTTTTATACAGGTGGCTCTTTGTGTGCGTGTGTTCCTGTGTATAATAACCTGTGTGTTTATATGGTTTCCTGTGTTTTTTGTGGCTCTTTGTGTGCGTGTGTTCCTGTGTATAATAACCTGTGTGTTTATATGGTTTCCTGTGTATTTTGTGGCTCTTTGTGTGCGTGTGTTCCTGTGTATAATAACCTGTGTGTTTTTCAGCGTGTGGGTCATGGGGATGATAACCATGCCAACTCAGAGAGATCGCCTCTCTTTATCCAGTTTATAGACTGTGTCTGGCAGATAAATAGACAGGTGAGTGCCAACCTGCTACACGCACACACACACACACACATCTGTTGAGATTTCCCTGACACACACACACACACACACATCTGTTGAGATTTCCCTGACACACACACACATCTGTTGAGATTTCCCTGACACACACACACATTTGTTGAGATTTCCCTGACACACACACATGTAATTGTGTAGTTACACTGTGTCTTTATTTGTTCCTAGTTCCCTGCAGCGTTTGAGTTTAATGAGTTGTTCCTGATAACCATTCTGGATCACCTCTATAGTTGTCTGTTTGGTACGTTCCTCTACAACAGCGAACAGGAGAGAGTGGCCAAGGTAGGGACCATTTCTTTACTGACGGGGGTGGGAGGCTGGGTCACCTAGTCACAATGAGTTAAAGTTCTCATCTGGTCTCTTACTGTAAAGCTTTGTGGGGAATGTTGATTAACTCGTGCCTGTCTTCTCTCTCTTCTTCTTGTTGTTGTTGTTCTTCTTCTCAACAGGAAGTCCAGACTAAGACAGTCTCTCTATGGTCCTATATCAACAGTCAACCAGAGGACTTCACCAACCCGTTCTATGTGGACTATGAGCACCACGTCTTGTACCCTCTAGCTAGCATCAGACACCTGGAGCTGTGGACCGGCTACTACGTACGATGGAACCCCCGTATGAGGCCACAGGTAGGGGTGGGTTGTGGAGGGGGTGGTAGTGTGTTTTGTTGAAGGAAGGAAACTTTCTAACTATTCATCTCTCCCCATCAGATGCCGGTGCACCAGAACCTGAAGGAGTTGTTGTTCCTGAGAGCAGAGTTACAGAGGAAGGTAGAGGAGTTGGAGAGAGAAGCATCTTCATCACGCGGCTCTCTCTCTTCTTCATCAGAACACACGTCATCACCCTCACACAGCGGGGGCACGCCCCTACACACCATTGTCTAATACTGTACACACACACACCACCGTCTGATACACACACACACACACACCTGAATGCAGTACCCAACACAGAACTGGACACAGACATGTAATCACTTGTTTGTTCGTCTTCGTATTCCTGAATCAGTTTTTCACATCAAGTGTTTTTATCATAAAGAACTAGGAAGAGTTTTACTTGAGAAAATAGGTACACAGTTGTCAAAGTTTCATAATTTTTTTGTATTTAAATAAGAGAAAATAAATGGGGTAATGAAATTGTTGAAAAAGTATTGAGAGAAAGAAAGCACCATAGTATTTTGTGCGTATTTTGTCTAACATAGAATATGTAAATATGAATAGATTGAACTAACATATTTCTACCTACCAAAAGTATTAAACACCTTGCCATTGACAACAGTTTCCAATATTATAAATATGTTGAATTTAATTCATAGACGATGTGTAGAAATATGAAATATCAAGTGCACTTTTTTTAAACTAACACATTCGAGTAAGCATGTTATCAACTTGATCATTAAGGACGCGTCCTATTTACCCTGATCAAAAGTTGTACACTATGTAGGGAGTAGGGTGACATTTGGGACACAACCTAAATAAGCTGTCTCACTACTACTACTTAACCTGATCCAGCTGTGCAATAACTGGTACCTTGTAATATAATGTGTCCCCTCTTCCTGTCCGTCCCTTTTAATGTGCCCTGACTGGAGGTTTACCTTTGTGTATCATGTGTTCCTATCAACACGTTCCATTGAAAGTCTGTGCAGTTTCTTAAAAAAAAAAAAAAAAAAAATCTTTGCCTTTCTATTCAATGTGTATTTTTTACTTATCCACACTGTTATTGGTCATAGGCTGCGTTTACACAGGCAGCCCAATTCTGATATTTTGCTCAGTTATTGACAAAAGAGCTGATCTGATGAATTAGTAGAAAATATTTAGAATTAGGCTGCCTGTGTAAACTCAACCATGTGTTTCCCCCACCCCATGTGACTTTCCTGCGATGTTATTCTACTCTGCTGATGCCAAATCCTTTGTTTTGTGTTTTAACCTTTTACCCAGTAGTGCTTTTGTATTAGGTTGACAATTTCTACTGTTGTTTTTACTCTAAGGCCTAACAAGATGGTAATGGTAGTCAATGGCGATGTTCTCTCAACTCATAGGGCCCTTCGTGGACTTTAAGCCAATAAGCTGCAATACTGACCATCCTTTTATCACCTATGGAAAAAAGATAAATATGATTTAATGCTCATCATTTGAATGGCAATAGAATCAAATACCCATATGTGTAAGTGGAAAGAGGTATGTATGTTTTTGCATTGGTTGACCCTATACCTACGCAATGACCTAACATGAATACAAAGACTCTTGTCGTTGAGTAGGCCCTAAGGTTAATTAAGGAAGGTTGAGTAAGATTAGCCTAATGTTTGACATGCCTTTCACTGATTGGTTAAGCCTAACTAACCTTTGACCTTTATGTATGTTTTCTGCTGTATTATGGTGGTTAACGGTGTAACTGTTTCCTATGTCATGCTTAAATGTTCAACACTGCTGCACCTTCGTTGAATGAGTCTGTGGTAAATGTGATGTTTATTTACTCATAACACTAAGCATTCACCATGTTTATTTTACATGTGTCTGTCGTCTAAGATATTCAAGCATTATGCATTGGTACTTCTGTGGGCGATCAAAATGAATCTAAACCAATTTAGCTAAATATGATTTTCACGGCTCATCGCAAAATAAAAACGTCATACATTGCACTGATACAAAAAAGAAAAACAGTCTTGGGGTTTCTTTTCTAATTTTATTGGGTTTCATTGATTGATCGTATGAATGTCGTCGTTCCACAATGCTGTCTCGCTCACTGGCAATGCAGTGAAATATAGATGTATAGAAAGCTTCAATAGGAATTATCTATGGCCCTTCGTTGACTGTGTTTGCACGCATAGGTATGTGTGTAGTTCAATTGACAGGCACTAGTGAATCAGGCATGAATTCATTGCATGCAGAATCCATATTGTTAGTACATATCTGAAGTGAATACAGTCGGAATACATAGTTTACATTGATGTCATAAGAGCCCTGTGTTCTAACTGGTCAGTTGGGTTGGAGTGACCGCTAGTGCAACGACTGGATGACTTCACACTAGAATGGGATTAAGAAGGATGAGACATTGATGTCAGTGTATTCAAGTATCTTCAAGAAGTATATCTGCACACAAAACCAAATTGAAGTGTCTGAAATAACACCATATTCCCTAGATACTAGTGAACTACTTTTGAACATAGCCAGCTGTGAATAGAACTGGATTGGAACTGTTATCGTCTCTTATGAATACTTCCTTCCTGGTTTCTCTTATGACATAACAGTCCAATCCTTCTTTTTCTCATCCTAGACGTTACTGGCAGTGTATAAATAGCCTCACATTCACCAACCACTACTCCTGGTCAAACTACACTCCAGTCCCAAATCTGTTATTGCCAACTCCATTGCTGTCATTTTCAAGCCATAAGGAGTTGGCAAAAGAGCACATGATACAGACTGCCATCCCAATGATAACCCAATGAGGAAAACTTCCAAAGACTACAGCTAAGTATCCAAAAACATGCATTTGATTTCTGTACAGTTCTGTTATAGCCCGTTACCGTCATGTGTAGTAGAGGAGCACCCAAGATTTAAGGAGATCCAACTGCTGATATGTCTGTAACCTTAGTGCCCTGTTACCGTAAACCATATAAACAAAGGTCAACCTCAAAGCCTTAGGACTGCAAACTACTGGGCATGAAGCAGCTCCTAGTTCACAGGCTTTTATACTACTGTAAACCAATCTTTACATCTTCTAAACACTTCTAATTTTCAAATCAGGCAAATCATCCCATACTGCATCCAAGAGGCACCTTAATACCATTCCAAACCATAGTACGCCATAGTATACCGTAGTACCACAGGATGGTACTCATCACACAGGCAAGTCTCACTCACAACTCTGTGCTCTTCAAATTGTCTCATTTCTACCGAGCTTTGTCTGTAAGGATAGGGGGTGGGGGATTCTTAGCTCTAACAGTATGAATCCGTGTTTAAAAAAAGTGAATATTTGTGAGGAATTTCTATGTAATTTTTATTTTGTGATTTTTATGTGATTATGTGCTGTTACTAGCATGTAGGAAGACACTTGTAAGCATTCAATTTGTCCGGAATCGAAGGTCTTCACTTATGTGTTTTCATCATTTTTGTTGGAGCCCAAAACTACCTGACCTGCAATCTTTAAAAAAAAACGTTTTTATTTTATTTTTAAAGGGGTGTCTTCGTCTACTCTGTTTAGTACCAGTGAATGAGTGAAACATTCAACCCAAAGCACAACACCAAGATCCAATATCGTCCAATCTTCAAATCCATCAATGGTACATCTTTGGTGGTTTTTATGAACATTTTTGCTACGAGCTATCGCAACTGATTTAGAGAAAGAGTACATTCGGTAAACATCCGTTTAACATTCAGGTTTTTTAGTGTGTAAACACAGCTGTCACGGGAGATGTTTCTTAGTCATAGAAATATAATTTATAGAATGGACACAGGCCCTCAAACCACTGCAATTTGGTTGGTAGTTCCCACACCATTGTTTCATGTGTAGAACACTGAGAAAAGCACTAATAGAATCTGAATTCTATTCATTCTATTCATTGAACATTCCATTCTATTGGTTCTAGTTCTGTGTGTTTAGTATTGCGGGAGCCCAGCACGAGCGAGCAGGTTATAAGGCATAGAGAGAAGCACCATCAGTATGACAGCAGTGCCATAGGAGAGAGGTTAGCAATGCACACCTGCATCTGGATGACCGGTGAGGAGAGTTAACTACGGTTCTCCAGTTACTCACAGTTAACCCTTTGTAGAGTGGAATTTTTGGACAGTTCTATTGTTCTCAGTGTTCTATTCCGGAATACTACGGTCCTTTGATGTCAACGATTAGAATGAATAAGAACGATTGACAAAGGATGGAATATTCTGTCCATATTTATCAAAGGGTTAACAACAGTTCCTCCAACCTAAATCTTTACCTTATCCATTATAAGTAAGATAATACAACTGATCCTGGTGCAGTTGTTACAGGCGGAGAGTAATCGCAGGTAAGGAGAGTGCTGGAACAGAAGGAGTGGTTCTAGAGCTACGTTTCCAAGGCAACAAGGGAGCCGAACAGAACAGGGTGCAGGTTCCAGTGGGAGTGCATCCCAAATCACACCCTAAAAGTCACTTGGAAGCTATATCTAAAACAATATTTAGATAAGTTGAGCTAAGTAGTTAAGACAAAAGCCACTCTAGTACACAACGTTACTTTAGAAACGAGTGGGGGAGCAGAGACGCAAAACATTGGAATAAAAAACACACTTAGGAACGAGTGTGTAGATCGTTAGGATACACCGTAATATCAAGGAATACGCTCATACAACAATTAAATAGTAAAAACACAGAAATATGCTCACGCCGCAATTTACAAGCTTCACTTTCTACCCACTAGTCTCCTAATCAGGGTTGGGGCAAATTCCATTTCAAATCAATCAATTCAAAGGAGTGATTTTAAATTCAAATTCATGAATTGAAATGTGCCATTTTTTTATGAAGGATTTTCTTAATTCTTGACATGGAATTTGAATTCGCTTCTTGAATTAACTAAAGTGAATTGAAATGTAATTGACCCCAACCTTTCCTAACAACAAGCAACACCTAGTATAAACACTACCCAAATGACCTAAGATTAACTAACTATGATTTCATATAGCAAATAGCTCAATCTGAAGAACTTCAGAAGTCTATGTATGGCCTTACAAAACAAATATCCAGTCTCTATAGAACCACTGAGCGCGTTCCATGCTGACTACATTGCAGACGCATGCCAGATCGGTTTATTCTGTTCCATATCTGCTAAACACGGATTGATATAGCAATCTGATGCCCGACTACGCACTCGCTGACATGGCACGCAACCATTGGTTGATGCAATGCAACGCCTGCAATGTAGACTGGAACGCAACCGCTACGTTACTTCAATATCAAGACGTTAAGTTCAACTAGGCTTCGATTTCACATTTACTTCACTTTCTCTAGCACTGGCATTATCTCAATAAGACAAAACAGATATACAACGTATAAAGACTAGTTAGTATCTTAATCACATTCCCGTTTTCCACACAAGTAGACTTAAAAGGCTACACTGATATTCATACTAGCATACTACTTACAATGCACACCCATTACACAGGTTTGTTCCCTAAGTAGTACGCTAGTGTGGCTATTGGAACAGAGCCTTTGTTCTCTTCTGTTTCTTAAAAACAAACACAAATCATATCATGAACATCATTTTCATATCATGAACATTTAAGCAGCAGCAGCTCTGGAGTTAGCAAGTAATCGAGTTCTTCAAATGAACATCGCTTCATAAAAAAAAAATCATTATCCTAAAATTGACACTAAAAGTGCTAGCCTGGTTCCCAGATCTGGTTGTGCTTTTGTCAACTGCATTTCTATCATCGTCAAGCCGTACATATGACTGGCATTACAATGAGTGACAAGGAGTTGGCAAAAAAGCACAAACAGACTGACAACCAGGTGATAAAAATGCAGCTTCTAGACATTAACCTGTGCAAGAAACCACTGCAAAACGCTTTCAAATGGTAGAAAAATCACGAGGGGGATATACAGTACGTACAAGGGGGGAATGGAGTGGTGGGGGGGGGGGGGGAGAGTATATGGGTTATACTATATACCATACTATCTTTCAGGAAATAACATGATGGAAGCCTGGTCCCAGATCTGTATGTGCTTTAGTATAGCAAATTCTGATTATCATTGTCAAATACAAACTGATCTAGGATCAGGCTACTGTCTCCTTCATAATCAAATTGTAAACAGGCATATTAGTGGCGTTTATAACAGTTAAAATAAATTAAATGATATGTACACAGTTTGGCAGGGGTAGGTCTACAGAGGTCGGCAAACCGTAGTGATGTCACAATACCATTCCGACTCTAGAATGATATTGAGATTCTAGAATGACATGGAACCTGGTGGTGTCAACATGGCCGCCAGTGGAACTCTACATTTCAGACAGTTTGCCGATCTCCATCTATCTACAACTCAAGGTATAACGGGGATGGGGGGTGGGACTACCTTCCTAAAGTGGTTAGTGTGTGTAGGTGTATGAGGTGGAGGGGGATATTCCCCAAGGTGAGGGCATGTAAGTGTGTGTCGTCACACCCTCTTCGTGTGAGTGTGTGTGCAGGTATGTGTGTAGGTTGGGGGACGAGGCCGGGCAGGGGGATGTTAGACAGTGTTCTCCTCACTAGGGGGCTCAGCATTGGGGGGCTCCAGAAGAGTCTGTTGAACTGAGAGAGAGAGAGAGAGAGAGAGAGAGAGAGAGAGACAGAGAGAGAGAGAGAGAGAGAGAGATTAAACTGACAGTAATAAACCTGATCACACTTTAAACAAACTGCAACTTCTAAAGCTTAATAATGCCTTGATTAACCTTTTCCAACTAGAGTCAGCCTTATCACCATTTTCAATGGGAGGGCATTTCATCTACTCTAATCAAATCCACTTAATTTGAAGTAAATTACAAAAGGCTGCACATTGTCACAAAGATGACTTTTCCATGGGGAGCGAGGTGTTGGTTGTGGATATGACTTTTCCTATGGATTCCCTGAGGAGAGGGGCGTTGGTCGTGGAGATTACTTTTCCTTTGGATTCCTTGAGGAGAGGGGGGTTGGTCCGTACAGGAGTTGCAGCGATGGGACAAGACTGTAACTACCTATTGGATACCACGAAATTGGGGGGAAGAATACAACAAAAAAATTAAACTAGCTCCGAGACAGGATTGTGTCAAGGCACAGATCTGGGGAAGGGTACCAAAACATTTCTGCAGCATTGAAGGTCCCCAAGAACACAGTGGCCTCCATCATTCTTAAATGGAAGAAGTTTGGAACCACCAAGATCCTTCCTAGAGCTGGCCGCCCGCCAAACTGAGCAATCAGGGGAAAAGGGCCTTGGTCAGGGAGGTGACCAAGAAACCGATGGTCACGCTGACAGAGCTCTAGAGTTCCTCTGTGGAGATGGGAGAACTTTCCAGAAGGACAACCATCTCTGCAGCACTCCACCAATCAGGCCTTTATGGTAGAGCTGCCAGACGGAAGCCACTCAGTAAAAGGCACATGACAGCCCGCTTGGAGTTTGCCAAAAGGCACCTAAAGGACTCTCAGACCATGAGAAACTAGATTCTCTGGTCTGATGAAACCAAGATTGAACTCTTTGGCCTGAATGCCAAACGTCATGTCTGGAGGAAACCTGGCACCATCCCTACGGTGAAGCATCGTGGTGGCAGCATCATGCTGTGGGGATGTTTTTCAGCGGCAGGGACATGAAGACTAGTCAGGATCGAGGGAAAGATGAACGGAGCAAAGTACAGAGAGATCCTTGATAAAAACCTGCTCCAGAGCGCTCAGGACCTCAGACTGGGGCGAAGGTTCACCTTCCAACAGGACAACGACCCTAAGCACACAGCCAAGACAACGCCCAGCCAGAGCCCGGACTTGAACCCGATCAAACACCTCTGGAGAGACCTGAAAATAGCTGTGCAGTGACGCTCCCCATCCAACATGACAGAGCTTGAGAGGATCTGCAGAGAAGAATGGGAGAAACTCCCCAAATACAGGTGTGCCAAGCTTGTAGCGTCATACCCAAGAAGACTTGAGGCTGTAATAGCTGCCAAAGTTACTTCAACAAAGTACTGAGTAAAGGGTCTGAATACTTATGTAAATGTTTTATTTATTTATTTTTTATATATAAATTTGCAAAAATGTCTAAAAATCTGTTTTTTATTTGTCATTATGGGGTATTGTGTGTAGATTGAGGGGACAAAACAATTTAATCCATTTTAGAATAAGGCTGTAACGTAACAAAATGTGGAAAAAGTCAAGGGGTCTGAATACTTTCCCGAATGCACTGTAGATAGGACCTCTATGGGTGATTATGGTGTTACCTTGTGGTTCTGTGGCCACCACAGCCTCTGGGTTATCAGTCTTCACCAGGTCTGCATTCAGGCTCTCTGTAACAGGACACAACAGTCTGGTAAATCTGAGAATTTATCTAGATACTATTATCTGATTATAGATTATTATATAGAATCATATCCACATTATACCACAATATCTAAATCACAGATTACGATAACCCCAGCTAGTCTCTTACGCTGTATGCTGAAGCAGAACTTCTTCTTCTGGTAGGAGACGTAACTGGTAACCATGCCAACCAGCGCCACGCCAATGGCACTGATGATCCCGGCGATGGTTCCGGTCTCAGCCACGGTGTCTGGAGCACAGAGTAACACAGGGGTGTAATCAATAGCCAATAATCAATATTAGACACATCTTTGCCATGCATAATGTTTCATAAAAATATTGTTGTTGTTGTCATACCATAGTTGTTGTCATCAGCAGCAGACTGGCCTCCACCACGTCCACCTACAGGAACAAATAGAAAGATGTGAGGTGCAATCAATGTAAAAGCATTTAATAAGGGTCTCTGTGTCCTGATAGAGAATATTAACTAGCTACCCAGATGTAAATACTGTTTATTTATTTGTCCTATTAAAACAAGACATTTACCTTTTAAGTAGGATTTAAACAGAGTATCTTCAATAATGAATCATTAAAATAAACAAGCAATGGTAAAGGTCTGAACAAAGAAGAGTGTATTCAAGCTCTTTTTTTGTTTGTTTATCTAATAATTTCCCCTATCTAAGATCATGCATTACCTTTGCCTTTGTCAGGGTTGTAGGTGTCGTCTTTCCCAACGTCAAACAGATCATCGTCTGAGAAAGATCCACCTAAGAATAGGGATATAGAATCAACATTAACTGGCAACCCTAACCTGACACACCAGGCTCCAAGCCAGGGATGGCCCCCGCTCAAACACAGCCAACGTCCCCAAAGGAAGGTCTCCAGAAAGTGGAGAAAGTTCAGCAGACGAGGGGGTCAGGCACAGTATAGAGAGGACAAGCGCTGGTCCTCCAGTGTAAAGATAGAATAAGGAGAAAGAAAAGGATCAGGGTTGCCAGATGTCATTCAGGGAGGAGAAAGAAGGTTAGCCTTTGACAAGATCCAGAGGGAGCGACACAGTTAGTTGCCAGATATTATGACCTCTTTGGCAGGAAACGAGAGTGGCCTCTAGAGAAAGTTAGTGAGGATATAGACCATCAGTTATGCTTTGTGCACAGTACACCCACAGGACACCATGAGGCTGAGAGAAAAGGTTGCTGTTTTAAAGCAAATTTCCTGCAATTCTATACATTTTTGAAAGATAGTTAAAGCTAGAATATAGGTGTGTTGACTGTGATAAAGGCACTGGATTATGAACTGTCTTGTGTGATAAATGAACAAATGAAATAGGCAGTGGCATGGTGCATATAGCCATAGAAACAGTGGCTTATTGGGGGTGTGGCTTTTCAGTTAGGTCTTTTTGGCAACCCATCCTGTGAGAGTGAATGTCATATGTACTGTTATATTTGATCAGACTAACCCAGCGTACTGCTTTCTATGAATTCGTTTGTATGTTTAGGTAAAAAGACAAATAATATTGTTCAAGCCATAGCTCCCCAGTAGGTGAAGGTGAGAGAGAGAGAGAGTGAGTGAGTGAGTGAGAGAGAGTGAGTGAGAGAGTGAGTGAGTGAGTGAGTGAGAGAGAGAGGGAGAGAGTGATGAGAGTAGAGAGAGAGAAGAGAGCAGAGAGAGAGGAGCAGAGAGCAGAGAGAAGAGAGATGTGGCTCAAGTCATAGACTTTATTGCCTCATACGCGGACCGTCAGCCAAAAAGTAGAGACAACGCAGTAAGTGACACTCAAGAGGACTAGCGGATCGATATTAAAGCCCAGTAGAAAGGCAGGGTTTAGTTTATCCAGGTAGACCAGGTAGGTTAGGGTTGGGTCGGGTAGGTCAGGCAGGGTTCTTACCCCCGTTCCCTCCTCTGTTGTTGGGGTCTCCCCTGCCCCCGCCTCCAATACCTTTATCTGACGAGACATGACACCACATCAACCCTCTGATCCTATACTGGGCTAATATAGTGTTACTATGAGAATAATATACAGTGAGGGAAAAATGTATTTGATCCCCTGCTGATTTTGTACGTTTGCCCACTGACAAAGAAATGATCAGTCTATAATTTTAATGGTAGTTTATTTGAACAGTGAGAGACAGAATAACAACAAAAAAATTCAGAAAAACGCATGTCAAAAATGTTATAAATTGATTTGCATTTTAATGAGGGAAATAAGTATTTGACCCCCTCTCAATCAGAAAGATTTCTGGCTCCCAGGTGTCTTTTATACAGGTAACGAGCTGAGATTAGGAGCACACTCTTAAAGGGAGTGCTCCTAATCTCATCTTGTTACCTGTATAAAAGACACCTGTCCACAGAAGCAATCAATCAGATTCCAAACTCTCCACCATGGCCAAGACCAAAGAGCTCTCCAAGGATGTCAGGGACAAGATTGTAGACCTACACAAGGCTGGAATGGGCTACAAGACCATCGCCAAGCAGCTTGGTGAGAAGGTGACAACAGTTGGTGCCATTATTCGCAAATGGAAGAAACACAAAATAACTGTCAATCTCCCTTGGCCTGGGGCTCCATGCAAGATCTCACCTCGTGGAGTTGCAATGATCATGAGAACGGTGAGGAATCAGCCCAGAACTACACGGGAGGATCTTGTCAATGATCTCAAGGCAGCTGAGACCATAGTCACCAAGAAAACAATTGGTAACACACTACGCCGTGAAGGACTGAAATCCTGCAGCGCCCGCAAGGTCCCCCTGCTCAAAAAAGCACATATACAGGCCGTCTGAAGTTTGCCAATGAACATCTGAATGATTCAGAGGAGAACTGGGTGAAAGTGTTGTGGTCAGATGAGACCAAAATGGAGCTCTTTGGCATCAACTCAACTCGCCGTGTTTGGAGGAGGAGGAATGCTGCCTATGACCCCAAGAACACCATCCCCACCGTCAAACATGGAGGTGGAAACATTATGCTTTGGGGGTGTTTTTCTGCTAAGGGGACAGGACAACTTCACCGCATCAAAGGGACGATGGACGGGGCCATGTACCATCAAATCTTGGGTGAGAACCTCCTTCCCTCAGCCAGGGCATTGAAAATGGGTAGTGGATGGGTATTCCAGCATGACAATGACCCAAAACACATGGCCAAGGCAACAAAGGAGTGGCTCAAGAAGAAGCACATTAAGGTCCTGGAGTGGCCTAGCCAGTCTCCAGACCTTAATCCCATAGAAAATCTGTGGAGGGAGCTGAAGGTTTCGAGTTGCCAAACGTCAGCCTCGAAACCTTAATGACTTGGAGAAGATCTGCAAAGAGGAGTGGAACAAAATCCCTCCTGAGATGTGTGCAAACCTGGTGGCCAACTACAAGAAACGTCTGACCTCTGTGATTGCCAACAAGGGTTTTGCCACCAAGTACTAAGTCATGTTTTGCAGAGGGGGTCAAATACTTATTTCCCTCATTAAAATGCAAATCAATTTATAACATTTTTGACATGCGTTTTTCTGTTTTTTTGTTGTTGTTATTCTGTCTCTCACTGTTCAAATAAACCTACCATTAAAATGATAGACTGATCATGTCTTTGTCAGTGGGCAAACGTACAAAATCAGCAGGGGATCAAATACTTTTTTCCCCCCTTACTGTACTACAACTCTACTATACTACTACTACTGCAGTATACAGACTATCAAACCCTAATATACTAATACTATACTACCACTCTGCTATACTACCACTGTGACTATAGTAAACAGACTATCAAACCCTGAAATACTATTATTACTATACTACTACTCTACCTTACCATTACTGTACCTGTGGTATACAGACTATGAAACCCTCATTTACTAATATTATACTACACTACTACTGTGACTATAGTATACAGACTATGAAACCCTCATTTACTAATATTATACTACACTACTACTGTGACTATAGTATACAGACTATGAAACCCTCATTTACTAATATTGATACTACACGACGACTGTGACCTATAGTATACAGACTATCAAACCCTAATATACTAAGAAACAACAGCCGACTACACTACTCAACTACTACTACTACGTGGTGACTTACTACGCTAATCAACAACAACAACAACAACAACAACATTCTAACCGGCTACACCACTACACTATTGAATGCCATACTATGCCATCATATAGTACTCTACACAAACAAAATAAGAACAAAAGTAATTCATACAGTGCCTTTCAAAAGTATTCATCCCCCTTGGCATTTTTCCTATTTTGTTGCATTACAACCTGTAATTTACATGGATTTTTATTTGGATTTCATGTAATGGACATACACAAAATAGTCCAAATTGGTGAAGTGAAATGAAAAAAATTACTTCTTTCAAAGAATTCTACAAAATAACGGAAAAGTGGTGCGTGTGTATGTATTCACCCCCTTTGCTATGAAGCCCCTAAATAAGATCTGGTGCAACCAATTACTACCTTCAGAAGTCACACAATTAGTTAAATAAAGTCCCTGTGTGCAATCTAAGTGTCACATGATCTCAGTATATATACACCTGTTCTGAAAGGCCCCAGAGTCTGCAACACCACTAAGCAAGGGGCACCACCAAGCAAGCGGCACCATGAAGACCAAGGAGCTCTTCAAACAGGTCAGGGACAAAGTTGTGGAGAAGTACAGATCAGGGTTGGGTTATACAAAAATATCAGAAACTTTGAACATCCCACGGAGCACCATTAAATCCATTATTAAAAAATGGGAAGAATATGGCACCACAACAAACCTGCCAAGAGAGGGCCGCCCACCAAAACTCACGGACCAGGCAAGGAGGGCATTAATCAGAGAGGCAACAAAGAGACTAAAGATAACCCTGAAGGAGCTGCAAAGCTCCACAGCGGAGATTGGAGTATCTGTCCATAGGACCACTTTAAGCCGTACACTCCACAGACCTGGGCTTTACGGAAGAGTGGCCATAAAAAAAATAAGCAAAAAGGCATGTGGGAGACTCCCCAAACATATGGAAGAAGATACTCTGGTCAGATTAAAATTGAGCTTTTTGGCCATCAAGGAAAACGCTATGTCTGGCGCAAACCCAACACCTCTCATCACCCCGAGAACACCATCCCCACAGTGAAGCATGGTGGTGGCAGCATGCTGTGGGGATGTTTTTCCATCGGCAGGGACTGGGAAACTGGTCAGAATTGAAGGAATGATGGATGGCGCTAAATACAGGGAAATTCTTATGGGAAACCTGTTTCAGTCTTCAAGAGATTTGAGACTGGGACGGAGGTTCACCTTCCAGCAGGACAATGACCCTAAGCATACTGCTAAAGCAACACTTGTGTGGTTTAAGGGGTAAACATTTAAATGTCTTGGAATGGCCAAGTCAAAGCCCAGACCTCAATCCAATTGAGAATCTGTGATATGACTTAAAGATTGCTGTACACCAGCGGAACCCATCCAACTTGAAGGAGCTGGAGCAGTTTAACCTTGAAGAATGGGCAAAAATCTCAGTGGCTAGATGTGCCAAGCTTATAGAGACATTCCCCAAGAGACTTGTAGCTGTAATTGCTGCAAAAGGTGGCTATAGAAAGTATTGACTTTGGGGGGGGGGTGAATAGTTATGCACGCTCAAGTTCTCGTCTTATTTCTTGTTTGTTTCACAATAAAACATATTTTTCATCTTCAAAGTGGTAGGCATGTTGTGTAAATCAAATTATACAAACCCCCCCCAAAAAATCAATTTTAATTCCAGGTTGTAAGGCAACAAAATAGGAAAAATGCCAAGGGGGGTGAATACTTTCGCAAGCCACTGTACATAAATAATAACAAAATAAACAATAACCTGCTTGTCCCTTGTTCTTGTCCTTCCCTCCAATGTCGTTGTTGGGATCCAGAGCATCACTCAGGTCAAACTCAGAGGCTGCAGGGAGAGGTCACAGGCCAGAGGTCAAAGATCAGGGGTAAAAGTTCAATGGTGAGTCGGGCAAGAAAAATGGGATTGATGGAATCTACAGTATATCTAACATGCCTCAACCAGGAGGAAAACCAAACAGCGTAGTCACAATATACCGTATCTGTGAAGAGATACATTCTATACATGGAAACTTCATGTCTACTGGCCCTCAAACTCAACTCTGGACCTGTAAGCCAGTTCCCTCTAATCAGGGACTGATTTAGACCTGGGACACCAGGTGTGTGCAATTAATGATCAGGTAGAACAGAAAACCAGCAGACTCCGGACCTCGTAGTGGTAAGAGTGGAGTACCCCTGGTGTACAGTATCAGTTTCTCCATACATTGTACAGATACATAAATACATACAGACAAACATGAACACAAATGAAGACGAGCTTCCAGTAGCCACACAGTTGAGAAAACATCTGCTAAACTATAACGTGTGGAAGACATTCAGGTAGCACTCACATCTACTCTATTTTGGTACTCAATAAATACCGAATGTCGAAAGGTCATTCAAAGGTCACACTGTCCATTTGTTGGGTCACTTGGTTGAATTCAAGAAGATGACAGCATTCTGTGGCTAAAAAAACCAACAGAGATGATGAGATGCAGACACAACACGACACACACACACACACACACACAACGTGTGGCAACAGACAGACACAACATGTAAACAACATGGTGAGCGTACCCACAGTGTCTACAATGGCATGGTACACAGGATGTCATTGACGCAGGCAAGATATCACTACAATGTGTGTGAATGTATAGACGTGGACCGTGTCCCAATAATCTTCACTGGCTTCCTTTTCTCCTCTCCTCCATTTTAACCAATAGGAGTTGTCATCTGTCCAGTCCAATCAGATCAATGGTCATGAGAGAAAGCAGATACCAGGAACAAGGAAGCTAGTTTACATCAGAGCTATACAATATAGAGAGTTTGGCAAACTAGCCTCCATGTTGGTTCTAAACATTCCATGACATTAACCTTCCAATCTGCTTTCTAATTTTAACGCATGGAACATCTGGTGTCAAAATGGCCGACCATTAAAACGATACAATCTCAAACAGAGTTTGCCAGACTCTGTATATGTACACCTCTGTTTTAGATTGAAGGGACATAGGAATTGTCTTCTGACAGGAGCCGTACGTCACTCCAACGCAGCGCTAGTCCTTCGACCAGCAGTGCAGATGGGTGAGCAGCTACATGATGGGGGGGGCATATATCGATACTAATAGATAGGCACCGTCTGAAATGGCACCCTATTCCCCACATAGTGCACTACTTACTACATACTACCCTATAGACCCTGGGCAAAAGTAGTGCACTATATAGGGAATATGGTGCCATTTGGGACAGACTTGACAACAACGGGATGGTGGTTCTAATTGGGGAATGGGGATGGTTTGTTAACAGACCTGCGTTCAAGTACTTTTCAAAATCATTTCAAATACTTGATCTGTGCTTGATTGAGCTTGCCTGTTTTAAACGGCACATGTCTGGCACTCTAGGCAGGCTACAGAAAAAGCTCAAAGCATTTGAAACATTTTGAATAGTATTTGAATCCAGGTCTGTTCGTTAAGCGAGCAGTACCAACCAGGCTGGGGCTTAGGTGGGGTGTGGGGGCCCTTGGTGGCGCGGGGCAGCAGGCCAGGGCGAGGGCTGGGCTCAAAGTCAAAATCAGCCTGGATCTCATCTGTTAGTGTAGTGAGTGCTCAGGGGTTAGTATAGCCTGGTTAACATTCAGTCTGGTTTAACCAGGCTAAGCTTAATGCTAGGCTTAGGGCTAGATTCAATCCGGAGTGAGGAAGATTCGCTATAGCATAATTGAAATTGAATGGCAATGTTCTTGCGTTCACGGTGACTGCATTCAAAGTAAAGGCTGCAGATGTCGGCTCAATCAGAAATTACCTTTACATTTCAACTGCGCTATAACGTGGTTCTTCCACGCTCCGGATTGAATCCAGCCCTTAGATTAGTAGGGTTAAGACAAATTCTGTACAGGTCTGTTAGTGTAGTGATCTCTCTAGGGATAGCTAGTAGGGTTAATGGAATCACATACAGCACTGTAGTAGAGGTGCTTGTGAGGTTCAGGGCGCACGGACACGCGCACGGACACGCGCACGCACGCACAGACACACGCACAGACACACGCACAGACACACGCACAGACACACACACAGACACACACACACACACAGACACACGCACAGACACACGCACAGACACACGCACAGACACACGCACAGACAGACACACGCACAGACAGACACACGCACAGACAGACACACGCACAGACACACGCAGGCTAAGAATAGTAGGCTGACTACAATTGACATACACGTTAATACCACAACATAGGCAAGGTGTGCAAGGGCAAGACTGACCAACCAAATAAGGGACGGCATGTTTCACAAGAGAGGTACAGACATACATGTGTCGATGGTACCATGGTATCACAGTAGTGCTTCTCAAAAGATGTTAGTGTAGTGATCCATCTTAAGCATTGTCTAGACTATGTCGTCAATAGTTTACCCATCAACTGGGTTAAGGCTGTTCCAGCCAAGTCAAACCTCAGACTGCATTTAGCTGAGAATCCTGATCTATTGACAAGCAAACCGGGTCTGTCTACTGTAGCCATTTCATTGCTAAGTACATCCCCTGGCACTTTGGGTAAAAGCCTCGAATAAACAAGAGACTTCATGCATGCTGGTTTAGTAGAGTAGCAATTTTAGTATGGTAGTTAGTAGTATATAGTAGCAGTCTTAGTATGGTATTTGGCAGTATATAGTAGCAGTCTTCGTATGGTAGTTAGTAATAGTATATAGTAGCAGTCTTAGTATCTTAGCTAGTAGTATATAGTACCGGTCTTAGTATGGTAGCTAGTAGTAGTATATAGTAGCAGACATAACTTTAGCAAGTAGGGATTTCTCCATTCACTTGTTAAGTGTAAAGGGTCTGATTAGAAAGCCTGTATGCTATGGTGGTTTCTTCCCTCATGTCTCCTCTGGTTTGGGCTTGAGCGGGGCCTTAGTGGCTGTGGCTTTAGGAGGAGCCTTAGGGTGTGTGTGTATGCGATCTCACCTGGCTTGGGCTTGTGTGGCGGGGCCTTAGTGGCTGGGGCTTTAGGAGGAACATTGGTGGTGGTGATCTTCTCATCTTCTCCAAAGAACTCTGACAGGAACATCATCACAATGAGCACATGAGGAACATCGCCACAATGAGCACGAGGAACATCGCCACAATGAGCACATGAGGAACATCGCCACAATGAGCACATGAGGAACATCGCCACAATGAGCACATGAGGAACATCGCCACAATGAGCATATGAGGAACATCATCACAATGAGCACATGAGGAACATCGTCACAATGAGCACATGAGGAACATCGCCACAATGAGCACATGAGGAACATCGTCACAATGAGCAAATGAGGAACATCGTCACAATGAGCACGAGAAACATCGTCACAATGAGCACATGAGGAACATCGTCACAATGAGCACATGAGAAACATCGTCACAATGAGCACATGTGGAACATCGTCACAATGAGCACATGAGGAACATCGTCACAATGAGCACATGAGGAACATCATCACAATGGCTGAGGTCAGTACAGTCAAACCAGGGTTAGACTCAATCCAGACCGTGGAAGAGCCGCGTTATAGCGCTGTTTACATTGAAAGGCAATGTTCCCACATTCGCCGGGGACAGCGTTTGCGGTAAACGCTGCATATGTCGGCTCAATCGGAAGTTACCTTTAAAAAGGTAATGAACAGTTTTTAATTAAATTGAATAATATTTCATCCTTTTGTTACGTTCCCCAGCAAGAAAACCAACTCAATATTAGGAAGGTGCTCTTAATGTTTTGTACACTCAGTGTATGTCTCGCCTTTCATCTGTGTCTGGTGTTAGCTAGTTACTGGCTAGCTAGGTCTTCATCTGTCTGGTGTTAGCTAGTTACTGGCTAGCTAGGTCTTCATCTGTGTCTGGTGTTAGCTAGTTACTGCCTAGCTAGGTCTTCATCTGTCTGGTGTTAGCTAGTTACTGGCTAGTTAGGTCTTCATCTGTGTCTGGTGTTAGCTAGTTACTGGCTAGCTAGGTCTTCATCTGTCTGGTGTTAGCTAGTTACTGGCTAGCTAAGTCTTCATCTGTCTGGTGTTAGCTAGTTACTACCTAGCTAAGTCTTCATCTGTCTGGTGTTAGCTAGTTACTGGCTAGCTGACCTGCCAGCATGGAACAACACATGTCTCACAAGAGACATGCCAAGCATTTCTATCCAAAACAAATATTATGGGTGATATTTTAGTCACACTCAAAATGCTATTTTACATGGAAATCAGAATGACTGTCCGGGACCTTTAAATGTCAAGTACGCTATAAGCAGATCTTCCACGGTCCGGATTGAAACTAGGCCTAGATTGGAGACACTTCAAGACAATTCCCATTCATAACATACTCATTATTAATGCATAATACCTGCTTAGGAGATGTGGATGATTTACCTGCCTTGTGCTTAAGCATGTGGTAAGTAGGCCTATAGTGCATAGCTACAGTATAGAGTACAAAGTAAGCCTACACACAGTATCTGATTTATGCTGATTTAAGGGGAAATCCAATGCACCAGTGTAGGCTGCTGAGGGGAGAACTGCTCATAATAATGGCCGGAGCGGAGCAAATGGAATGGCATCAAACACATGGAAACCATGTGATGGTATTTGATACCATTCCACCGATTCCGCTCCAGCCATTACCACGAGCCCGTCCTCCCCAATTAAGGTGCCACCAACCTCCTGTGCCTTGTGCTAATGTTAGAACCTTAGATATAATCAATAACAGAAAATACACTACATCTTTATTAGTAGGTTTTCAAGTGGTCAATACCTGCTTAAATACCTGCCAGTTTAATATATGTAAATAAATGAGGACCCCTGTGCTCACTCATGTGAGCACTGTCGCTACAGCACAGGCGGATATAAATCAATAGCAGAGAAAGTCTATATCCAGATGGATCTGTGAATCTGGGATCGTTTACCTTCTCCTGCCCCTTCTACTGGTTTGGGTTTGGGGGTTGCTGCTGCTGAGAGAAGAGAACAAGAGAAGAAAACAAGAGAAGTGAACAAGAGAAGAAGTGGAAAACAAGAGAAGTGAACAACAAGAGAAGAAGAGAAGAGAACAACAAGAGAAGAGGAGAAGAGAAGAGAAGAGAACAACAAGAGAAGAGGAGAAGAGAAGAGAACAACCAAGAGAACAACAAGAGAAGAGAACAACAAGAGAAGAGGAGAAGAGAACAACAAGAGAAGAGGAACAACAAGAGAAGAGAAGTAGATATAACAACAAGAGAGAAGAAGAGAACAACAGAAGAGAACAACAAGAGAAGAAGAGAACAACAAGAGAAGAGGAGAAGAGAACAACAAGAGAGAAGAGAACAACAAGAGAAGAGGAGAAGAGAAGAGAACAACAAGAGAAGAAGAGAACAACAAGAGAAGATTAGAGAACAAGAGAAGAGAAGAACATCATCATACAGAATGTAGCTACATCAATACATAGTCAGAATGATGATATGAATTAATATAAAACATGCAGTCAGACAGTGCATTAAAGCTACAATCTGCAATTGGTACCGCAATTTTGGGACTTTTTTTAAATGAACGACTTCATAGCCAGCGTATACAAATATATTGTCTGAAAAATGTCATACGGAATATAGCTACATCAACACAGTCAGAATGTAACTAAATTAGTAGTCAGAAGACTTCATACTCAGGGACCAGAAACACATTGTCAGATAATAGCATACAGTGCCTTCAGAAAGTATTCACACCCCTTGACTTTTTCCACATTCTGTCGTGTTACAAAGTGGGATTAACATGGATTTAATTGTCATTTTTTTGGTCAACAATCTACACAAAATACTCTAATGTGAAAGTGGAAGACAAATTATAACATTTGTAAATATGTATGCAAAATAAAACACAGTGGCAAGAAAAAGTACATGAACCCTTTGGAATTACCTGGATTTCTGCATAAATTGGTCATAAAATGTGATTTGATCTTCATCTAAGTCACAACAATAGACACACACAGTGTGCTTAAACTAATAACACACAAATTATTGTACTTTTCTTGTCTATATTGAATACATCATTTAAATATTCACAATGTCGGTTGGAAAAAGTATGTGAACCCCTAGGCTAATGCCTTCTCCAAAAGCTCATTGGAGTCAGGAGTCAGCTAACCTGGAGTCCAATCAATGAGACGAGATTGTAGATGTTGGTTAGAGCTGCCCTGCCCTATAATAAAACACACAGAATTTGAGTTTGCTATTCACAAGAAGCGTTGCCTGATGTGAACCATGCCTCGAAGAAAAGAGATCTCAGAAGACCTAAGATTAAGAATTGTTGACTTGCATAAAGCTGGAAAGGGTTACAAAAGTATTTCTAAAAGCCTTGATGTTCATGTTCAAGTACAATAATACTTTAGTACCTTATTGTAATCAGGATGCATGTTTTGGAATATTTTATTCTGTACAGGCTTCCTTCTTTTCACTCTGTCAATTAGGTTAGTATTGTGGAGTAACTACAACATTGTTGATCCATCCTCAGTTTTCTCCTATCACGGTCATAAAACCTCTAACTGTTTTAAAGTCACCATTGGCCTCATGGTAAAATCCCTGAGCGGTTTCTTTCCTCTCTGGCAACTGAGTTAGGAAGGACGCCTGTATCGTTGTAGTGATTGGGTGTATTGATACACCATCCAAAGTGTAATTAATAACTTCACCATGCTCAAAGGGATATTAAATGTCTGCTTCTTTTTTTTTTTACCCATCTACCAATAGGTTTGATTTTATTTTATTTATTAGGATCCCCATTAGCAGACTGCTGGTCTTACTGGGGTCCGAAACTTAACGAAAAAATACATTACAGACAAAAAAAATACTTTACAATTTACATACATTTTAAAACATTAACATTTAGTGTGTGTGTGTGTGTGTGTGTGTATCTATCAGTTACACATACATGTCAGTACATACACACAACAAGTAGGTCACATGGGGGAGAGGCATTGTGCCGTGAGGTGTTGTTTTTTAAACCAGGTCTGCTCTTCACTTGCGCTATATAACATGGAAGGGAGATCCATGCACTTTTCTGTGAGGCATTGGAAGACCTCCCTGGTCTTTGTGGTTGAGTCTGTTTGAAATTCAGTGCTTAACTGAGGGACCTTACAGATAATTATATGTGTGGGGTACAGAGATGAGGTAGTCATTCAAAAATCATGTTAAACTACTATTGCACACAGAGTGAGTCCATGCAACTTTTTATGTGACTTGACTCAAGACATTTCTGCTTTTCATTTTAATTTGTTAAAAACATTCTAAAAACATAATTCCACTTTGACATTACGTGGTATTGTGTGTAGGCCAGTGACAAAATACATCTCAATTTAATACATTTTAAATTCAGGCTGTAACACAACAACATTTGGAAAAAAGTCAAGGGGTGTGAATACTTTCTGAAGGCACTGTACATGAATCCATTGTCCATGAATTCATGGTAGAGATGTATGATTTCATATAGTAGATACTGCAGTAGTAAGTCTCAAGTATATGAATATTGTGTATTTTACAGTCTGACTGTCTTTCTGTACTTACGTGTTTTAGAGACATCGCCATCCAAGGCATCAGACAGGTCAAAGCCACCTTCATTCTGGGACAGAGCTGGAGGAGAAGGAGAAGGAGAAGGAGGAAGGAGAAGGAGAAGGAGAAGGAGAAGGAGAAGGAGAAGAAGAAGAAGAAGATGCTCAAATCAAATCAAATGTTATTTGCCACATGCGCCGAATACAACAGGTGTAGACATTACAGTGAAATGCTTACTTACAAACCCATAACAAACAATGCAGTTTAAGAAAAAAATTAATAGCAAATAATTAAAGAGCAGCAGTAAAATGAAATAACAGTAGGGAGGTTATATACGGTCTAAGGCACTGCATCGCAGTGCTAACTGTGCCACTAGAGATCCTGGTTCGAATCCAGGCTCTGTCGCAGCCGGCCGCGACCGGGAGACTCATGGGCGGCGCACAATTGGCCCAGCGTCGTCCAGGGTAGGGGAGGGAATGGCCGGCAGGGATGTAGCTCAGTTGATAGAGCATGGCGTTTGCAACGCCAGGGTTGTGGGTTCGTTTCCCAGGGGGGGGCCAGTATAAAAATAAAATAAAAATATATATGTATTCACTAACTGTAAGTCGCTCTGGATAAGAGCGTCTGCTAAATGACTAAAATGTAAATGTAAATATACAGGGGGTACCGGTACAGAGTCAATGTGCAGAGGCACTGGTTAGTAGAGGTAATTGAGGTAATATGTGCATGTGGGTAGAGTTAAAGTGACTATGCATAAATAATAAACAGAGTAGCAGCAGCGTAAAAGAGGGGGGTAGGGGGTGGGGGGGTGGGGGTGGGGGGGGGGGGGGGGGGGGGGGGGGGGCAATGCAAATAGTCCGGGTAGCCATGATTAGCTGTTCAGGAGTCTTATGGCTTGGGGGTAGAAGCTGTTAAGAAGCCTTTTGGACCTAGACTTGGCGCTCCGGTACCGCTTGCCATGCAGTCTGACTAGGGTGGCTGGAGTCTTTGATAATTTTTAGGGCCTTCCTCTGACACCGCCTGGTATAGAGGTCCTGGATGGCAGGAAGCTTGGCCCCAGTGATGTACTGGGCCGTACGCACTACCCTCTGTAGTGCCTTGCGGTCGGAGGCCGAACAGTTGCCATACCAGGCGGTGATGCAACCAGTCAGGATGCTCTCGATGGTGCAGCTGTAGAACTTTGAGGATCTGAGGACCCATGCCAAATCTTTTCAGTCTCCTGAGGGGGAATAGGCTTTGTCGTGCCCTTTTCACGACTGTCTTGGTGTGTTTGGACCATGATAGTTTGTTGGTGATGTGGACACCAAGGAACTTGAAGCTCTCAACCTGTTCCACTACAGCCCTGTCGATGAGAATGGGGGCGTGCTCAGTCCTCTTTTTTTTTTCCTGTAGTCCACAATCATCTCCTTTGTCTTGAGCTTGTTGAGGGAGAGGTTGTTATCCTGGCGCCACACGGCCAGCTCTGACCTCCTCCCTATAGGCTGTCTCATCATTGTCTGTGATCAGTCCTACCACTGTTGCGTCGTCGGCAAACTTAATGATGGTGTTGGAGTCGTGCCTGGCCATGCAGTCATGGGTGAACAGGGAGTACAGGAGGGGACTGAGCACGCACCCCTGAGGGGCCCCCGTGTTGAGGATCAGTGTGGCAGATGTGCTGTTACCTACCCTTACCACCTGGGGGCGGCCCGTAAGGAAGTCCAGGATCCAGTTACAGAGGGAGGTGTTTAGTCCCAGGGTCCTTAGCTTAGTGATGAGCTTTGAGGGCACTATGGTGTTGAACGCTGAGCTGTAGTCAATGAATAGCATTCTCACATAGGTGTTCCTCTTGTCCAGGTGGGAAAGGGCAGTGTGGAGTGCAATAGAGATTGCATCATCTGTGGATCTGTTGGGGCGGTATGCAAATTGGAGTGGGTCTAGGGTTTCTGGGATAATGGTGTTGATGTGAGCCATGACCAGCCTTTCAAAGCACTTCATGGCTACAGACGTGAGTGCTACGGGTTGGTAGTCATTTAGGCAGGTTATCTTAGTGTTCTTGGGCACAGGGACTATGGTGGTCTGCTTGAAACATGTTGGTATTACAGACTCAGTCAGAGACATGTTTAAAATGTCAGTGAAGACACTTGCCAGTTTGTCAGCGCATGCTCGGAGTACACGTCCTGGTAATCCGTCTGGCCCTGCGGCCTTGTGAATGTTGACCTGTTTAAAGGTCTTACTCACATCGGCTACAGAGAACTTGATCACATAGTCATCCGGAACAGCTGATGCTCTCATGCATGCTTCAGTGTTGCTTGCCTCGAAGCGAGCATAGAAGTAATTTAGCTCCTCTGGTAGGCTCATGTCACTGGGCAGCTCGCGGCTGTGCTTCCCTTTGTAGTCTGTAATAGTTTAAGCCCTGCCACAAATGCTAAAAGTAATTGAAAGATTTCAAATAGTATTTAAACCTAGGTCTGCTGCCAACCAACCCTTCTTCAATCCTTTCCATGATCCACGTTCCAGTGTAGTGACGAATGCAGTGGTTGCTGTCATATCAAGATGTCAACAAAGACTCCTTGCATTCCTCAAGCACATGGGACAGAAGCGCTATTGTGTCCATACAGCAACGCACACATGCGCACGCACACATACACGTCTCTTTTTCAAGTTTTTTCAAGTCTCCTCACAATGAGTGATAATGATAGATCTAATGGCCTACAAGGGGTATTTTTTCCCTCCAATTAAATAATTGTGCCAGACTTGCAACCTGTGCCTCATTATCATTGGGTAGATAAAACCTGAGTAGTCTCATTATCATTAGGTAGATAAAACCTGCGTAGTCTCATTATCATTAGGTAGATAAAACCTGCGTAGTCTCATTATCATTAGGTAGATAAAACCTGAGTAGTCTCATTATCATTAGGGGAGGTTAAAGGTTATCTTTAGTAGGAAGTTGTCCTTACCTAGACACTGATCTAAAGACAGTTTAGCATCCCCCCCTTCCCCCCTAATAAGACAAATGAATGACCTACTTACGATTAGAGGAGACACTTTTGATCATTATCATTATGTATCAGACACCCATCTTAATAATAACAATGACTGCCATTTCATGAGTTTGCTTGTGAAATTCACATCAGTCTAAGGCAGCATCGTGTGTCTAATGTTAGCTCCAAGGGTCAGAGAGCAGCATTCTACACGTGTCTGAGAAATGTGCGCCGCCCCATGGGTCTCCCGGTCGCGGCCGGCTACAACAGAGCCTGGATTCGAACCAGGATCTCTAGTGGCACAGCTAGCACTGCGATGCAGTGCCTTAGACCACTGCGCCACTCGGGAGTAGTGGCTTGGGGGTAGAAGCTGTTGAGAAGTCTTTTGGACCTAGACTTGGCACTCCGGTACCGCTTGCCGTGCGGTAGCAGAGAGAACAGTCTATGACTAGGGTGGCTGGAGTCTTTGACAATTTTGAGGGCCTTCCTCTGACACCGCCTGGTATAGAGGTCCTGGATGGCAAGAAGCTTGGCCCCAGTGATGTACTGGGCCGTACGCACTACCCTCTGTAGTGCCTTGCGGTCGGAGGCCAAGCAGTTGCCATACCAGGCGGTGATGCAACCAGTCAGGATGCTCTCGATGGTGCAGCTGTATAATTTTTTGAGGATCTGAGGACCCATGCCAAATCTTTTCAGTCTCCTGAGGGGGAATAGGCTTTGTCGTGCCCTCTTCACGACTGTCTTGGTGTGTTTGGACCATGATAGTTCGTTGGTGATGTGGACACCAAGGAACTTGAAGCTCTCAACCTGTTCCACTACAGCCCCGTCGATGAGAATAGGGGCGTGCTCAGTCCTCTTTTTTTTCCTGTAGTCCACAATCATCTCCTTTGTCTTGGTCACGTTGAGGGAGAGGTTGTTATCCTGGCACCACACGGCCAGGTCTCTGACCTCCTCCCTATAGGCTGTCTCATCGTTGTCGGTGATCAGGCCTACCACTGTTGTGTCGTCGGCAAACTTAATGATGGTGTTGGAGTCGTGCCTGGCCATGCAGTCATGGGTGAACAGGTAATGGTAATCACTCTGACATCAATGCAAATGTAATCGAAAATCTAATCAAACACTTCATGAGAGCCCATGTTGCCCAACATTTCTATAGGCGATGAAATTGCGCGAGAAAACATAGTGATGGCCTCTAATAAAAAGAGGAGGATCCCATCAAGCTTCCTATAGGCTATGCCTACTATATTTATTTCTCAACTTTCCTAATATTAAGAAAATATTAAGCACATTGCTTATCTTTACAACAGGAGTATAGCCTACTTGGCTGGCATGAAAATTAACCACAGGAAAAGCGTCCTCCATTCGCTATTTAAGTGCAGAGATGATATTGTATTTTTCCCACTGCCCCTGTTTTGAGACAGGTGCATGATAATGGTCCATTCTAAATCAAAACAAATTTCACACATATATTATTTAGTATAGGTAAAGACAAGATTAAATCAAGAATAGTGTGATGGGTGACAATATTAGCCTAGCACTTGTGAATGATATATTATGACTTGTGAATGATGCCCAGCTTAAGGCAAGAAACAAAGCCTTGGTTTTTTACTTGTTCAAATCATAGTGGCACACCTCATGTAGCCTAGCCCATAGGCCTATATGTTTTGATAAGGTTTGTATCACAACTAAAGTGGCCAAATAACTTCTTAAAATTAAGCACATTCATCCGCTTTACAAGGGGTGTAGAGCCTAACTGGCATACATAAGCAGCGTGTGAGTTTCAAGTTTGGGGAAGATCATTACTATTGCTATATTACGCCTGGTATAACTATTGCTACTTAGCCTGTCACCGTGCACCCGGCCTGTCACCGTGCACCCGGCCTGTCCCTGTGCACCCGGCCTGTCCCTGTGCACCCGGCCTGTCACCATATACCCGGCCTGTCACCATATACCCAGCCTGTCACCATATACCCAGCCTGTCACCATATACCCAGCCTGTCACCATATACCCAGCCTGTCACCATATACCCGGCCTGTCACCATATACCCAGCCTGTCACCATATACCCAGCCTGTCACCATATACCCAGCCTGTCACCATATGCCCAGCCTGTCACCATATACCCAGCCTGTCACCATATACCCAGCCTGTCACCATATACCCAGCCTGTCACCATATACCCAGCCTGTCACCATATACCCAGCCTGTCACCATATACCCAGCCTGTCACCATATGCCCAGCCTGTCACCATATGCCCGGCCTGTCACCATATACCCGGCCTGTCACCATATACCCAGCCTGTCACCATATACCCAGCCTGTCACCATATACCCAGCCTGTCACCATATACCCAGCCTGTCACCATATACCCAGCCTGTCACCATATACCCAGCCTGTCACCATATGCCCAGCCTGTCACCATATACCCAGCCTGTCACCATATACCCAGCCTGTCACCATATACCCAGCCTGTCACCATATACCCAGCCTGTCACCATATACCCAGCCTGTCACCATATACCCAGCCTGTCACCATATACCCGGCCTGTCACCATATACCCGGCCTGTCACCATATACCCAGCCTGTCACCATATGCCCAGCCTGTCTTTGTCTTTGCACCTTCCCTCCCCTGCAGAATAGGGGAAACAGCCCCTTGTCCCTCCCTCTCGGTCACATGATGACCCCAGACCAACCATGTGACTTCTGATCAACCACTTTTTGACTATCATGTATGGATCTTGGAAAAATAACAAATCTGTATGAATGCATGTCCATTGTTCTCCCAATACTGATGAAGGCTTGTCCATTTGACTCCTGCTTCTGTTTTAAGAAATTAAACTTGAAGGGGCGGTTTCCTTTTCCTAATAACTTTAGATGGAGATTCTCCATTGAGTTTGCTGTTTTGCCCCCTACTAGGCTTAATCTGTCTGGGAAAACACCCCCAAAAGATTAGCCTATCACCAGTGAGTGAGGTTTTCCTTTTCCACATGTATATATCTTGCTCATAGCAACTAATTACTTTCTACACCAAAGGAGTAAATTAGCTAGATATAATTTATCATGGCAATATTGAATTCCCAACATGAACAGTCATCTCTATAGAGACGGTATAGACGGTTCCTGCATGGATCCTCAGCTGCTGTGTATCAAAGTGAATAAATAATCGATTTCTCTGTTCAATGACGACCCCCACATGGTCCTGTCTGCATCCTGTCTGGGGACTGATCTCATCACATTTCATTAAGGGAGTGGCAGCGTGTAATGTAACCCAAAAATAAAGCTCACACACACACAACCTAAAAGCTTGCATGCTGCCCACACACACCCCTCCTCTCTCCTTCCCACACACACCCCTCATCCCCCTTTCCCAAAGAAAAGACTGCAGCTGAGGCTTCACCCCTTTCCTTTCCTCCCTCCACCTCCTTTCCTCCTCCTTCATCCCCTCATCCCAAAATCCAAACCCCTCCAGCTAAAATGTGCCAAGTGTGCACTAATCTATGAGGGGTGTCAGCGCCGACAGACTGAACTGTAAACATGCGGTCAGGTCATTGAAGCAGTAATAATGTGAACAGAACAGAATAGGGACTCGAGGACTAGACATGTCCTCATGGTCTTAAAATGACACGCTCAGTGTGCGCATGTGCGAAGGGAGGAAACTGGCACCCTGGAGGTTTCAACCTGCACCTGCCATGGAGAGAACGAAAGAGCGACCCTTCGAAGAGAATTAAATAAAGACTCTCGACTCACTGAACCAGACCTCATAATATAACCATTCAGTCAATAACACCCATACTCTCTTATGTGTATAGTCTAAGTGATCCACCACAAATTAAAACCATAGGCTGTAAATTATTTTTAGACAATTATCATCAGTAGCCTAGTTTATTTGCATAGCTCTTTCTTTAATTCATGCTTATCATTTGTGATAAACAAAGATTACTTTACCCATTTAAATACATCTATATAACCCCTAAATAACACCTAGCCTATATCAATCATGAATATAATATCTTACTGTGTCTGCTATAGGATGTATGTCTGATAACATGATGTCCTAATATTCTGGTCCCGTGTGGCTCAGTTGGTAGCGCGCATGAGACTCCAGGGTTGTGGGTTCGAATCCCACGGGGTACCAGTACGAAAGAAAAAAAGAAAGTATGAAAATGTATGCACTCACTACTGTAAGTCGCTCGTCTGCTAAAATGTAAAAATAGTCTACCGGCACTGATATGTGACTAGACTGCAAAGACATTAGCATCTCAGGGAGCGTGTTTTATCCCACATCTATATATAAAGCTTCGTCTTGTATCATTAGAATTCACATCTAAATGTGTGATAGAAAGAGATCAATTTGGATTGTGGAATCGAACATATGGAACATCAGTTCGCAGCCAGACCGGCTGGTCAATATGACTAGGTCCAAACCTGACACATGTAGGCTAGGCTACTTTTTGGCATGACTGGGTTAGGTTGTTAGGCTAACACATCTGTAGTGTCAGTATGTAGACGTAATAGGTATCCATTGTAATCTATGCAGCGGCTTGCTGCCGCCCGTGTACCGTTATTCGTTGTAGAATAAAGGAATACCTCTAAAAAAAAAAAAAATTGACCGAGGAAACAAAACACTGATGAACTAGGCAATAGCGTGAACCACAACAAAGAAGAAAGAGAGAGAGAGGCCTTAGAATTGAATTGAGAGAGGGGTTGGGCGAAACGCTTACCTTTCATAGCTAGCAGCGAGACTACTAGAAAGAGCGACCACGCCGAACATTTCCCCATGTTTGAGATTCGTCGTTCCGGCGTTGTATCGATACTGGTTTAAAATAACGTTACACTAACGATAAAAACGACTTATAGTCTTCTCTCGCTGCCTGCTTGCTACAATGTAGCGATTTGTTGGGCGTTGAGCCGCTTGAAAGCGCTACTTTGATCCTAAAAAATCTTTGTTTGGCGGCGCCTGTGCGACAGTGGCGAACAGTTGGCTGCAACTGAACGGAAAGTCTGCAGTGAGAATGAGAGTGGTGCGGCTGTGCGCCTGTGGAGAAGCGAGAGAGCGGTAGGTAGGCGCAGCATCTACAGCGAGAATCACATTACAGTGGCGGTGTAGGGCGGATCCTCTCCGTTTTTACAGACAACAGACAGAGAGACACAGTGGTGATTTAAATCCCGTTATTCTCTATTCCAATGGTGAAAAAGGCCTATGATGATGCCATATTGGATATTCAGAACTGGCCTGTAGGCTTGATCTGAGTAAGGGTGTGTAGGCTAATAGACAATGCATGATGTTGAACTTTCATTAGCCTACAGCTATTAGGCAGACAGAATGGTGGTGATTTAAATACAGTTATTTCCCATTCCATAATCTCTATGATGAATAATAAGGTTGTACCATATTGGCCTCTAAAGGGTGTGTAATATAATGCATGATGTAGAAGTTCAATTTACATTTTAGTAATTTAGCTGACGCTCTTATCAAGAGCAATTAGGGTTAAGTGCCTTGCTCATGGGCACATCGACAGATTTTTCACCTAGTTGACTCGTGGATTCAAACCAGCGACCTTTCGGTTATTGTCCCGATGCTCTTAAACGCTAGGCTACCTGCCGCCCCATTACAATTACACTACAGCTACAGACGACAGCTGCTTAGCCAGAGGCGTTGGGTGATGAGTAGGGGATAACCTCAGAGGCCTCAATTGACAGACTGTTGTTCATATGAGATCGTAATGCACGCATAATTACATAATGACCTTCAGTTGGCTATAGTAGCTTATTCGGGCAAGAGATAGCCATATTAGACCAACATTGAAATCAGAATGAAATAGACGTGCTGGAATGGAATAGAATAGAATGGAATAGAATATAATAGAATAGAATAGGTTAAAATTAACTGTTGAAAGAAAGGGAGAGTGAGGAGGAAGCTGTTCTGACTCACTGTCTGGTTGCATTTTTTCCTTTTCCTGAATGGTCTATTGATAGATCAGTCCTGACAAGTATCTGTCTGTCCCTGTCTCACAGCTTGATCATATGCCTTAGAATGGAATAAATATAGGCTACTTTATACATTTCCCAGGGGGAATTAGTTTGATATAGGCTACCATGTATTTGTCGGTTATAAAATAACATCATTAAATCATAACATTGTTACCTCAAAACATCATTAAATCATAACATTGTTACTTCAAAACATCATTAAATCATAACATTGTTATCTCAAAACATCATTAAATCATAACATTGTTACTTCAAAACATCATTAAATCATAACATTGTTACCTCAAAACATCATTAAATCCCCAGACTAAAATCACAACAAAGTCTGATGATTCAGCTTGATCCCTCACATTGATTTGACTGATTGATCCAATTCAATTGATTGATCAATTCCTTCGATCATTCATTACTATCTCTTCTAACGTAAAGGTTCCAAACTCACTTCAGACATGTGACCATCATTCTTTCTTCTGATATTAATTGGCAACATTTTAAATAATTTTCTATGAACTCCAATGCAATGATTTGGCCCAAAATAAATGTGTCTCATCAGTTACCTACTACCTATTTGTATGAATTTATTTATGTATTTATTCTTCATAAGCATTAACAGGACCAATGAAAATACAAGTAACATGATGCCTTAAAAACAAGTAGAAAGAGTCAAGACGTAAAGGTGAGGTGTGAAACCCAGGAGGCTACACCCCAACAGGCCTCTATACTGAGGATGTTCAGCACCACCTATATACCCAGAGCCCTGCTCTGAGAGGCCAGGGGCTGGTTCTGCTGCACTATTGGCACAAGGGAACAAGTGATCCAAGGTAAAGAGGTAAAAGGACAGAAGGCACACGTTTTTGGAAATGGAACTAAGCCCAAAATACATTAAGCTAAGTGAGGAGTTGGATGGGTGCCATTCAGCCGACTTGGGGCTCAAATCCTGTTTGGGTCTCCTCCACCATGAAGCAGAGGTGGTTGGTTTATTGCTGTGCATAGGCTAAGATGCATTCTAACAATAGAATAGAACAACTTTATTTTCCCATTGGGTAATGAACATCAGATATCATTGTTTTCTGCTTTGATTTGTTCAATTACCACAGTCAGTGTCTCAAACTGGTTCTTGGGGACCAACCGGGACCTTCCACACATTTGTTCAATTCCAAGCAAGCCCCCTCCTCCTTGAGATCTACCTGGTAGTTTACACAGGCTTTTGCTCCAGCCATACGACAACACACCTGCAGGAGGGTAGCTCCCTAGGAGGACGATTGGTCAACGCTCATTGCTCAACATCTTGATAATCACGTCGGTAATCGTGCTTTCAGTTTGGCTTCAGAATAACTGGATAATTGTTTTGTCCTGAAACAAGAAAAATGAAATAATATGAAAAGATGTATCTAAAATAGGTCTTAAAAAAGAGAGAGACAACCCCAGTCCTTGAGGGCATAAGTCCTGCTGGTTTTCATATCATCCCAGTATGTATTAACGATCAATTAATGTAATGGATTGGCTTGATAGTTTAAACACTGGTTGCCATGTTGAAATCAATCTCTGATTAAAATGTCAAGGATACAAATCCACAAACTAACCTCCTTTCAATGGATAGTTCACTCAAAAGTTATTCTGATCATTCTCCTCAAAAGATCACATTCTGTTCTGAAGATCTGCAGGTTTCAGTCTCAAATTAATTAGAAATATATGTAGCCACCATCTAACTCAAATGGTAACATGGTAATTATCCAACAGTGACTATTGAAATAATCTATAGACCTACCAACTCTAATACACTATACATTTTCTTACTACATATAAGGTCGAATACAAAACTGTAGTAAAATGAATTATTTTATTAGGAATATCCATCCCTTAGGAGTGCAATGACTTGACAGGTGTTCACAGATCTGTATCTGTAGCCTAGTGTCCTATCTTAACCTTTCACCTGAGAAAGAAAGCTGTTTTATAATGTCTAAAAACATCTCCAATTGAACCTCTATATGTTAGCATACAAACCGTACCCATGTGTACTGCTGCACACACAGCCATCCATCCTCACCCAATGAACTTCTCTTTAAACTACTCTGAAACTTTTCTCAGCGGCTCTTTTCAAAGGCGTGGGTATGACAAGGCCTCCTTGTCGACCAATCACCAACGAGAAATCCGTAACGTGTGTAGAGCAGCGTCCAATCAGCAGTTTGGGAGGCTGTTTTGAACTGACCCGGCCGCTAGCCAATCAGGCCGTTCTCGTATTGAGCTAGCGCGAGGCTGTCTACATTAGGATAGAGAAGACAGGAGAAAGGCGAGACTGTAGGATTCCAGAAAACACACTGACTTGACTGCTGCTTAACAATACAGGTACGTTACTTGTTATAACAATAATAACATTACATTATTTTCTTACTACCACCCATTTGAATAATTTATAATATTTACTTGTGTTAAATGATATGATTATTTTAATCATTTGAAGTGAGATTATGTTATTGTTACGTATTTCTGTGGTATTTTAGTGCAATTATAGTTTAAATGTGTTTAGATGTTATTCATCTTGCAGTCAAATAGTATTTGATCATTTTTCTCCACATAATGTGTGATTTATTGGGTTATCGACAGAAATCTGCTGAAAATGGTCTCGATCTATTTTAATATTGTTTACACGGTCATTTACCATAAAGAAAATGAATATGTCACTGTTGTCTCGTGGACTCTGTTTTTTCCTGATTTTTAAAGTAACCAAAAGTTATTAAACTGTAATTTTCTGAGGCTTCTATTCCCACACGCATCGCTGCTGTGTGTAACACTGTGAATATGGCTGGCTATAGCCTGTCTACGAATAACACTGTCCTTCTATTGCGACCCCATTTCGATGTCATCTACATAAATAATCGTACATTTTCAGAATAAACGTTTGTTTTCCGCTGAACTCTTTTATCTCTATTCAACAATGTAAAGAAAATGTGAATGTCATCGTCCAAAAGCTGTTTTTGAGATTTGTTATCGCCCTTAGTCAAATGATTGCTCTCACCATGTAGTAAAATGGCTGGCGATTTAAACCATTGAGGAGAGGCAGCGCTAACGCAGAGAAGGGACGGGAAATTGTTGGAGAAAAACAAATTACCTACGGACGAAAAATACTGCACTTTTTCGTTTTCCATTCGAAATGTTTATCTCTAACTTTCTGCATTAAAGGATTTTTATTTTACCCCTTTTTATTCATTTTCGCAACTTCTCGCTTTCAACAGGATGGCTGGCGCACTGTCTTTGTTACTGAGAGAGCAATGCACCAAGCGACAGTCAGGGGTATAACTTCAGAAAACAGTGAAATGTCACGAAATACGAAATGGCAGTTTTTATATTTTAACCCAAATAAAAAGAACAGTCTTTGTTTTATCTGACTACGTTGTTTTGTTTTTAATTAACGGTCACATTTAGTCGTTATAGCTCTTGGAACCGGAGGGGGGTGTGTATCGCTTTGTTACATAGTCAACCCCATAAGCCTTCCCCTCGCTCTACAGAAGCCATTTTATTCAATGGGAGCTCCAGCAAAGAACAGCAATCTCTCCTCGCCTGTATAGCAGCCACACTACCCAATACTAGGCGCTATGAACTGGGACTGAAAGCTACCGTACGGAGCGGCGAATTAAAAGCCGAAAAAGTAATAACATTTTTGGCAAAGTAAGATCGAAATAGGCAAGAAGGTGGAAAATAAACAGGAGTTTCTCTCATGAGGACGCATTTCACAAAATGGAAGATGAATAATTCGCGTTGATGACCTCTCTGTTTTTCTCTGTATGTGTAGTTGAAGATTCTCATTCTATCGCAACATTGTAACTAGAGTCGGAGCGCTCGCTATACTATAGCTTGTATGAAGAAAGTAGAGTTCGCGTTGCGTTGGATGCAATGGAGTAAAGTTTAGAGAGCTAAAAAATATGAAAATAAAAGGCAGAAAATGGCTAATGACAAGGAGATGGGCGGTGGCGAGGGGAGAATATGGTGGGGGCTCCTTATTAGATTGAGATTTTAATGGGAGGTGTATTGTAAAAATGCTAATTTACTTTGTAGATTAGAATTCGATTATTTTCCAAAAATTTAATTTATATCTAAGTATGAATTCACATTCCTAAGAATGACATTTCTCAAATAGCCTAGTTAAATCATTTTAAGTATTTTTAAGAAATGAAAAGAAAAACCTTACACTTTGAATAATGTATTGGTATTCATTGACATTTACATAATTTAGCAGACGCTCTTATCCAAAGCGTATTCCATTGTAATTACATAATAAATACTTTGTACAACATAAAAACAAATCAAAAACAGACATTACAACAGCACACAGTCTCATAGCCACATTTCCTTAATTCCATCAAATTTCCTTAAATCCCAATGTTCCTTATTCTAAGACTCCTTGGCCAATCGGCCACGTCTTCTCCCGTGTCACAACTACAGAATGCAAATAATTAATTCCAACCAATTCTTATTGTAGAGCTAATTGGAATTCATTCTAATTCTAGAACTGATTCTTATTCTAGAACTCATTCTCCCTTGTTCCCTTCTATGGTTCCACCACCTACCATAATAATAATAATTTATTCACATTTTATAGCACTTTTCATTATAAAAAAAATCTCTAAGCGCTTTAAAGCAACACACAAAAAGACAAGCAATTTAGAAAACAACAACATCATTCATGAGTTATAAGGTAATGAGAGGGTTGTAAAGTTCATGGCTTGAGTGGTCTTTGGAGGGAGGTGGTCGAAGCACTGTGTCATCAAGGTGTCTTGCCGTTAATGTGAAGTTGACTATCACCAGATGTCAATGATGTTAAATGAATCTGTTGGGTGTTGTGTAATCAAATTTATGTCTGAATTAATTTGTCAATAAAGACCACAGTTAGTCTCCAACATGAATTGTGTTTGACTCTCCAGTTACAAATGACATCAAACATTTATTGAAATATTCATTAAAATGAACATGCCATGGTCAATGTGATAGATAGTATACAGATTCACTTTCCCAGAAGAAAATCAAACCACATCATTGAATTAACCCATTTCCATCTTCTCTCCACTCTCACCAGATACTGACCCAATCAACCAATTAACCAATCAACGAGTTCCAGACCGCTGCTAGACCCCGCCCAGTGACCAGGATGGCTAAAGGCACTCCAGGGAAGCCCAAAGGCAAGATGTCCTCCTACGCCTACTTCGTTCAGACCTGCCGTGAGGAGCACAAGAAGAAGACCCCTGAGATACCTGTCAACTTCTCTGAGTTCTCCAAGAAGTGCTCCGGAAGATGGAAGGTGAGAATGGATGGATGGATACTTTATTGATCCCTCAAGGAAAATTAATACAATTATTACTTAGTTATCATGATGAAGTTGATTGATTGATTGGTGACATATAATGTCCTTTATGAATAAATTCTTTTCACAGCTTATTTATTTACTATTTATTAATTGATGTACTTATTTATACATTTTATTTAGTTATAGAGATGAGATAATGGGGATGGTGAGATTAAGATTATTATCACAATATCCCCACCAGCATGCTGCATAGTGTACTTGGCCAATACATCACATCACACTACGCAGCCCGCGCAAATGGTTATTGCAACAGAGCTCAAGTTAATTGAATTGATTTTAACCAAATTCAATTCAATACATTTTTGGCTGCCAAATCTATTGTTCCCCTAAAGGACAAATGGGGTGGTAGCCTAAAGCTTCCAAGTCAAGAACGGCAAGTTATTTGTTAACTTGGAGCGGTTACATATTCCTTACTGCAGGTGGCGCAACAAGACCACATATCATGCTGACTTATATTAAATGACAATTAGGCGGCCTTGCATAGACCTCTCTGTTTGAATCCTTTTTTCCGTATGGTACCTAACGAACACTGCCCATGTGTCCATCTGTACAAAGTCTATTGGTGGGTATGTTTTAAGTGGTGTAAATGTTGTGATTTTTTTTCAGACGATGTCTGGTAAGGAGAAGGGGAAGTTTGACGACATGGCGAAGCAGGATAAGGTGCGTTACGACAACGAGATGGTGCACTTCGCCCCTGGAGGCAAGAAGGGAAGGAAGAAGGACCCCAACGCACCAAAGAGGCCCTCGTACGTACCACACACACAGACTGACATATACATGGATGGAGTCATGCACAGACAGACACACAAATACACACACTCCATCACTCATGTTTTGTTTTTGGTAAGTGTATCAGTACATGAAAAATAAAAGGAGATCCTCACACTTGAGGAGCTCAGATACAATAATTTAATAACCTAATAACCAACGTTTGGACAGACAAGCTGTCTTCATCAGGGTATAATCAATACACACATCAGACATCACGACACAAATCATAATAATAAATATAATAATAATTCCTTCCTTTCTCCACAGCTCTGGTTTCTTCATCTTCTGTGGGGACCACCGGCCCAAGATCAAGGCCCAGCACCCCAGCCTGGGCATCGGGGACGTGGCCAAAAAACTGGGGGAGCAGTGGAACAACCTGACTGATGTCACCAAACAGCCCTACCTGATCAAGGCCAACAAACTCAAAGACAAATACCAGAAGGTAAACCAACTTACCTGTGTATTGTATCACACACACACACACACACACGCATGCACACAAAAAGCCCTACCTGATCAACAAACTCAAACTCGCTCTCCCTATCTCTCTCTCTCTCCCTCTCTCCCCCCAGGACGTTGCTGACTATAAGTCCGGTAAAGGCAAGGTGGGAGTTCCGAACATGGCGATGGCCCCTAAACCCATGATGAAGAGTAATATGGATGACGATGATGATGACGATGAGGAAGATGAGGAGGAGGAGGATGAGGATGACGAGTAGATCGAATACGTTCTGTTTTGTGTTTTATGATGATGATGAAGTTAATGATGATTATTAAGTAATGCGTTTTTCTTTCCAGTTTGAAATGCGATTTGTAGGGTTAAGAAGAAACACAGGTGAAATTTGTATGTTCCTTAATGACATTGCTCCGCGCCCTGCCCCCCCCCCCCTCCCCCCCTTCTATTCTCTCCCTCCAACTCTTTGTTGTTTTGATGTTGTCACTATGTTGATTTTGTGTTAACTGCTTCTGTAAAGTTCTCTATGTACATTGTGTCAAGTTAAGATGTTGAGACTGTATGTTACTATGGCAACTGTGATTGAACTCAAAGCAGATCCCTAATAATCCCCCCCCCCCCCAACAGCTGTGTGTGTGTGCGCGCTCATGCTCACGTGTGTGTGTCACCAGCACTGTCCAGTGTCTTCCTCATAACCCTCCTAGCATTGTCTCTATAACAGGGTGTATATCAATTCAACAGAGAAGCATTTAAAACCAGTGGTAGCATTGCGGTATATATAAACACTTTTTTGTTTTTGGCGATACGTCCCAAATGACACCCTATTCCTTATACAGTGCACTACTTTTGACTAGGGCCTATAGGGAATCCCATAGAGCTCTGGTCAAAAGTAGTGCACTATATAGGGAATAGGGCGCCATTTGGGACTTTGCTTTAAAAAAAGGTGGTGTGTTGCTGTATATGGTTGACTTAGACTTTAGTCCATGTTTTTTTTCTCCAGTTTTTATTTTTATGACTATTTTTATTTTTCTGAGGCCTCCAGATGTAAGGTGATTTCTGATTGCACATATCTAGTAGGGTTGGTGTTGTTGAATATAGGTGGCTGTTTGTGTAGCTGTGTGTTGGTTGTTGCACCAGGAAGTGTTGCCATGGTGAAAATCTTAACTCCCAGTTCAACAGCCTCCCATGTAAACAAGCAGTGGTGGCCGGTTAGCTAGTGTATGCTGGCCAACAGTCATTTAATACTATGGTTTAGGGTCATTTCGTAACTTCCACTAAAGTCACATATTCACTTAGTCATGTATTGATGTCAATGGAGACAAAGTGAACATTTGACTTAAGTGAAAGTTAAGATTCGCACCTTTGAAACAGAGGAGGATGGAAACCATCCAACCAACAGTATATAATGGAAACTATAATTTCCTTTTTGGCTAAGTGCATTTTTACTATTAACCGTTCGTCGTTGTAAGATGTCTCACAGTGAAAAAAAAAAAACGACACAGTGAAAAAGCACGACTATTGAAGAAAATAAACCTGTACTTATCTGTATCTAAGATTTTTTCTTATTTGTATGTTTAGAAAAAGCTATGTTTGGAATTATTATTAAAGTATGACATTTTTACACATGGTGTTACGTATTAATGATTTTCATTTTGCTGCTTAAAAGTCTCACCGAATCCTTGTAAATTTGCTCCGCACTCATCTTGTCATGTGAAACCCCCCCAAACACATGTCATCATTATTAAACAAGATGTCTGAATATTATTATAACTAAAAGTAGATCTGCAATAAAGAGAACATCAATTTCCCATTGAACTCTTTACTTTACTCTTAGAATGATTGAACTCTTTACTTTACTCTTAGAATGATTGAACTCTTTACTTTACTCTTAGAATGATTGAACTCTTTACTTTACTCTTAGAATGATTGAACTCTTTACTTTACTCTTAGAATGATTGAACTCTTTACTTTACTCTTAGAATGATTGAACTCTTTACTTTACTCTTAGAATGATTGAACTCTTTACTTTACTCTTAGAATGATTGAACTTTTTACTTTAGTCTTAGAAAAATGATTGAACTCTGTACTCCTAGAATGATTGAACTCTTTCCTTTAGTCTTAGAAGAATGATTGAACTCTGTACTTTACTCCTAGAAGAATGATTGAACTCTTTACTCCTAGAATGATTGAACTCTTTACTTCAGTCTTAGAATAATTATTCATCTTGCTGGTCATTTACCTGACTTTGGCTCCATATCAACTCAACATAACATATCTGACTGACACACAACATAATATTCAAACAGATCATTGCTAATTAATCAATTAATTTACATTGAACCCCCCCCCCCCCCTTTGTTTTTACACTGCTGCTACTCACTGTTTATTATCTATGCATAGTCACTTTACCCCACCTACATGTACAAATTACCTCGACTAACCTGTACCCCCTGTATATAGCCTCGTTATTGTTACTTTTTATTTTATTTTTTACTTTATTTTATTTAGTAAGTATTTTCTTAACTCTATTTCTTGAACTGCACTGTTGGTTAAGGGCTCATAAGTTAAGCATTTCACAGTAAGGTACCTGTTGTTTTCGGCGTATGTGACAATATTTTTGTTGTTGTTGATATTTTGAAGCTATACATCGTTTACAAAGACTCAAGTGAAAAAACTAAATGATGGCACTTATACTTTAGGTCATGAAGGTTTTGTAAGCATTTATAAATGATCTTCAAGAATCAAGGGGTATCAATTGAAATACCTGTCGACCAGCAGGACATTTATTTAACCAAGGCCTGTCATGAGCCACAGCTTGAGACTATAGCTCCCTATAGGGTCCACAGATCTATTGCTAGGCAGTGTTGACACGTTTGGATAATGGTAATAATGGAAATATTACTAATAACGGGGTCTGCATTATATGAATGGTGTCTGCTGGATTACAAAGTGGTCATTAGAAGGCTGTTTTATATTAATTAGAGAGTGGGGGCACCTTGGTTCTCTCTCTAGGGTTAGGGTTCGGGTTGTGGTTGAGGTTTGGGTGGAACCAGGATGTGAAAATGAGGCTAGGGTTATGGTTAGGGTTGTGGTTGTGGTTGAGGCTGGAGTTGAACCGGGATGTGGACATGAACCCTAACCCTAACCCTAACCCTAGCTTCATGTCCACATCCCGCTTCAAGCCTAACCCTAGCTTCATGTTCACACCCCGCTTCAACCCTAACCCTAGCCTCAACCACAACCCTAACCCTAGCTTCATGTCCCCACCCCGCTTCAAGCCTAACCCTAGCCTCACCCACAACCCTAACCCTAGCTTCATGTCCACACCCCGCTTCAACCCTAACCCTAGCCTCACCCACAACCCTAACCCTAGCTTCATGTCCACACCCCGCTTCAACCCTAACCCTAGCCTCACCCACAACCCTAACCCTAGCTTCATGTCCACACCCCGCTTCAACCCTAACCCTAGGCTCAACCACAACCCTAACCCTAGCTTCATGTTCACACCCCGCTTCAACCCTAACCCTAGCCTCAACCACAACCCTAACCCTAGCTTCATGTTCACACCCCGCTTCAACCCTAACCCTAGCCTCAACCACAACCCTAACCCTAGCTTCATGTTCACACCCCGCTTCAACCCTAACCCTAGGCTCAACCACAACCCTAACCCTAGCTTCATGTTCACACCCCGCTTCAACCCTAACCCTAGCCTCAACCACAACCCTAACCCTAGCTTCATGTTCACACCCCGCTTCAACCCTAACCCTAGGCTGAACCACAACCCTAACCCTAGCTTCATGTCCCCACCCCGCTTCAAGCCTAACCCTAGCCTCAACCACAACCCTAACCCTAGCTTCATGTTCACACCCCGCTTCAACCCTAACCCTAGGCTCAACCACAACCCTAACCCTAGCTTCATGTCCACACCCCGCTTCAAGCCTAACCCTAACCTCAACCCTAACCCCAACCCTAGCTTCATGTCCCCACCCTGATTCCTCCTTATCTGTTACAAAAAGCCACACCCTCTACCAATTCTTTCTTTCTTCCATTGGTGGTCCCAAAGGCAAGGGCGGGCTGAGCCTATTTGTTGTCCATTCACAGCCTCTGCAGAGTCCCCAGCAACCGGACAAAAGCAGATAGTTATTTTTTTATTCTAGTCAAGTCCAGTCAAGACCAATATGTAGGGGATCTAGTTTCAGGCGTTTCTTTTATGCCTGCTAGCCTTTCACTGATGCTCATGATTCCGAAGAGCCGATTGGTCGAAGGCGGTGTCTGTCAGACGGGGAGGGCTCTGTATTTCGCTCACTGTCAAAGCTCGAGGGACGAAACGAAGGGTTCGTTTCCGTTTGTAGGCTGCGGAAACCGAGTTTCAGAGAGCTGCGCAAGCCGAACAGAGACGGATTGGAGATCCTACGACCGAGAGGAGGATAGAGGAGAGGACTGAGGAAGACCTATCGTCCAGATTTACACTAATATTACACTTGAATAGCACTGAAACCCAGGGCCTGTGAAGATGGGAGACAAGGCGGGCACAAGGTAAGGAGAAACTATCAGTCTTGGGTTGTTTTTGCCGTTTTATTTTTTCCGGTGGTGTTTGTGTCATTTTGGAAAATAGGCAATAGTAAGGATGAAAGGGTAGCCTGGTTTCGCATGCAGGGACATTCGAATGCAGAGACAGGGCAGGAAAGGCAAGCAGTACACTGGTCGACTTTCCCCAAGAAGCAAGCAGGGGGTTAGTTGAGATGAGTGGAGATGTCGTTGGTTCAGGGGAGAGAGATGGAGAGGAGAGAGAATTCTGAGTGCTGAACGATAACATATCATCAATATGCAAGCAAACTCGCACTTCACATTAGGCTACGGGCTTGTGTCGATACAGTTATCTAGAATGCAGAACACAGGGTCCATTTGTACCTGTCAAATTACGCGTAGGG